GGGGGTGCTGAGCTCTGCCCGGACCTTGGGGTGCGAGCTCTCCGCACCCCGCAGGGACCGCGGGAGCTCTGTGATGGATGGGAGCCTGGCCGCCAGGAGATGAACGGAGCCGGGAGACACGTCCCCGGCACCACTTGCAAAGTGTAGCTTCAACTTTTGCCGCTTGATAAGATGCTTGGCAGTGAAAACTTTGCAGATGGGTATATGCAGTTCATTGTGCTCTGTGCTGAGTTGGGTTTGGAGTGGGTTTTGGGTTTTGGGACAGCTCTGCCATCACTGGCCGTGGCAAGGAGCAGCCTAAGCTGTGTTAGAAAGCACAAATGCTTCTTCCCCTTTTCTCCCCTTACTGCCTTGGGATACTCATGATGTCCAAAGGGCAAATGCCTGCCACAGCAGATACCTACAGCCCAGTGGAGAATGACGTTTGTGAGGTTGTGTCTACATGGCTGGATCTGCACATGGAAGAGCTGCACGGGAGCACTTAAAGGGATTGGTGACTGTGTTTGGGCCAAGGTTGTCCAGCGTCACTGACTGTTGGATATCGATGTAAATTCCGGGACTTGTGTCAACAGCCCAGCATCATGAGCCATCCACAGCTCTCTGGAGCTGCCAGTGCCTGGAGTTCATGGTGACTTGATGGCTGGAAAATCGGCAGGGCTGTGCCAGAGGGATGTACTTAGGTTTCCATTTCTCCCCCATATCGTGTTGTTGTGTTTGGATGTTGGGGTGGGCTCAGGTTTCAGCCTTCATCAGCATCCCAAATGCTGAGTGCTCCCAAGGCGCTGAGTCAGCTCTTTGAAGAAAGAATCTGTGTGACAAAACTTCTCACTAGGCCCCAGTTGCGGGGTGATTTGTCTTGGAGGACGGAGAAGAGCAGTGAGATTGACACCTGCTTTGGCAAGAGGCTGTTGGAGTGATGGGGTGGTAGATGGCACACGTCTGGTACCAGCCAGAGTTGGGCTGGGGGACCAACAGACAGTGGCAAAGACACCAAAATCTTTGTGGCTGTATATCTTACATGGCAAAAGTGGCAAATGAAATAAGCTAATAGCACCAGTATTTGGTGCTCTGCTTTTGCCACTGTTGGGCATGAGATCCTGCCAAAGAGCTGATTGCTGGGCTCAGGCTTACTTCATTTCAGAGACCACAATTTCAGAGCCAGGCTCCCTCCCTTCAGCTCCCCCAGAGCCTGTAGGACTCCTCCAAGGTGGACAGACATGTCCTTAAAGGGACAGCCCTGAAGATTTCTCTCCCTCATGCCCAATGTACTTTGATACAAGTGGACCAGGAGGACTCATTTTGTCTTAAAGTCTCCACAAATCTTTGTGGCTCAGATAAATTCAGGTTTCCTGGTGTGCCTCCAGGCAGGGAAAAGCAAAAGCCTCTGGTCATGATTTAGTCATGAGACGAAAGCACCACGAGCTGTGTGCAGGGTTAAAGTGAAAACCCAGCTTATTAAACTTCATCTTGGTAATTAGCACGGGGTGAAGAACAAAGAAAGATAATATTGTAAAGGGGGAATTGCCAGGGGTGTTAAATATTAAATTCTCTGCTGCCAGAATTGGTTCCCAGTGGCTGTTTTGTATTCATGGTCTAACACTGGATGAGGTGTTTGGAGCATTACTTGACACTGAAAACTTTTTACTTGAAACTTTTTTGATTTTTTGATTACTTGAAACCGAAAAAGGACAAAACTGGGCTGCAAAGTCACAATTCCTGTAATAAAGGTGCAAGTATGTAAGGCTGGGCAGAGCTAACGCCAGGGCTTCAAATCTCCTGCCTCCTCTTGCAGATGGAGCGAGGTTCTGGCAGCCTGTCTGCGCTTTGCGGATGAGCTCTGTATTCACATGGCCACCTTGGATTTGGGGTTTATCCTCCGAGTGCCCAATACCTTTTAATCCTATCTTATAAACCAGCCAGCAGCAGTGGGGCAGCTTGTTTCTTTCCACACAAGGCGGCCTCATTACTGTTCTGGATCACGACTCTGCTTAAACTCACAAGAATTGGGGAAGAAAACAAAAAAGTCCCCAAACCCTGCATTGGATTTTGGGGTTGTTATTTTTTTTTCGTTTTGCTCTCTGATTGTGGCGCTCCTGTGAGTGCAGGGAGGGGATGCGCCTTCTCCGGCCCTTCCCGCTCACCTGGCAGGGAGGGGAGGTGCGGGATCCCGGGTCTCCGGGAGCCGAGGCTGGTGGAAGCTGCTCCCGTGTGCGGCCGCCCCTCCTGGCCGGGCTCCGCTCGCCTCGGCACACCCCGGCCGGAGGGCTGGCTGCTCACACATCCGTCACGGTGCCTGAGAAAACACGGCGGTGACGTGCGGGTCCCCTCCTCCTGCCCGCGGACACCCGCCAGCGCGGAGCCCCGGAACTCCCTGCGTGATGGAGAGGATGGAGCTGCCGGGGACGTGTAGCGGTGCTCCTTTTTTATGTGCTTAAAAAGGCATCTCTGGTGGAGCCAGGCGGCAGGCAGGGATCTCCAGGAAGCCCATGGCCAGGTAAGCTCTGGGGCGCCGTGCCCCGCAGGGATGAGGTGCCTCCTGCATGGGCTGTGTCCGACAGCCGGGTGCGGTGGGGAATTTGAGCAGTCCCCCCAAGGGCAGCATGTCCAGGGACCCCGCAGGCCAGGCAGTGTGTCCATCCCTGCTCTGTGTCACCTCCCTGCACCACAGCAAGGACGGTGAAGGTGGGGGATCCCCTGGGGCAGCGTGTTTCCCTCGCTGTCCCTGCAAAGGCAGAGTTGCTGCCCTGGCTCTGGGGCAGGGTGTCTGTACCACACACACACGCTCCCCGAGGTGGCTGGACTATTGCAGGGACGAGCCCAGAGTGATCCAGTTCAGTATTTGGGGGAATCCACAGGATTAGGGGGAAATCTGTGCCTGTGATCCATGTGGATCAGGGTGTGTGTGGAACAGCCCTGCACCCTGTGCCAGTGTTGTCACCAAGGTGCCCCCACCGGCTCCCATCAGCACCAAGCAGGAGGAGCAGTGATTTCACCCTATTTGACTCCAAAAAGCCCTCCAGAGAACTCCAGTGCTCTGCAGACCCCTCCAAGAAAAATTAAACCCCCAAGGAAGGGTTTGCTTGTCCCCCATCTCAGACGTGCAAAGTCCTTTTGTCAGGGCAGTTTCCCTGCAGGGAGTACCAGACTCTGCACGTGGAGGCGTTTTTGTTCCCACAGCTTTTTTGCAGAGAAGAAATTTCTCCCTTAACTTGCTGTCCTAATTCCCTGGTCTTGTGTGGGGTTGGAGATGCATCCTGCTAAAATCTGCAGTGTTTCTGTACTGTTTCCTGAGCTCGACTCCTGCCAAGATGTTTGGGGAGGAGGCAGCAGCACCTTGCAGTGGAAGAGGGAGGGTTTCCTGGCGTCCCGTGGGAAATGGGTGTGTGTCCGCAGCAGGAGCTTGGCCCCCAGCATGGTTCAGACCTGACCCTGCCAGGGCAATAGAGACCAGTTGTGTGTTATTGACCCTCTTTAAATGAATGTCCTAATTGCAAAGTGGCTGGGGTTAGTGGTGCTGTGGGTCTCGCAGCCCGTGGTTAGCGGTGGTGTTGGTAAAAATAGAAGCGGTCAAAAAATGGATTTTTATTTTTACTCCATAAAGTGTGTCCTGCTCAGATGTTTTGCTTTCATCTCAAGTCAAGGCAAGGCGACTTACTGCTTCCACAGAACACAGAGAAAAAGCTTTGTTTTGGGTCAGCTGGGAAGCTCCAGCACAGCAAGCTGCAAACATGCTGTTTGACTTTGACACTCCCTTTTTGTTTTCTTTTTTGTGTTTGTTTTTTTTTTTTTGGGGGNAGAGAGAGAGAGAGAGAGAGAGAGAGAGAATAAATAAATAAATAAATAAATCAGTAAATGTTGAAACAGGCAGTGCATGAGCAGGCACCTCTGCAGGCTGCAGCTTGTGAGTGAGAGGCGGAAGGCATCTCCAGGGAGCCTGGGAGACCTAGCTCTCACCTGGGACTGAGCCAAATCTCCCACTGGAGAGCATACACTCTGTTAACAAGGCACAAAAATAGAGGGCACAGACCAAGATTGTTTCTGGAGATCTCCTGGGCCCATCACTGGGTGATGCCTGCAAACACTGTTCTCAGTCAGCATTTTTGTTGGAGTGGTGTCCAAGTGGGCAATGTCCATCAGCAGCCACAGGGTTTGATCCTGGCCCAGCCACAGCAGTCAGAGCAGGATTAAATCCACCAGCTCAATCACCCAGCTTGCACATCCCTCTGAGGCAGATGGGTGTCCAAGGGACTCAAGAGGCTGCAAAACCTTTCTTAAAAAACACATTATTTCTCTACTGACAGAAGCAGCGATGGCTCCCTCATGTGTGCCATGAGCTGAGTCCATGGAGGGGGAAGAAAGAAACAGCCTAAAAATAGAGCAGCTTCGAAGTCGTTCATAAATAATAAACCAGCTTCCTGAAAGGGAGATAAAAATCCAGAAACTCCCTGAAGCCGTGGGAGCTGCTGTCAATTTTAGATGGAGTCACAGCAGCAGTATCAGATATTTCTTGGGCTTAAAACCCTGAATGAGAGTTGGCAAAGAAAACACTAACTTCCCCTCTTTCTTTATAAAGAAAATGTGAAAACTTAAAAAAAAATTTCTCAAATAATTTGCAAGTCCTGCTTGGTGGAGGGTACATTTTATTTTTTCCCCCTTCAGCTTTGCAGTCCCCAGATAAGGCACGAGTGAGACACAAGCATGCCTTCAGAGTGACAGGTATTTGATGTCCCTCTCTCTCTGGCATCCCAAAATCTCCCAGTGCTGAGAGGGTGAGGGCTTGTTTGGGCTCAGTGTACCTGTCAGTATTCCCAGAAGCATCTTGCCACTTTGTGGCTTCACTCAGCTGTGCTGCTTTTGGCCAAGGTGCTTCTGCAAACCCTCCTCCCTCACCATCCCAGGGATAGCCCTGTGCTGCTTCTGGTTCACCTTAAAGCCAAGGAAAAGTTGAGGCAGTTATCTCAAACACAGCCTCACCCCATCACCACCTGCTCCCTGTCTTTATTGCCCTATTTTGGCTGTGCTCAGCTGGCCTTACATCACAAATACTGTGTGTGTGAGAGCCCTGTTGCCCTCCTGAGGGGCAGGATCCTGCACTGGGTGACACAGCTGGAGTGGTTTGAGCTGTCCCCATCCCGTGCCTGAGCTCCCCGCTGGCAAGTGAGGGCTCTGTGGGAGTTGGCTGTGGGACAAGTGGTTTAACTAAACCTATCGCCTGTTCAGGCTAATCACTTCCTAATGCCTCTATAATCCCATTTAAAGCAACTGGCTGTCTAGAAAGTTACTGGCTCCCTGGGGAAGGTTAGAATGACCCATCTGGCTACACAAAAAGTTCCCCCAACTGCAAGGTCTTGTCCAATATGTGCTTCAAAATGAATGTAAACACAGAACGCTTTGTTGAGCCTGTACATAGATGCTGCTGTGTGTTTATGGATGGCCATCCCTGTAGTGGAGCAACAATGCTTAGGTGGCATTCAGGACCTCTTTCTGCTTTTCTTTTCCTTTCCTGGGGAGAAAGATCTGTTGAGGCACAGGGGAACCCTTGTTCTGGATTGCCATGCCTATGGCAGGGAGAGGGTTCTGTAATTAATTTTGGATCTTTTTCTTTCTTTTTTTTACCAAAAAAATAACCTCATTAGAAGGAGTCTCTGCAACTGGTTTCATTTGTGCCCAAAAAGAGGGGGGTTTCCCTCTGGTTTGCCCATAGCCAGCAGGTTACAGCCCCAGAGCCTGGGGAGGAGGTGGCTGTGTTTGCTGGCACCAGGCAGAAATCAGGCAGCTGCTCTGTGGCTTTGCAGCTCCTCTCCCTCCCCTACTCCTCCTGCAGCTGTGTTTGTTTCTTGCTCTCCCATGTCCTTACTTTACTTTTCCCTCTTGGATCCCGGGCGTTATGCTTGGCGGAGCCCAGCCAGGCCGTGGCCAAGGAAAAGCCATTAGGCTCTTGGCACAGCCCACTTCCCCGGGGCCACGCGGGGGGGAATGGGCTGGAGATGGAGCACAGCCTGGAGCTTTGCTGGGTGGAGGAAGGGCCCTTAGGGCCCACCGCTCACTTCCCACAAGGTTAGCTTTTCATCCAGAAAATCTGGAAGTTCTTTTCCGCCCAGAACTGCTGTAAAGTTCTGAGCACTTGGCAGGAGCCAGCCATGTGCCACTCACTGCACGCCCTACATGCCTCACAAAACCAGACATGAGCTACTGGTACCCCAGCCCCATTTGGCTCTCTCTGAGCTGTGGAGAAGCAGGGATTTACCCACCTTCACTGGAAAGCATCACCCAACTGGAGCAGCTGGAACATGCTCGGGACAAGAAGGGAATGTTGCTACAGATGAATTAAATCTGCCAGAGAGGCAGTATGATTAAAATTAGGGGTAGCTGCATGGAATTCATTACATGGTGTCTTTTATAGCTCTCAGTTATCTCTGTCTCCTAAAGACACTGTCAGTGGGCTGATCTGGCTCCTGTTCAGTCTCCTACTGCCACACAGTCTCCACTCCCACCTCACTGAAAGTCTTCCCAAAAACAAAAAAACATTAAATATGGCAATGATTTGGTCATTGTAGCCCTGGGTTTGTTCGTTCTATAGGGCTCAGGCTGTTCTCCACATGTGTTGTCTTGCCCAGAGTAATTGGAGATGATGTCTGGTACTTGGAAAACAGCACCTGGCACGTCACCGACAAGCAGAGGGGGCTGGGGGGAGCAAGTGGATGACGCATTGTCCCTTGATTTGGAGGTTCTCTCAGACTATTTATATCCTCTCCTTTTTCAGAGACGGGTGTTATGGGACATGGTGGAGGTGGGAGCTCTCCTAACAATCCAGTGTCTACGCCTGAGAACCCCAGCCGTGCTTCTTTCCCACTCCTCTGCAGAAAGCTGTAGAGAAAGCACAGCACCATGTACACCTTCCTGCCAGAGAGCTTCACACCGGTGAAGCAGAAGCCCTCCAAGGAGCTGAGGCCCATGTTGGGTGCCATCTTTCTGGGCCTCATCCTGTTCATTGCTGCAGTGGTGGCCTGGTGCTACTACACCGTGTCCCTGAGGAAGGCGGAGCGGCTCAAGACGGAGCTGATGGACCTGCGGGCAGACGGCTTCGTCATCCGCAACCAGCACGGGGAGGTGGTGTTCCGGCTGGCCTTCCGCTCGGGCAGCCTGGACCTGGAGTCGTGCTCCAAGGAGGGCGAGATCCTGAGCTGCTCGCGCTCGAGCCGGGGGCCGCTCAACTTCTTCATCCAGACGGTGAAGCCCAAGGACACGGTGATGTGCTACCGCGTGCGCTGGGAGGAGCTGGCGGCCGGCCCGGCCGTGGAGCACACCATGTTCTGGGAGGACGCCCACTGGTACGGGGGCTCGGAGATGAGCACCCAGCACTGGCCCATCCGCCTGGCCGGCTACCAGGAGCCCGTGCCCTACGTGACCAGCGACGTCTACTCCTTCCGTGACAGCTTTGGCGGCATCCTCGAGCGCTACTGGCTCTCCTCCAAGGCGGCGGCCATCAAGATCAACGACTCCGTGCCCTTCCACCTGGGCTTCAACGCCACTGAGCGCACCCTCTTCTTCCAGGCCCGCTACAAGGACTCACCCTACAAGCCCCCACCGGGCCAGCAGCCCTTCCCCGAGCTCAGCTACCGCGTCTGCGTGGGCTCCGACGTCACCTCCATCCACAAGTACATGGTGCGCAGGTACTTCAACAAGCCCTCCAAGATCCCTGCTGAGAACGCTTTCCGATACCCCATCTGGTCCACGTGGGCCCTCTACAAAAAAGATATAAACCAGGATAAAGTTCTGAATTTTGCAAGTGACATTAAGAAGTACCATTTTAACTGCAGCCACATTGAGATTGATGATATGTACACCCAAGCCTATGGAGACTTTGACTTTGACCCTGTCAAGTTCCCCAATGTGACAGAGATGTTTGCAAAGCTGAGGGAAGATGGGTTTAAGGTCACTCTGTCAGAGATGTTTGCAAAGCTGAGGGAAGATGGGTTTAAGGTCACTCTGTGGATTCATCCTTTTATACATGCAAATTCACCCAATTATGAAGAGGGGATTGAGCGTCAGCTGTTCATCAAGGAGCCGTCGGGGCGGCTGCCGGCCATGGTGGAGTGGTGGAACGGCATCGGGGCCATCCTGGACTTCACCAACCCAGCAGCCCGTGACTGGTTCCAGAGCCACCTGCGCCAGCTCCGGCACAAGTATGGCATCTCATCCTTCAAGTTTGACGCGGGTGAGACCAGCTACCTGCCCAAGCAGTTCAGCACCTTCCGCCCACTGTCGGACCCCAGCATCTGGTCCCGGCGCTACACGGAGATGGCCATCCCCTTCTACGAGCTGGCCGAGGTGCGCGTGGGCTACCAGTCACAGAACATCTCCTGCTTCTTCCGCATCATTGACCGGGACTCTGTCTGGGGCTACGAGCTTGGCCTCAAGTCCCTCATCCCCACTGTCCTCACCATCAGCATGCTGGGGTACCCATTTGTGCTTCCAGATATGATTGGAGGAAACTTCCTCCCCAACAGGACAGAGGGAGCTGTGGAGATCCCTGACCGGGAGCTGTACGTGCGCTGGCTGGAGCTGTCGGCCTTCATGCCCTCCATGCAGTTCTCCATCCCTCCCTGGCTCTACGACAAGGAGGTGGTGGAGATCGCGCAGAAGTTCACGGAGCTCCACGAGTCGCTGGTGGCCCCGCTGCTGCTGGAGCTGGCGGGGGAGGTCACCGACACAGGCGACCCCATCATCCGTCCCATCTGGTGGATCTCGCCCCGCGACGAGGCCGCTCACCGGATCGACTCCCAGTTCCTCATCGGGGACACCCTCATGGTGGCTCCTGTGCTGGAGATGGGCAAGCAGGAGCGGGATGTCTACTTGCCAGCGGGCAAGTGGCGCAGCTACAAGGGGGAGCTGTTTGAGAAGACCCCAGTTCTGCTCACCGACTATCCCGTTGGCCTGGACGAAGTTGCCTATTTCCTCTGGGTTTCCTAACAGGCTCCTCTTCAGCTGTGCAGTAGACTCAGTGATTAGTTTGCCAATGGCTTTAATGACCTGACAATTTTAATAATTTTTAATATAGCAATATTTCAGAATTAAATTTGAAGGAGACACTGAGACCACTGTTCTGTGTGGCAAGTAAATGTTCTACAATAACTTATTAAAATGTATTGGGAGCTGATGCAGGAGTTAGGAGTTTGCATCTCCCATGGCCTGAGCTATCTGAGCAGCAAGAAAGCTACAGCACTTTCTAATGCTGTGGCAATTGTCTTCTCCCTTTTATAAATTACTGAGAACCATGTTCATTGTGTGCATTCAGGTAAGCCTGTAAAATGTGGTGATATCTCATGGTAGTAGAGATTAAATCCTAATATGACATCATGCAGGGATTTATACTTAGTAGGATCCATGTGGGTTTTAGGACCATGTTTAGGACAAAGGATGCAATCTGTCAGTTGCTAGGAGAGAACTTGGCTCCCTCAGAGAGTTCAGGCAATTAACAAATCAGCCTGAGTACCCAGCTGATTTGCTGATTTTTCAGTACCCTCAATTTCCCCACTGAGAATGTTTTCCCATCCTGTGTTAATGGAGATCCCTGTCCATGGCAGGTGGATCCTTCACTATCCTTCTGCCACACCTCTCCAGAATGAAGATGTCTCAGCAGGTCCTGAAGGCTGCCTGTGAAACACCCTCCACTCTTGGTCCAACATTCCCTGCTATTTTTAAGCAAAAAAGAAATTTTAGGTTGACACAACTGAGCAGTTTAAGAGAGTCCAGGGGTCTCTGGGCTGCAATGTGCCTTCCCAAAGTGAGAGACAGACCACTTTGCTGGCTCCAGCTCACTTTCAGTGGGCACCTGGGAGGTAAAGGGTGTGTGTGTCCCCAGGGTAAGAGAAAGCTCCCTTTTTTTAGGGGTTTTCCCCAGGGCTACTCCATATAAAAAGTAAACAAAATGGGTCTGGGAAACATTGTACTCAGTCAAGAGCTTGTTTGGCACCCAGAGGAATCAGTCCCAAAACTGGCTCAAACCTGTTATCCATCAGTAGGTCCACTGTGTCATGAGGACCCTGCATGGACACAACAGCAGTGCCAAGTGGGATGAGCCAGAACATCTTTTAGATGCCCCTGAGAGCAGCTGGAGTTGCAGTAATGATATCGCTGGTGTGGCAGTGGAGAGGGAAACCCAGCCTTAATCCAGGGATGTGAAAGGGAAAGCAATGTTCAGTCTGGCATTTGTGCTCAGCGTTAACAGGGCACCACTGAATCCTTACCACAGGCTTTCTCCCATGCCAGGATAGTAGTTTCCAACGAGGCACCTCCCCCAGGGCTGAGAAAGTGTTTCTACAGCTGCTGCTTCAAAGCCCCAGATGGTCCCTCACATCGGGTCTTGGGGTGGGGGTCCCAGGAGGCGGCCCAGCAAAATTCCCCTAGCTATTGTTGCTGCCTTAAACAAAAAGTTTTCTGCAAAGCTCATGCCCAAAGTGCTGAGAGCCAAGACTCCATCACCCTCATACAGTACCTCTGCCCCTGTGATCAAAGTGCTCTGTGTGCACACACAGCTCTGCCACCCAACTACACCACAGGCTGATGGAAAAAAAACCAGGCAACATTGAGACTTCCTGCAAACTGTGGGGATGACATGGGATGCCTGGTCCCATGGCTGCAAAAATGTCTCCTCCATCCCTTTCCAAACTGTCCCTCAGTGCCTTTCCTTGCTTCCCAGCTGAGCCACAGGAAGCCACAGGGAACAGGCACTGAAGGCATCCTGTGAACAGGTGGCACCACAGCCACCTCTCCATGCCCTCCTGCCAGGGGAGGAGCTGTGTGCTGTTGGAGGGACATCCTGTTTGTCTTGCTAAGCTTCAGTCCCGGTTGATTTTTTACACTGCCAGTGCCGTGGAAGAGCTCTTTGCTGGAGGTGCTGGTGACGTGAAACTCTCCTCCAGAACCTGGCTCACCACAGGCCGCCTGTTTTTTGGCAGTGGGTGTTTACTGCCCTCTTTGATGACTGCTGAGCTAAAAAACACCCAGCCCTACATCCAAAATAAAAAACCCAAACAAATAAAAAACTGTTTTTCTCTACTTGGCCTCTGGGATTTTGTGTCAGCACAAACAGTCTTTATGGCTCTCCTGGCACAAGAGATTTGCAGGCTGGCAGCTCCTGCCCAAGTTGAGAAGGTTGTATTTTTTCCTGAGGCAGACAGCTTGGCCATGTACCCAAAGGAACTCCACTGCTGTCAGTTTGTCCTTGCACCACAGTCACCCCAGCCTTGGGCTCTGCCTGCCTGTTGGCTTTTTCCTTACTTTTAATCAAAGCTGTGATTTCAGGCAGGTGTGGACATGCTCACAGTTTGGGTATCCTGGGTCAGCAGCCACTGCTCTGCCCCTTGGGCACCTCCTTGAAATCCAGTTTGCAGCAGATTGGACTTCTGCTGTAGCTCCTCTGGGGTTTGGATTTTGCCACTAACACTGCTCCCTGTGCAATGCACAATTGTAGATGTATCTCCAAGCACTGCCAAGTAGCTGAGACCCAACATGGAGCTGACCCCACTCACTCTCTCCATGGCAAGCCTCAGACACACTCTCTACACACTGCACCAGGTTTTGGGAGGATGTAAACCAAACTCAAACCCAAAGCACCAATTCCTAGAAGGACCTCTGTATCACTGAGGATCTCCGGAAACTTAGAGCTGTGAGTGCTCTAAATTGCCAACCTGCCTGCAGGTTTTCAGCAGTGCCAGCTTCATCCCCGACCTGGCCATCAGCCAAGTGTATGGATGGCACTCACACCCAAGGAAGAAGTCAAAGGAAAAGCATTGGGAAAACATCTTTTATTGCAAAAGGAGTGAAACAAAGTCCCTCTCAACCCTCAAGCCACGCTGTATGGGTTGGCCGCTGCTAGTGATGCCCAATGGCATAAGGCAGCTATGGTTTGCATGGTAAAAATGGAAAAAGAAGGAAAAGCATTATTTAGGGCAAAAGGGGTGATGTGGGGCAAGGTGGGCTCCTAAACGAGTCTTCATTGATGGCGGTCCCGTAGCCACAAATATCTACTCCATGTCCTTGCTGTCAGTGCCATCTAGCAAGGGAAACCATGGGGATGGTGGGGACAGTCAGAAGGACCTTTTGGAGAGACCAAGGGAAACTGAGAACAGGCTCCTTGTGCTCATCTCCGACAAACAGCCTTGAAGTATGTGTCCTGTGAGAACAGCATGGACTAGCAAACCCCCAGATTCAGTGTTGAATGTTTTCTGGGGTGAATGTTAGTAGAAATAGGGCCACAACCCTCGAGGTGTATATGGTCCCCACCCCTGGGGCTGACAAAACATTGGGGTTCACCTGGACATGGCCTTTTCCAGGCCAGCCCTAAGGCTCAGCTAGTCCCTTTGCTGTCAGGACCTAAGGGAGAACAATCCTCAATCCAGTGGGATTGTCTGCCACCACTGCAAACACAAGAGTGAGGTTACTGCCAGCTTCTCCTTTTAAAACATACATCAAAGCTGCAGGCTGCAAGCTTTAAATAAAACAATCTCAACCCTGATTTCAGTGAAGACTAGGGTAAGAAAAGCCCCAAATCTCCCTGAATCACCAGCCCCACCAACTTGGTACAGATGGACATAGTTAAATTTCTTTTTGTTTTCCAAAATTTTATCTCAGTCAAGGTGATTCATGTTACAATTCATACCAATTAGGAATTAGAAAATTTAATTAGAAAATAGACCCATCAGCATTACAGTCTGACAGAGGACAGCATGTACAAACACAAGCATCCAGAAAACCTGATACACAACAGTGCAAGCTTCAAAATTCAATCACATAAGCATCATGTGTGAAAAGGCTGAATCCAACTCCCAAACCTTGTCTGGGGCTTTTTTTTGGCTGAGACAAGCTAAATCCAGCTTTGACCAGTGACTCAAGGTGTAAATCAGAGAAATATCCCTAGCAGCAGTTCCCAAGGTATCTGTGCAGAGCTTCTGGTCTGCAAGGTCTGAGAGATCCTCAAGCCCTGCAGTGCTACAGCATAGTGTGAGAAATAGTGGTTTCGGTAAAAAGTTGGATGGAAAGGCCATCTAGAAGCCGTGTGACAGCTTAAGGCAGCACTGCTGAGCCTATCCCAAACATCAGCTCGTAGTCCTCCCAGCAGCTTTACCTTTCTTCTTGTTGGACAGAACCACAGAATCACAGGGTTGGGAAAGACCTTCAAGGTCATTGAGTCCAACCCAGCCCTAACATCTCAACTAAACCATGGCACCGAGTGCCACATCCAGTCTTTTTAAACACATCCATGGATGGTGACCCCACCACCTCCCTGGGCAGACCATTCCAGTACTTTATCACCCCTTCTGTAAAACTTTTTCCTAATATCCAACCTATATTCCCCTTGATGCATCTTAAGACTGTGTCCTCTGGTTCTGTCAGTGGCTGCCTGGAGAAAGAGACCAACCCCCACCTGACTACAGCCACCCTTCAGGGAGTTGCAAAGAGTGATAAGGTCACTTCTGAGTCTCCTTTTCTCCAGGTTGAAGAACCCCAGCTCCCTCAGCTGTTCCTCACAGGGCTCATGTTCCAAGCCCCTCACCAGCCTTGTTGCCCTCCTCTGGATGTGCTCAAGCATCTCAACATCCTTCCCAAAGTGAGTGGCCTAGAACTGGACACAGAACTCAAGTACTGGACCACTGAATAGCCATGTCCACTTGTGCCCTAATTACAGCATTTAGAAAAATAAGAGTATTCTATAATCTTACCCATTCATTGATATAGTTAAATAAAATAAAGTTATAACTTTGTTAATAAAATCCTTTCTTTTATATGGGAGGGGAAAGAAGATGGTGTGTCTAATGGAGAATTTCCTCCATGACCTTCCTGACAGTGCCTGAAACCACTGCAAGGAGATTGAAGGCACTCATCTGTCTCCTTCCATCATTTTAATAGTAGAAGGATACTAACAGGGATGCTGTGTTTCTCTTCACACAGCCTCATTCATCGTGAGTGATGCATATGGTGAGTAGCACAGAACCTGGGGAAGAGAAGACAGCATTTCACGGTCATGCCAGGATTCTTCACATGAAGTCCTGTGCTGAGGATCCCAATTCTTCACTGGCAGCTGAGCTGTACAACATCTCCTCCACCTAATAATTCCCATGCCAAGGGATGACAAGTATTTCATGTGCAAAGGTTGAAAGGGAAGAGCTGGAGCATCTCAAAGCATGGTCCTCATGCACTTCTGGGGCTGCAGAAGCTCCCTCCATCCTTAGCCCTTCTTAAAAGCTTTGGCCAAACTCATCTCCTCACCTTCAACGCCACCCTGCAAGCAAGGGCCAAATCCTGCCAGTGCCCTGATGAGTGACACTGAGGGTCCAGGAGTAATTCCTTGCCAGAGGGTGCCTGTAATTTGTAGCATTTGTAACATCACCATTACTTGCACTGGTGGCTGGGAAGAAACTTGCGTCCTTCAGAATTTAAAGCCTATAGAAACAAACAGGCTTCAGGAGATACTTGTGCTCCAGCTGGGCAGGGGCCTGTAAGGCTACCCTACATCTCATTTTGAGATGAAATTATACAGGGCAGATTCAGGTCTTTCTTACTTCCTAACTACAAAAGCACTTCAGATTTTGCCCCTAACACTGAAATTTCTCCTCCTGCACCCTATCACAACAATCAAGTTTAGTGCATCTCCTTTTCTGCCTCCTGAAAAGCTGTGTGGCAGGAGATGGGCTTTGAGAAAGAGCTGACTGGTTCCCAACCCTACCCAAAACATGCACCACCTCCCTGGGTGGCTGACTTGTGCCAGACCCTTGCCCAGCCCAGACACAATCCCAGGAGAAGCCTCACAGATGCCGAGATGTCTTTGGCTGGCTGTAACCTGGGCAGGGTGCCCAGCCCTTCCCAGCCATCACAATTTGATTCTGCAGAAGCTCGTTAAAAATTCAGGGGCTGATACATGTTCCCAACTGGGGCAGAGCTGGGAATTCTTGCCTTAGGGAAGAAGGCTGCCAGACTTCAATCTTGTTTGCCCCGCCTTGGGTCTCTGCAAATGGATTTTCCCATACAAAACCAAATGGGAAATCTGCCAAAGAGGCAGCTGCTGGGGATGTGGGGTGCAGGATCACATCACTCCATGTGCTCTCCAGAAGCCTCTGACAGCAATCCCACCTCCAGCAACATCAACGCTGCCTTGGGAAGAAAGAGAAAGCTCCTTGGGACTTTCCCAGGGAGAGGGGAGGGCTGACTCAGGAGAACCCTCAACCTGAGATGGGTATTAGCTTAACTTCGTGTTAAATGAGAACACTTCCGTGGGTGCAGTGAGAACACCCGCTGGCACAGACCCGTCAGTTCGTAGAGCTGGTGTTTTCCACCCACAGGCAAGCCGGCTATCGGCAAACAGCGCTGTCAATCCACTACACGTGCCGCTCGCGGGAACCGGCTGTTCCCAGGGAAGCGCCACACCGAGTGTCTGAGGACAGCTTTGCTCCAGGCAACCCTTCTGCCAGCAACAAACCTCATCTGTCCTTAAAAACCAGAAAGGATGGTATCAGCAGGATAATCATGTAACCAAGTGGGGCCATAAATGCTTAAAAAATGTGACCTGCTGGTACAGGCGGTGCTGCTCTAGGAAAGGCAATGTTGATGCCCCAGGCAAAACACACAGGCAAGAGCTTTGTAGAGGAAGTCAAATGGGTGAGCAGGTGGGAAGCAGCTGTCCCAGCAAGAAATAAGCAACCCATTCAGTTAAAACACATGGACAACACTTGAGTGATCTGGCCTGCCTGGTATCCAGGAAAGCAGGAGTGTCATGGTCTGCTAATACAAGCTAACACAAGCGGGAGTCATGAGAAAGAACATGGGGCAACTATCAGTCCAGCACCATGAGAGGCAAAAGGGGGAAAAAATAGGTGTGTAAATATTCATATGTAACCCTATTTTGCTTTATGCACTGAAAAATATCCATTTTAATGTACTTGCCATATTATAAAACTTATGGCAGGCTGTGCAGTAGCAATCCTCCCACAGCACACACCCCCATACCCAGTGCCAGGTGCTCCCACAAGACTAAGAATGCTCCCCACCAGCACTAAGAAACTTCCAACTCTTGAAATCCTTGAGAACTGAAAAGGTGTTGGGTTTACTATTGTCTGCAGACAGACTGACAATTCATTTCTGACCTACACAGACAAATTACTGCCTACTGTAATCCAGCCAGAGCCTACCACCAGACCCAAATTAAAAAAATCAAGATCAATCCCCAAATAAAAAAAAACAATATTATCCCCAAGAACAGTGAAGTCTATTAGCTCCCTTCCTCCACCCCAGTCTCAAATGAAATGTGCAATTAGAGTTAATATCTGTTAGAAAGTCCTAGATAAGGCATGGTTATTCCAAAGCTGATGAAGAGGAGCCTGTTAGGAAACCCAGAGGAAATAGGCAACTTCGTCCAGGTCAACGGGATAGTCGGTGAGCAGCACTGGGGTCTTCTCAAACAGCTCCCCCTTGTAGCTGCGCCACTTGCCCGCTGGCAAGTAGACATCCCGCTCCTGCTTGCCCATCTCCAGCACAGGAGCCACCATGAGGGTGTCCCCGATGAGGAACTGGGAGTCGATCCGGTGAGCGGCCTCGTCGCGGGGCGAGATCCACCAGATGGGACGGATGATGGGGTCGCCTGTGTCGGTGACCTCCCCCGCCAGCTCCAGCAGCAGCGGGGCCACCAGCGACTCGTGGAGCTCCGTGAACTTCTGCGCGATCTCCACCACCTCCTTGTCGTAGAGCCAGGGAGGGATGGAGAACTGCATGGAGGGCATGAAGGCCGACAGCTCCAGCCAGCGCACGTACAGCTCCCGGTCAGGGATCTCCACCGCCCCATTGGTTTTATTGGGGAAAAAATTGCCCCCTATCATGTCAGCAGATATGAAGGGGTACCCCAGCATGCTGATGGTGAGGACAGTGGGGATGAGGGACTTGAGGCCAAGCTCGTAGCCCCAGACAGAGTCCCGGTCAATGATGCGGAAGAAGCAGGAGATGTTCTGTGACTGGTAGCCCACGCGCACCTCGGCCAGCTCGTAGAAGGGGATGGCCATCTCCGTGTAGCGCCGGGACCAGATGCTGGGGTCCGACAGTGGGCGGAAGGTGCTGAACTGCTTGGGCAGGTAGCTGGTCTCACCCGCATCAAACTTGAAGGATGAGATGCCGTACTTGTGCCGGAGCTGGCGCAGGTGGCTCTGGAACCAGTCACGGGCTGCTGGGTTGGTGAAGTCCAGGATGGCCCCGATGCCGTTCCACCACTCCACCATGGCCGGCAGCCGCCCCGACGGCTCCTTGATGAACAGCTGACGCTCAATACCCACACCAAAATTGGAGGAATTGTAGTTTATGAAAGGGTGAGTCCACAGAGTGACCTTAAACCCATCTTCCCTCAGCTTTGCAAACATCTCTGTCACATTGGGGAACTTGACAGGGTCAAAGTCAAAGTCTCCATAGGCTTGGGTGTACATGTCATCAATCTCAATGTGGCTGCAGTTAAAATGGTACTTCTTGATCTTTTCAGCAAACCGCAAGAGTTTATCCTGGTCAATATCATTCTTGTAGAGGGCCCACGTGGACCAGATGGGGTATCGGAAAGCGTTCTCAGCAGGGATCTTGGAGGGCTTGTTGAAGTACCTGCGCACCATGTACTTGTGGATGGAGGTGACGTCGGAGCCCACGCAGACGCGGTAGCTGAGCTCGGGGAAGGGCTGCTGGCCCGGTGGGGGCTTGTAGGGTGAGTCCTTGTAGCGGGCCTGGAAGAAGAGGGTGCGCTCGGTGGCGTTGAAGCCCAGGTGGAAGGGCACGGAGTCGTTGATCTTGATGGCCGCCGCCTTGGAGGAGAGCCAGTAGCGCTCGAGGATGCCGCCAAAGCTGTCACGGAAGGAGTAGACGTCGCTGGTCACGTAGGGCACGGGCTCCTGGTAGCCGGCCAGGCGGATGGGCCAGTGCTGGGTGCTCATCTCCGAGCCCCCGTACCAGTGGGCGTCCTCCCAGAACATGGTGTGCTCCACGGCCGGGCCGGCCGCCAGCTCCTCCCAGCGCACGCGGTAGCACATCACCGTGTCCTTGGGCTTCACCGTCTGGATGAAGAAGTTGAGCGGCCCCCGGCTCGAGCGCGAGCAGCTCAGGATCTCGCCCTCCTTGGAGCACGACTCCAGGTCCAGGCTGCCCGAGCGGAAGGCCAGCCGGAACACCACCTCCCCGTGCTGGTTGCGGATGTCCTCAGGGACACGGTGTAGTAGCACCAGGCCACCACTGCAGCAATGAACAGGATGAGGCCCAGAAAGATGGCACCCAACATGGGCCTCAGCTCCTTGGAGGGCTTCTGCTTCACCGGTGTGACATTTTCAGTCAACTGCCTTTCTTTGCCATACCACTTTGGAATGTTTCCATGTTTTCCTGAGCGGTGGGTAATCTGAGTGTCCATTATTCCTTTGCAGCCTCAACACCTGGTGAGAAATTTTGCTGCTGAATTCTTTTACTCCAGCTGGTGAAGAGAAAATCCAAGATGCTGCATGAAGCAGCATTCACAATGTCCTTTCCAAAGCTTGTCCACTCACACCTGCAATGGTTTTTCATAAAATAGAGAGTTATAAACACCAAAAAACCCAATTAAATCTTGCTGAGGGCCGCAGCTCCTCTGCCCTGTCTGCAGTCCAGCCTCCCTGCCTTCTGACTCTGGCTCACTTTGCTCTGTAGTGGCAGCCTTTTCACTGGCAGCTGTGTTGAGCTTTTTTGGACATGCTTTTTGGAGCATGTCTGTGCCAGGATTCCTATGACCCTCTCTTGGCTGCAGCCTTGCTCTATCCCACAGAGCAAGGATGAGGGGATGAAAGTCAGACTAGAGCCTGGAGGAGAATGGGGCCAGGGGAAGGGGCTGGTACCTGAGCACACAAGCTGGACATCACAGGCTGCTCTGTGTTTACATTAATTATGAGCCCTGCTGGATTTCCTCTCCTGCCCACAACCTCTCTGCATTAAACAGTGGCAGAGAAATGCTGTGCTGAAGTCTCCAGCCTCCACCTGCTGCTCGCACCACACTCCCAAGGATGCAGCTTACAAAAGATGTTTCATCTCCCTGCACTTTGCTCCTTCCCTGAACTGCATGGGGATGTGGGGGTGTGGGGATGTGTTTCTCTTTCCCTTCAACTGCCTGTCCTACTACCTACTCCAAAGCCATCACCCCAGAAAATCCCCTCTGGCCCTTACAGGGAAAAAAGAGAATATTCCACTACATCTCTGTCTCTGTTTTCTTATTATCATTCAGTTCTCCTAATTTATTACGACTCTGTAGCTCCTGGGTTTATGCCAAGCAAGATGCTATACTGCAGTGGGGCTGGAAGATATTTTGGTACAGAGTATGAGGATAGGTATATAAAATTGAAGTTATAGCAAGACCAGGACTACATCAAAACATTGTTTTGCTGAGAAATGCACAGAAGGTGACGTGTTCCAGCTGCATCAAGCATTACCAAGCCAGCTAATGCAGCACAGCTGAGCATCTACAGCCAAAACATCTACACAGGCAGGAGAAACTGAGACTGGTGGCTCAAGGCAATGCATTCTGCGCAACCCTGGCCCCTTCCTGGGGTCTGTGTGATCTGACAGGATGAAAACTTGCAGGAGTAGCCTATACGGAGAGGGGGAAAAGGAGCCAGTTTGCTCATCGGAACTGTGCCCAGCAATAAATGGCTGCCTGTATTTACCCGTGTCACCATGACATCAGTATCCAAATATACAGAGATGATAAGCCACCCAGGCAGCCATTAAAAATGCCAGAGGTCACCACATTTTGGATCGATCACAACAGATCCCAAACCACCCAAATTAACTGCCTGGTTAGTTTTTGAAGTGTGCTCTAGGGATGAGTGAAACTTAACTGAGAAAAAGGGCTGGAGTGCATAAATGTGTTCTCAGAAAAGCCCTGGCCAGGGAAGGAGGGTAAGAAAAGGAATGTTATTGCTGCCCCAAAGAGATGGTGATCCAGGACATGGGTGGTTTTGGGGAGCAGGTTGGATTACATGTGCTTGGGGCACTCTGCCAGCCCCGAAGTGCTCAGACCTGGCAGACTCCCAGCGCTGGCCTGGCTCCTGAAATGACTTTGAAGCCCTGCCCTTGGTGGTTTCCAGTGAAACCCTTGTGTTTTTGCAAAACAACATTTTCACTTTGAAGGTGTTATTATGTGCTGGGTCAGTCCTTAGTTGCTGGCTTTGGAGCTTTCTTCCTCTTCTTCTTTCCTCCTTTCACCCTCACAACCACCATGGGGACAGGACTCTCCTGTAAGACAAGCTGCACCATTTTCCAGGTGAAAAAATAAGGAATGGAAAGGGAGGGTTTTCTTCTTTTTTCTTATTTCTTTTTTCTTTTTTTTTTCTTTCTTTTTTCTTCTTTATTCTTTTTCTTTTTCTTTTTTTTTTCTTTTTCTTTTTTTTTCCTGGTAATATTAGGCAACATATTAAAAAACCCAAACCACATGGACATCATGAGTCAAAAATCTCTCCAAGAATAAAGGATGTGAGGAAAATTTCCAAGCTTTCTGTGCAGTGATTTCACTCCCAAAGAGTTGGTTTAAATCCCCTGATTTCCCCAGGAGCAGAAGATATGGGGCAGAAAAATTGCAAAAACCAAGCAAGCCGGAGCTCCTGAGACAAGCCATCCTGTCTCCAGTGTAATTTGGGTTTTCCTCACTCCTATGATGTCGTGGGATCCCACGTTGATAGGCCAGCCCTGCCCCTCACAGAGAAGAGATGAGATGTGAGTGACCAGTGGGGAGAGCAGGCTCTGGCACTTCTGGAGGCAGCAAAGGATGAAATTGGGATTTCTAGCATAGATTCCACCAGGGTGAATGAGTTTCTGAAGCTGCATTACATCTCTGGAAAGCATTAAACATCTGCTGGCCTAGCTGTCAGCCAGAGTGATGCCTAGGGATGGTGAGAAGAACTTTTGCTATGGGGTGCACAGAGGTGACCCAGAGCTCAGATCCAGCCCTATCCTTGCTCCATCCATGGGGTTATGGCATCACAGAGACCCTTACCTGTGAGTATTTAACTGGTCCTTGCAAAGCCTCTCTGCTCTGCGGGTGCTTGATTAACCCACCCAGAGTGCAAGTGCTCCCAAATCAGGGGAGGGCTGAATTCTCCCACAGTGCCCTGGAAGCCAGATGCCCCAAGGATACCAGCACTGTTGTGTTATATTTGGGCTGCTTTATCAGGTGCTAATCAGGTATGGATCTGGACCTAACTGTCCCCCAGGCTGAAAGAAGCCAGGATTCCTCACCCCAAGGAATTTAGCAGAGCTTAGCATGCACAGATTAAACATTGACATATCCAGCACTGTGATAAGCAGAAAATGAGACAGGACTTTAGACCCTCTTATAGCGAAACAGGGGCTTCAAGGGTTTCAAGTGACGAAACACATATCAGCCAGCTCGAAGGGCAGCTACACACCTAAACCCCTTAGTGCACCTACCTTGAGAGTCTCCTTCCCCCAGACCAAATTTATCCCCAGAACCTTCCCCTGTCTCTTGTCACCTGTGTCACAAGTTTGTCAGGCCTCCATTCAGATTCCAGCTATGTGATTCCTGAAAATCCTCAGATTTTCAGCATTCTAAGACTCTGAGGCTGCCTCAGTTGGTGCTAATAGCACCAAGGTCATGGTTTTGATTCCTGTATGGGCCATTCCCTTAAGAACTGGACTAAAGGATGATGCCTGTGGGTCCCCTCCAACTCAGAATATACTGTGATTCTGCATATGTTTACCTTTCTGGTGGTTCAGGAAGAGCATCACTCTTTAAAGAACCCATCAGGAAACAATTTGTGCTTTAAACAGAAAGACATTTTCCTATATTTAAGTTTATTTTACAGGTTAGTAAACACTTAGTCACTATCAGGTGCTTTTAGGGAGAGTATACATGTCCTAGCAGAAAGAATCATAGGTAGCTAAACATAATAAGCCATAAACAAACTACTGCCCTGTCAAATGCTGCAAGAATTGATTAATCATTTACCAAGCTCTTTTAGACTGTTTAAAATGGACCTTTTTAGCAGAAGTCATGCGAAGTAGAAAGCAGTTCCCATTAACTCTCATTTCCTGCAGCAGCTTGACAAATATGGGTGGTGTATGGGGGATTTATTGCCACAAGGGACCTGGGGGAGGTTTGTTCACCATTTTTTCTGTGCATATAGATGATGTGAGAAAAGAGGTATCTGATGTGTCCCCAGCTCAAGGTTATCACATGAGCTGCCACAGATTAGCTACAAGCCCAACAAGGCTTGACACAGGGTGGAAGTGGCTGGGTGGTGGCTGCAGAGGGTGAAGTGACATTGCTCTGCAGTCCATGTGGTGCAGGTGGGGACAACAACATCTCTGCCAGCAGCACACAGCACTTAGAGAACACCTGGAGCAGCACGAGGAGGTGGAGAGAAAGGACACAGTTGGAGTCTGTCCCTCAGAGTGGTGCAGGACCCTGCTCCACCTGGAAATACACTCACTTGTGTCCTGAAGCAGGGAGGATACCAGCCCCAATGCTGGGTGCACCCCTCACCCCAGGCCAGGGCTTTTAGAAATTCCTGATAGCTGCAGTGAGGGGGTGAGGATGACTGGCCTCACTGCTTCAGCCCTTGGCCCCTGGGGGTCTCACACAGCTCCTTGGGCTGAAGCAGCAGTTTGGTTCATATTAAGCCCATGCCAGCTGCAGAGTCAGACCAGCTGAGAGGCCTGTATCCTGCACACGGAGAGACCTTCACCAGCTCACACCACCAGACAACTCTGAGCAGGATTGTTTCTGGAAGCCATCCTGATTTGGGAGGCTCTTCCCCGCTCCCCACGGCTCCTGGTGCCTGGAGCATTTGTGGCTCACCTCAGCACAAATGCAGACCTCGGTCTGGCTGCACAGACTTTGCTGGTTTCTGCCTGAACAGAGTTCTGCTGCAAAGCTGATTACCCTGTGCAAGCCTGACAGTGTCATAAGCCCCCTGAAGCCTTGAAAATCCAGCTCAGGTCTAGAGCAGGAATATTACCCAAGGTTTTTCATAATCCAGAGGATTCCAGTCCCCCAGTACTGGGAAAAAAGGTAGAGTTTACTGCAGAGGTCTTTCATTCCTAATTGCTGTGGTAGCAGGAACTGGAAGACCCACTCCTGTCCTCTTCTTCCAACAGACTCCTCCTCCAAAGTCAGTAGAAAAAAGCCTTGCAAAATCAACTTTTTTCCCTGTTTCAGAGCTCTCTCTGACTCCTCAAGATGCACAGTGTCCATGCGCTGCTCCAAGCTGCCAGTAGTGGCCACAGCATCCCACTGCAATCTGGGAGCCGCTCTGCTCATATCCTTGGGAAGGAGCTCCACCTGCCGAGCCGGTGGCCCAGGCTGAAACCCAGGGACCATTGCCAGACTTGTGCCAGGGGTGTGGGGTGACTGGCACCGAGCTCATCAGACCCTATTTACCATGGTCAGCGCTCGTGAGGAGCTCTAGGGGCGTTCTGAGGTGCCTTTCCCTCAAACAAACCATACAAAGAGGGATCAGCAAAGCACAGGTAAGGGGAGAAAAGGTCCTTATGTGCCTCAGCTGCAATCATGTGAGCAGGCTGGGGGACTGTGGAAATACAGGAAAACAGGAGGAAAAAAGGGTGCTGTCATCTCAGTCTGCTTTGAATGCAGTAGGCTGAGCTCATGCAAGGTGAAGGACAGAGAGATAAAGAGGCTCAATTCTTGAAAGCTTTTCTTGAAGAACTGCTCTTGCTTGCAATTCTTTTGTGATGATGAGTCAGAGACCTACCATGAGGGCAGGACAGGTGGGTCCTTGAGGGATGCTGCAGGCTCTGCATGGGTTAAGCCAACTGCCTGTGACAGGGTGAGGGGTCCTGGGCAATGCACCTCAGGCCTGCACCTGTGGGACTTCTTGTGGCACTTAAGCATCCACAATGGGAGATGAGGCTCTCAGATAGGCTGAGAGTTCTGGGTTCTCCACAGTCTCAGTCTGCTGCTCACATGGGAGCGGGTCAGCAAGGACTCATCTAAACCCAGGCATCTCTGGAGCTGTTGCTTTATCCCAGACCAGCTCCACTTCCCATCTGAGGGAGCATTTTGGCATGCAAAAATTTCTTTTTCCTTCTGCATCCCTTCTTGGAGATACAGATTCTTTACCATAGTTATTTTCCTAAACATCTGATGCCATTTAATCTCTGTGACCAAAGGCACCAAAGCAGAGAAAACCTGTCAAAGGCCAGAGAGTTAAAACAAAGCCAATAAGCATTTCCACATTGCCCAGAGGATGTTACCTTTGGAGAGAGGATTTCACCTCAAAATACTGAGCAAACTCCCCAGAACACCAGTTCTCCTCACTCTGCAGACACATTGTGAATTTTGCCATTTCTTTTCTGAGATAACAGTAAGGGTAAAGGATTGAGCTCAGATTTTAAACCTCTTCCTGATGTCTCCAGTGTCATAAAGCACAGTGCTGGCTACAAGGCTGGGGTGAAAGTGTAACAGATGGCTGTGCGGTTCCTGAGCATCCCACAGGTTTAGAGCTAGCAAAATATTTGTCTCCACTTGCTCTCCCAGCTGTTGTGTGCTAGAAAGCAGTGCCTGTCTCACACCAGCAAGGGCTGCAGTTGGTGTGTAGTGAGTGACCCCTCTGTGTGAAGGTGTGGTGGCCAGCACCACACCACAATCAGGAGATGAAGTTTCACTTGATCATTACTTCACTCTGATTAAATTCACCATGATCTGCAACATGATGAGAAAAAGCAATGCACCCATCAAACTGATGATGGAGACAAGAACAAGGCTGCTCCACGGGACTTGGGATGGCAAGGACTAACTGATGTGGAAATTATGTGACCGAGAGTCAGTTCCTGCTCCACGTGGGAGAGGCCACAGCTGGAAAATAGCCTGCTCTCTCCTAGGGGCATCCCAGGAAAAGCTGTAAAAACAATTTGAAGAAACCTTCCCTATGAGGCTACACTATTCCCTAAGCGAGTCAATGCAGCGGGGAAGAACGGGCTCTAAGGATACAGAGCAACTTTTTATGCAAGTATTTTCTTGCACATAGAAGAAATAAGGCCAGAGTGGTGTCCTGAAACCCTAAAAATCTCAGTGGCTAATGTTCAACTGATTCTTTTTGGTCTGTGCTAACAAGTTGCTGTTAGACTGACCACTTTCCTCTGGGGACTAAATGTGGCATTGGTTTCTGGCATGGGCTCTCCTCAGTCTGGTGCCAAAGAGATGCAGTGAAGAGTGTTTTCATTTTCAGTCCCAGTCAAGTAGCAGAGAATTTAATATCTGCATTTTTTTAAAATTAAAAATGCCTGTAATTTATCACAATTTGACCTGTTCCCATGGGGGAAAAACTCACAGTAATCACAAAGAAACCAGCTGGTATTTTTCTTAAGTACAGTGCTACAGTAAGAGAGCACCAACGTCACCAGGACAAGAATTTATCCCAACCCTCCCCTTTGTTTGATTGTAGAACATAATTTATATTTATATTTATATTTATATTTATATTTATATTTATATTTATATTTATATTTATATTTATATTTATATTTATATTTATATTTATATTTATATTTATATTTATATTTATATTTATATTTATATTTATATTTATATTTATATTTATATTTATATTTCTGCTATATCCACATTTTGTTTGAAGCCAGGTTATGCCTCTGATAGTGGAAAAGCTGGGAGCCGTCATCCCGGGTCTGGGCAAAGAGGGAGCTGCACCATTGCGAGGCCCTGACCTGACACCATCCCCTTGCATGGATCCCCATACTGCACTGTTTTTATTTGATAGTTTGGGCACTAAAGGAAGCAAATCCCAGCCCTCCAGCTGACTCCTGGTCTCATGGGAAGAGCTGGGAAAGGTGACATTGGTGCCATCCAGGACTGGACCCCAAAAGTGAAAGTGAAGCCACCATTTTTCAAGTGTTTTTGTGCAAAAGGCTTAATATTTTATTAAAGTGAGAATGACCTCAGCAACCATAGGAGATGGACAAGGAAGAGGAAGTGGATGAATGGGAACATATTGCTAGCAAAATTGTAATTCTTGCTCGCTCTGCCACTGTTTACCTGTCAGTCTTTGCTGCTTTCCCTTTGGGAAGGATGTGAGGTTTCCTCCTTGTGCAGAGCCCAAAGTGATGCATGAAAACACAAATTCAACCCAAGCAACCCTCAGGATGATGATCAGGGTAAACTCACAGCAGGAGCCTACTCCCCCATCCAGGAGCTCAACTCCCCCTTCCACCACTCTCCGGCTCTAGGACAACCACAGCTGGCTTGTGAGGATTTATCTCTGCCACGAGCTATAACACTGCCTAAAATCCTCTTGGTGGAAATAATTCTCTCTAAAGAGAAAACGACCCTGTGGCAGCACGGCCAAGTGCAGGGTTTCTGCAGACACATCCCACGCCCATCAGAGCACTCCTGCTGAACTTTGGATTTTCTTGCCAGGCCAGCCCTTCATCCCCCTCCGCTCCCAGCCCTGGCGAAGGCAGCAGACCAGCCTGCTTAGCATGCATCTGTCATTGCTGGGAGCAATCACTGCTGCTAAGGAGCCGAGCCCGGCGGCCGCGAGCATCTCGGTCCAGCGTCCCCCCCATCCTGGCTCGTCATATGATTTCTCCTAAGGGACAGCTGCTGAGCGGGACTGTGTCTCCAAGCTGATCCTTTGCTGATAAGCCAGCTGCCAAGCCTCCACTGCTGAGACAAAGGAGTTTTTCTCTTCCCAGCAGGGTTTTTCTGCTGTGAATGACAGAGAAGGAGGTAAAAGTGAGCTGCCTGGCACTCCTCGTGGGCGAGAGGCTTTGGGGGCTCCTTCTCCCCCGCTGTGCTGGCAGATCATGGAGCTTTTCAGGCTGAGCCTGGGCTGCATTTGCCTCCTTCCTTGGCTTGAGGGTAAGTTTCTCCTCCTTTGGGGTAGCTGTAAAGTGGGAAGAGAACTGCCTCCCGGGTTTTAACCTGCTTTCCTGCTGAAGTGCTGCTTGGGCTGCTCAAGAACCCACCAGCTGTAAAACAAGTGCCAACAGGCACATTTCAGGGCAGCATTTAAAATCGGATTAAACACAGGCGTACAGAAGAGTGAGGGACAGGCTGGCAAGGTGCTAGGATGGTTGGGCCAGGGACACTGTGGCATCATGCCGGAAGCTTTTATAAAGCGCTTTTAAGCTGCTAAGAGCAGTGGATGAATAAAGTGCCCAGGGAGGGAGGCAGGCACTAAGTGACCTCCTAAGCACTAATGTTCCTCCCGGTCCCAGCTGCTCTTACCCAGAAGTGAGTGGGCTCAGAGCGTGGTAGCAGCATGGGAGAGGGAAGTGCAGAAGTATTAGTCCTGCTCCTGTGGTGATCGGCTGGGAGCGGGAGGTGCTGGGAAGCTGCAGAGTCTGCACTGCTCACCTCCATGGAGGAAATTTGGTAGCAGCTCACACTGACATTCAGCTGCTTTCTGAGCTTGCTCCAATCCTATATCCTGCCCATGCACAAGAGTATTTTGAATCCAAGCAGCCCTGGTTTTGACATGTATGGATAGATGCAAAAAGCAGAAATTCCTGCTGAGCATGATCCCAGGGATCCAGAGCAGTGCTATCCAGGAACAGTTTCCCAGGAGTAGTGCTACCCACAGTCTCACCAATCCCATTGAGGGCATCAGGAATAACCTATTTTCTTGAAAAAAGGGAAAAGACCCTGAGCTAATAAGCCTTTTTATTTTGCTGCTATGACTAAGATGTCAGGTGGAAAGCTATTCATTGAAATAAATCCTAGAAGTTCTTCAAGACTCATTCAGTCCTTGAAGCTGCAAGGAGAACAGCCCTGCAGTTTTACAGGCAACATGCTCAGAGCTGTTCAAAATCCCTTGATCAGAGGACTACAACTATTCGTGCTGCCCAGCTGGGATGTTTATTCCTTAAAGACAAACCTCATACTTGTACCTCTGACCAGCTACTTTCCATTCCTTGCTGCACAAGTGAGTGTTCCCCAGGATACTTTGAGAAGTTACCCCTCAATTTGCTCTGCAGCTGGGTAACAGGTGAGGTTTGTGCTCCTATGGGTTTGACTTCTGCTCCATCTGCTGCTGATTTCTGCACATCAAAAGTTGTCAATTAAAGTGAACTGAATCTCTCACTTGTAAAGCCCTAGGCTGAGGGTATGTCCCTGTAATGGTAAGGGGTGATGATGCATGTGCATCTTTTAAAAGTTAGAGGAGATTTGGTTAGGACCTGGAGATGACACCATGATGGCAAGCAAAGAAAGCAGAACAGCCTTCAGGCTGTTGCTGTTGCTCTTCCTCTGCCTCTAAGGTAGCATCTTGTCTGGTGTTAGAATAAAGAGATTTTTTACTGCTGCCATACAAAGGAATCCTCATGGTTGTGTTTTATTAGTGAAGTATGGAGGATCACAGGGCATTTCTCTTCCTTTCTAGTGTAATGCTTTTGGTGCAAACATGATCAGCCACTGCTGATTTCAGCCAGACTAGAAATAAAACAATAAAACCACCACTGTTTCACAGAAAGGAATTCATCTTCCCAATGACTAGGAATGTCCAAAGAAGCTCAAATAATAGAGCACAAAAAAGTTTATGCTTGGGGCTGATCTCCCCCTGCCACAGATCTTCTCCATCCCCTCCTGCCTGGGGCTGCTGAGTTTTAAGGCTGCAGGCAGGACAGAGATGCTTGCTCTCCACAGACCTCTAAGGGATTGGTTTCCTGCTGAAAACTGGAAATCCTGGAATTTCCTAAGTTCTGACAGCTGTTTCTTTGGAAAGCAGAGAGGAGGCAAAAATTAGATGTCAGAAAAAAATCCTTCACAGAAAGGTGATTGGGCAATGGAATGGGCTGCCCAGGAAGGTGATGGAGTCACCATCCTTGGACATGTATAAAAAAAGAGTGGATGTGGCACTCAATGCCATGGTTTAGTTGATGTGGAGATGTTAGGTCATGGGTTGGACTTGATGATCTCAAAGGTCTTTTCCAACCTAGTTCATTCTGTGATTCTGTGAAAAGTTTTCTTAAAAAGCCAAACCTAATGATGACCCTGTGTGGTGCAATGGGCAAGGGGAAGTCAGGTACCAGCTGCATCTGTGCCTACACACACAGAAGGAAAACTGCTGAAATAAAACTGCATTTAACACTGACTCTGGACCCCCATGCACTGGGTGTGAGGCTGTGGTGGCTGTACTCAGCATCTTGGCCTGATCCCATATCTTGGGAGCCTTCTCCCCTGCAAGCCCATGGTAGTGCTGGCTACTCCCTGATGCCTGACACCCTGACCTCAAAAGGCAGCCCTAAGCATTTTGCACTGAAGAGACAGAAAGGCCAAGCTTGTATGAAACTTCTACTCCCCCATTTACTTTTCCAGCCTCCAACTATTTTTCACTTGGGGGATTTCCTGGCTGTGGCGCGTTTAACTCTTCAGTAGCTACTAGATTTCTCCCTCGGCTTGTGCAGATTCTCTCCAGCAGCAACACACAATGCCTGGGTGCAGAATCACTTCCTGCACGCTGTGACCCTTCCCTTGCACTCCTTGTCCCATCCAGGATCAGTCCTTGACCAGTCAACCCCCACTCCTTCCTCTTCAGACCTCTCTGGATTTTGTAGACACGCATCATATCCCCACCCCAGGGACTGGTTTTCTCCATTTGCATCAGTTTTGTGGTGACTTCACCAACCTCCCCACTTCCCATAATTTATAGATTGTTTTTCCATGTCAAAACCTTCCTTCTTTTCTTATGGCTGCTCTGCTCCCTTGGAGGTCTTCCCTGAGCTACTTGGTCAAAAGTGGACCTTGCAGTTATGTGGAAATATATGAAGCCCTGCAGGTCAACCAAAAGCAAGACATGCTAAAGAAAGCAGCAGTGGCTGGAAAAATTACAGGCCAAGCCACCCCAAACAATTTGCAAATATCTTTGAGTGAGACATTGCAGGCAATGCTTAGAAACAGCAGAAACTTTCCCAGTAGCACTGGGATTACTGGTAACCAAGGCTTTCTTAGTGGCATTACCTTAATTAGGAATGTTGCATGGATTTTGCCCCTAATCCTACATGGAACAGCATGTCCCAAGGGTGGCCATGCTGCAGAGAAGCAGGGGCCTGTATTTGCTTCCTTTTCTATCTTGCAACCAGACAGAGTGTCAGTATCAGAGGACAAATGAGTTGGCATCAAAAGCCTTGCTAGAAATTGTTTATTTTGTTCCTAAAAATACGAAGAGGCCAAAGTGTTCAAGTATGAACAGCCCAAAGCAGGCATCTACTTGGGCTATGTGGGTAAGGCTGGCATTTTCCAGAGATGCTGAGTCCCATCCTCAGGGAGTACACTGGATGCTCTGGTTACTCAAGGTTAACATTCTTAAAATGTTCAAAGTATAGCCTTACTTGTCGGACCACTGGGCAGTGGAACTTGGGATGTCATTTTGTCTCCTGAGTAAAGATTTTTGGTGCCTGATGTGTTTCTCAAAGTAAACATCTTCCAGGTTTAGTTCTAATCCTTCTGGTTGAGTTTAGGTCTACCCTCTGTGACTGTGTGGGGCACATGCAATGGCTGCTGGCAGTCACCTGTAACTGCAATATTTGCTGCTACTGTGCAGGTAACAAGCACAGTGATTGGTTAGAGTGGAACATAAAACATCAGGGACTCTACAGAGAGCAAAACACATATCTCCTGCTTGGTCAAACAGCAGCACTCTTTAAAGTGTAATGAAAATACCCAAAAGTTTCAAATGGAGAACCATTGCCAAGAAAGGGAAAAAAAAAAAAAAAACCAGCAAAGCTTGTGGCATGCTTAATAATAAAACCTGTAAAAAAATACGAGAAAAAGATGTGGATGAGCAGCCTAGAGAGACAATACAAAAACTGCCAGCAGAAATTTTCAAAAATTATTTGAAGCAGGACCTTGGTGGGGGTCAGGAGGTCAATAAATAACTGGCACAAATGCAAGAAGGGCAACCAAAAGTAGGGCAAAGTAGAAAGGCTGAATGGATTACTGGCTCTAGTGCTCATTTCAGACATGGTCAGGGAGGTCGTGGCAATCACTCTTTGCAGTTTGAAGAGTGTTATCAAACAGAATTGGCAACAGAGGAACTTTTAGGAGGAAAAAAATAAAAAGAGGATAAATAATCTATGGCAAAGGACCAGCCCAAATGTCTTTTGAGTTACAGGAGTTACAGGAAACTAAAGATGACATTTTAAAAATTTCTAAGGGGTGTATTAAATTCTTATTTAAAGCAATCTCAATGCCAAAGGGCTGCATTACAGCAGTAATGCCCCTCTTAAGAGAGATTCTTGCACAGCCTAGGGAAACACGTCCTTAGGCTCCACTTCAGCATCAGGCAAGTCAGTGGAAGCAAAGAACAGTATTTACAGACAGATAAACATGAGAAAAGTCAATGCAGCTTTTGTAATGGGAATGTCTGACATCCATGATGGTATCAGTAAGAACATAAATGTGCTGAGCTGATGAAAGTCTTGTGCCAGTGCTTGCAAAAGGCTTTTGATAAGAATCTTCCACCAAGTCCCTTCAGAAACTCTGTTCTCATGGAGTAGGAGAGAGACCTAGTCCACAGGCTAGAACAAACAGGTGGAAAAAGCTGACAGTGATCGCAGCAGTGATAGTATCTGAAGGTGCTCAGAAAAATCAGAAGGGATGAATAATGAAGTAATTTAACTTGCTGATGCCACAAAGTAATTAAGAATAATCAAAACTAAACTTGACTGTGTGAAGCTGCAGAAGGAGCTCCTGATACTGATGGAGCTACAAAATCATACTTTTCTTTGAACTTCAGAGTTGAAAAATATAACCATTGGGCAAAACCCTTTTACCTATAAATGGTAATTTGGTAATAAGCAATACTCTCTGAGTTATCCCATGCAGAGGTCTGGAATAGCTTCCCAGAGAGGTTGTGGAATCTCCCTCTCTGGAGACATTCAAACCCCACATGGGTGTGTTCCTGTGTCACCTGCTCCAGGTGACCCTGTGCTGGCTGAGTGATTGGACTGTATGATCTCCTGTGGTTGCTTCCAACCCCAACAAATCCATGATTCTGTGATTTTTGGAAGGAGGCACTGGCATACTGTTGTCTTGAGTGGGCTCTTTACTTGTCTGATTCCTACCCTCTTCCTCTATTAACATATGTTAATGTCCCAGTGCTGCAGAGAGGATCCTGAGCTCAGCAAATGTTTTATCTGATCAAACACAGTTGTCATATTCCCCTGTTACATTGTAATGCATGTCTCAAATTATTTCTCTGGAAATGGGTTTCTCACAGTTAAGCTGAAGCAAAGAGGTAAGAATCCTGAATTCCACATCCTAGGGAAAAATGGCAAGGGTGGGGTGGGGCTGGGGGGATTGTATTAATCCATTTCAATTTTCTAAAATCTGTGGGAAATTACATATGAGACATTTCTCCTGCCTTTAGAGGCTGGCAAAAACTCAAGTCCAAAGTGCATTAAATATCTTACCGACACCCAGCCCTCAGTAAGGGTTAAAGAGAACAGGACTCACAAGATGCCCACAGATAGCCCAGAGATTTAATTTCCATTTAGGCACATTGGCTCAGCAGGAATTGTCTGGACTGGTGGCTTTCACAGGTCCAAGTTAGTCAATATCCTGGTGCAGACACATTGATCAGACAATCTCAGAGCTGGTGCAGAAGGACTGTGGTCTCTGGCTCCTCTCCTCAGACATTCAGGCTGAGCAAAAAGCCCTGAGCTGTTTCTGATTTAATAGCACCAAGGCATTATTAATCTAGCATAGCCCTAGAATTTCCTGAGAGAAAAACATCCTCTAAGCTATTGTTTATATCATTATGTTATTGTGTACCAGCTTCTGTTTATACTGTCACTAATCTTTTCAGGTACTGAGCCAAATACTTGTATTGGCTCAGTATTGTTTTGGTGTTTTTTGGTGTGGTTTGTTTTTTTTTTTTAATTGATGAGGGGAAACTGCAGAAATAGTTTAGATAAAAATCAGTGTTCTTGCCTAACATCACTTTTCAGTGTCTTTTTACTTTATGCTCAGTACTATATACTGATGGGGCTTTTATAACTCTGTCTCCTGGGGAAAAGAGAGAAAAAACTTAACTGCAAAAGCTGGGAGTTGCCATGTGCTGTTATTAAAAGATTTCTCAGAATGTTCAGAAATTTGAAACTCCTATCTATCTATCTTAGGCATAAAATACACAGCAGAAAGTACGCCCACAACAGGGATGGATGGTTTAGCACTTAACATTTTGCTCAGGATATTCACAGGCCACACCTGATGAAGTTATACTGAAAACAGCAGCAACCCTTCAGCTAATGTGATGATATCCATACTAAATCATCTGTGATGTTGGGACCTGCTGCTCTTAAAAGCAACAAGCAATTACAAAAATTGCTTCAAATGGTGTGTTGTGTGTTGTGGGACAGCTGCAACATCTTCCTCTTACAAAAAGATTTTTAAAAGTGTTACCTTTGTTCCCAGGGTGCACAGACCAATGTCAGGTGGGCTAAATACAATATAATTTCAATACTTACATGAGCTGCCTCAGCCAAGTACTTAGACACTTTTGGTGGGATATGATTTTATCCCTGCACTGCTTTAATACCTCCAGAAGCCACTTAATAGAAAGTGTAGCCCAAGGTGGCCTAGTTGGCCCTAGATGAGCAGCATGAGGGGGATTTCAACAGCTCCTTTATAAGAAAGATTTGACCTGGATAGGGGCAAAATATCCCTCAATCCATCTAATTATTTTGGAGGGAGGCTGTTGAACTAGGATGGCTACCTAGTTAAAATAGCTCAAGTACTGATATAAATATAAATATAAATATAAATATAAATATAAATATAAATATAAATATAAATATAAATATAAATATAAATATAAATATAAATATAAATATACACACATACATACATACATACATATATATGTATAGGCAGATATTTGATATAATCATGTTGGAAGAATGTTTTTCCTCATTAGTTACATAACTGCTATTTTCCTCTAGCATTGCTCATGACTATTTACATGCTCCTTTTTTTCAAAGAAATGTCATTCCAGGAAATTAGGAAGCTGTGGGAACTGTTTATCCAGGCATGCCCATCCAGGAAAGGACTAGTGGGTTACAACTTACTTCCCCCAGGGTATTTACAAAGAGATGTGTTTGCCTCAGACATGCACAGTACTAAACCGTGCTCTGATTGTACTGCAGTAGCAGAGGGACAAGGCTTCCTCATAAGGAACACCCGTCTGGAAAAGTGCCTCCGTGCCTCCCACGAGACCAACAGCCTCAGCCTGGCCAGCTGCAAGGAGCACTCCCAGCAGCAGCGGTGGGGCTGGGACCCCGACACGGGCACCATCGTCAGCCTGCACACGAAGCGCTGCCTGGCGGCCCACAGGATGCGTGAGAACGCTCTGGTCAAGCTGGAGCCCTGTGGAGACTGGGAACGCCAGGCATGGTCCTGCAGCAAGAAGGGACACTTGGCTCTGCAGAGCTTGGGCTTCCACCTCAGCACCAAGGAGGGAGGCCACAAGGTCTTTGTCTCAAAGGAGAAGGACAAGTTCAGCAGGTGGAAGACACTGGCAGATGAAACCGTCTGTGCTGCTGCCCGGACAGCAGCTCAGAGGCCCAGCAAACCAACACAAGCAGCTCTAAAAACACGTGTGTGGATCTATGAAAGTAAGATGAGGTAGATTTAGCGTTGGATAACATCTAACTTTCATGTCATTCAAGCCACCTAACACCAGGCTTGCACCCATTATTTTAACTCATGTTCACTTTGGTCCCACCTGGAGAAACACCAAATGGCTCCAGCTAACCCCCGCCACCTGGTACCACTGGTTTCCAGCTGTTCAGTGTTTTCCAGAAGCATGCAAAACCTTACATGGTCAGGTCTCCAAAACTCAGCTGCATTTCTGAGGACAGGCAAACATTTTGTGAAATATTTCTGAATTCGTGCCCACAGCTAAGAACAGTGGAAATTGCTTCAGCCACCCAAGCACAAAACACCCAAGGAAGACTCACAAAGTCAGACACTTTATACTTTGAAAGAGTTTTTGGTACTTTGGGATGTCTTTTTTGGTAAGACAACTGGAGGCAGCTGAAAACCTCTTTTCAACTTACATGAATTATTGAGAAGCAGCTGTATCAGAAATTATCGCTTCCTTTTGTGAAACTGACATTCTCTTTTGTGAGAACCCAACAGTGAACTTTTCACTAATGAAACCTAGTTCTAACCTTCATTCCATGTTCTCATTATCCTCAGAAGTGAACCTTGCTCCTGGTGCCCAATGTAGCCATAAAGAGACTGGTGAACACAGCAAGTAGTGGGAGGTAGCTTAAGTGTTGCCCTCCCTTTGCATTAAGAAATTCCAGATGATGACATCAAAAATTATTAAAAATTTGGTTTATATTAACCATTTATGGCCTTGGCCTTTGCTAAAGAGAATCCAAACTCTGTTTTCATGAATGTTCACTGGCCCTTGTCTAGACTGGACACAGAAAGGTCAAAACCCCTGGTCTTGTCACAATTTTAGGAGTTTGACACAAAGGTACCAGACACCAGGCATGGTCATTTTACCAAGATGTGACTGCAATCATTTCTCACATGCCCAGTGAAGCTCACTGATTCTTCACAGTCTAGTCTGTCTCCCGCTTTCATTTAAGTCCTTTCTGCAAATAAAGGTGGTTTTTGCTACTTTTCTTGTAAAGTTGTGTGCAGAACTGAGACCTGAAAATCACATTCAATTCCTCCTCTCTTCCTCCCCTTCTCTCCTTTCTTCCACTCAGGAGACCCAAAAAGCGCTGGTGTTTATAATGGTTTTTATGTTTCTGTCTACTCTGTAGGTCATGAAATTTCCAACATTCCTCAGGGAAAATTATTTCCCTGACATAAGGCTATTCCTTACCTTAAGGTTGATGGACTCAATAAGATTTTGATCTCTGCAGAAATGAGTAAAGAAAAATGTTGTATCTGGCTGGCATAAACAGATGGATTTTAAGTATAACCTCTTGACACAGAGAGGCTTTATCTAATTTGGAGTAAAAAGAAATACATCACCTGCTTTCGCTGTCATGTGCAGAGAAGGTGGCCTTTTTTCCCCTCAAGGTTTTTAATTAGCCAACTAGAGGGTCAACATTATCACAATTGTTACAAATGTTAGTGCTTGTTTAACATTAAGTTAAATATGGACCATACAAATTAGATACCATAATAGGCCAGTTAAATATAGGCTAAGAAATTCGTGGAACATTTAAGGTATGGGAAAAAGGCATGTGAAAAGAGCATTTTCATTCCCCAAGGCAGTGTTTCTGGCAGCCCAGAACTGCCTTGAAGCCAGGATCCCCAAATAAGGCTGTGAGGGTAAACATAGAGCAGCCTTTGAATCAGGCTGTGACACTCAGTGTGTCTCATACAAACTCATAATTTTCCTATCAATCCCATGGTTGAGTTTACTGGAGGGAATCTCTGATTACTCAGTAACAACATCAAAGTCCTATGTATTTGTTTAGTCATTTCTTATCTAACTTCCAGATGATCATCAACAGATGACTTCTATTTCAGAGGGTTATCTGCTCAATAAATTACACCTGTGTAGCTGTGGTATGGGTGCTCATGCCACAGGATGGCATGGGGTTTGGATAGGTAGCAGGGAGCCTGGAAGTCATGGTTTTCTTGGTCTTGGCATGTGCATTATTACAGAGGAGGGATGAACTGCTGACACCAAACTTCCCACAACCTTCCCTCTAATAGCAGTTGCTTCCACACACACCCTAGTCTGTGGTAGAACTGAAAGGAAAAGGAAGATATTGAGCCTTGAAAGAGGTATGGACTACTTACCACCCTTTGGATCCCATTTTTATATCTGCAGTATTGTTAATAGCTGTGATTCTTCCACTTGCCTCTTTCTCACACATCATCCTTTAACAGCTGGTGTGGCACTCACACTTTTAAAACCAATGACCACATCTACCACCAGAAAACAAGCTATGCTTTGGTTTTTGATTCCATCTTGAGAGGTTAATTTCATCTTTAAAATCTGTGACAGCTGAAAACCCCTGTTGCACAGGAAGACGTGATTGCTACTATAGCACATCCTACTAACCCTGCAGAGCAGAGAACCAAACCAGCAGGGCTGGGCTCCCTTTTCTTGATGGGAAATGAGCATATCCAGATTCCTGTACAAAAAGTAAATTATAATCACACATATCTTTGCTTTATTTCCTTCCAAGCTAAAACCATTGATTCACCAAAGACTGGTGCTGTGGACAGAGAGTCTTCTGTGAGCTTGACTGACCCCCCTCTGGCTAACAAATTCAACAGCACAGTGTCTCCGGTAAAGACCAAACAGGCACAGCTCCCGGCAAATGAGGGTGAGCACTTTTCTGAATGCCTAAGTAAGAACAGCAGGAAGGAAAGTGTGGGCAGCATTTTAAGGTTACTTAGCTATATTCAGAGGTGGAAAAGTACCTGAGGATTTCTGAAGAACTTCCATGTGTAGCACTGAGTGCTTTCACCCAACATGCTGAGGAGGTTGCCTTGGCAAGCAGCTCAGTGATACAGGCTTAACCTGGAGGCATAGCCACCAACTGCTTTAGAAGCAACAATTATGTGTGGCTGGGGGACACCAAGTGACAATGAAGTTTCCTTTTCCTTTCTGGGTCCCATACAAAAGGGATTTGTGGTTGCAGTGAAGCCTCATGAGGAATCTGGACCCCTAATCCAACTGGAAGCTGCTAATTGGAGTATTTCTGCTTCTTCCACTAGATCCATCCCACAATCACTCCAAGAAGCATGGAAATAGGGGGAAAAACACTGGGGCCAGGCTTGCAGGTAGGTCCAAGGATCAGCCACAGAAGGAAAAGACCAGGTAGATGAAGGTTCATCAGTGCCCCTGTCCTTCCCTTTGTGACAGAAACACATTTCACTGGGGTACATCCACTGCTGAGGATGCTCAGTAGAGAATGAGGGCACAAAATTCCCTGCCAGAAAGACTCTTTTTAAAGACTAAACAAATCTTCACAGGTCTGTGACAAAAAAAAAAATTAGTAAAAACATGAAAATGCTTTGTCCCAGCTCACCAGGAGAATCAGACAGCTGCTAGTATTACTGCTTTCCTGCAGTCCTTCCTCTTTTGTATCAGAAAGATGCAGAATTAAGAATCATGAGATACCATTGTCTTTGTAGCAAGAAAGAAAAGCTTTTGTGGGCACTTTTGAGAGAAGGATTGCTGTGCAGTTTCAGAGCAGCTGTAAGATGTTGATCTTGTAGACAAACAGGCTTTTCCTGTTACCTGGCATTTTTCAGGGACATTACAGATTATTTTTTTGTGTTAATTGTGGCTACTGCATAAGAATAGGATATGTACAGAAAACACATGATGCTTTCTCTGATATCCCTTCAGGCACGAACTGGAAGACAGCCATGCTGGTCCTCAGCCCCTTGGCATTCATACTGGGATTAATAATACTGACACTCAACGTTCACTACAACAAGTAAGTGAGAGTCAGGTTCACTGACTTTGCCATGAACAGCATTTTTAAGAAAAACTCCAACATCTCAAAACAGAAGTCTTGGTCTTGGTACCCTTCCCCATTCCACACCTGATGTTGCTGGCTCTCAGCAGATGGGTCAGGTCACCAATGTGTCACCCTTGGTGATTTCTCCTCTCTGCCACCCAGTTTATCCATCCCACTCACTGACCCACCTAAATGTAGCCACTAATGTTGGCTCCTCCTCTCCACATCTTGTGCCACCAGTGAAGGACGTGGCATTACAGCTGCTGATGTGGAGAAGCAACCAAGTGACAGAGAGGTGCAGTAACTCTCTTCTCTCTTCTTGCAGGAAAAAGAAAATCCTCTCTGCTCTGAAGAGCTCTCCAGCCAACAGCAGCAGAGCTGATTTACGGGAGCCAACCCCCTTAAGAAGAGGCCCTCAGCCGTACCTTCCACCATCCCGCTCCCCTTCCCTGAGGCGTGGAGAGATCCTCATCGAGTGGAAAGATGGGACTGTCACTCCTCTTTTTGATAACTTCAATTACCAAGTGGACTAGCTCCAAAATGACAGCGCTTTTGTTCCATCCTGTGTCACTGTTCCCACCAGGAAGAGTGCCACCACAGCTGATCTCCTCCCTACCCTTGCTGTTTTGACAGGAAGCACTGTTTGGGTTTTTTTTCTAAACACTTGAGTACAATCTCCTTGCACAGCACAAGGTTGAAGCAAGCAGAGTAGATTGGTTTGTATAGGCAAATGCTGCTTAGCAATTCCAGAGCTGCTTTAGCTCATAACAAATCCCAGTTTTCTGTAGATGAAGCTGGGACTTTTGCCAGCTGCAATTGCCCACTGAATCAAAATTAGAGTTACCGAGCATATGAAAAAATTAATCTTTGAAGACAAAGCAAAAGGTAAAAAACAGAAGTTCTGATGATCTTTAAATTCTTTTTAAGATAAAACTAGCTGCCAATAGACACAGTAGGCCATCACTTACATTGTCAGTGTGAGAATGTAATTAATAAGCACTGCCTTCTATAAAATCCTTTTCAGGTATCTGCCAAAATATTCATCCCCACTGAGTTGTCAATTAAGTAACAGCAAGTCATTTTTCTAACTTCTAACTAACTAAAAGGTAGCACTCCACTGTCCTCTCTGCATCACTGCAAGAGCCTTGCTGAGAGAATATGTCCCTCAAAATGTTTCCATATTTAAACCTTATTTTAACACACATCATCTTTTATTAAACAGACTGGCAAGTAATGTTGGTCATGCTTGTTGGGGATATTGCATATAGAGCCACTTTATATCAGCTTCAGTCTCTGATTTCCTATAATCATATGGAATAGTCAATAAATAGATATATTGCTCCAGAGCAGTAATACAGGGTTTTTTTTCCTTTAGACGGAGTAAGACACTGTTTTCAACCTTTACACTTCTTGTTTGAGCATAATTACCTGTGACTGTCACACTCAGTCCTGATCTTTTCTCAGTGAAATTTGCAATGACTTAGCTCTTTCCTAATATTCATGAACATATGCTTTCTTTCTCTCTGATTCTGAGATTTTGTAATTATGGCTATAAATCAAGAGTTATGTCGAGAAAGAAACAATAACACCAGGAAATTACAAGTATGAGCTGTGTCAGTGTATTTGTTCAGTAGAGCAAGGGAAACCATACCCTCACATCTCTTACTTACTCTTATGCCTTCCACTTGACCTAAATTAAGTTGTTTTACTATTTTAGTGTAGCTTGGGTTTTAACCAAACTCTTCTCTTGAGTCTGGTTTTATTTAACTTACAGGAGAAGTAAGGTCTCTCTAGGGAATTTAACATCACTGGGTTTTGCTTGTGGTTAAGGTTGGTTGGATGGTTTGGAGTGTTTCTTTTTTGGTTTGCTTTTTTTTCTTGTTAAATGGTAAGAAGTTTACTGTCATGAGATATTATAATAAACAAAAACTTAAGTCATCTTAAAAAAAAAAATACAAGCCCTATTGGTTTAGGGCATAAATATCATAGAGGTTGAAAATAAATATCTTTTCCAGGCAGATTATTCCATAATTATTTACTGGAGGGTTTCCCAGATGCTCCTTGGGAAAATATTTTACTATTAGACATGGGCAGAAGAACTCTTTCTTCACCAGTGAGCAGCAAGTATGAGAGTTAAATTCTGACTTTCCAACATTTCTGCTTTAAATGAAACCAAAGAACTCTGGGATCAAAAAACGTGTATGAATCATTTTAATCACAAAATTTACGGCAATACATTCTATACATAAATCACTTAAAATGCACACACAGTGCCTTACCCATTCTCACAGTTAACACCCCTTGGAATTTTGTCCAAGGAGCAAATCACCTTTGAGTGCACAGCACTGGTGACCCTCCAAAACCTTGACATGCTTTGAGAACACCATGTAAGCAGTGCTACTAAAAGGGAAATACTGGCTTGGAGCTGAGCTAACTTTTGTTTTCAAAGCATTAAGTGTTACTGCTGAATGGGCAGAACCGATGACTTGTTAATTACTCTCTAACTCCAGCTTAATATGCTAATCTTGCTCATAAACACGAAGGCAGCAATACCATTGTTTACACAGCACTGATTAAATGGTAGCTCAAACAATAATGAAAAACCAAGACTGAGGCTGCACAGGCTTTTAACTCTTCTCTTGCATTTTCACTGGTTATTACACTCTCTGCCACCACCTGAATGAAACACTTCTGAGCAGTGTTCATAATCAAAATAAAGCCTGACTAATGTGGAGGAGCAGTGAAGTAATTTATGTGTGTGCATACATACATTTTTATATATAAAAGCCTCCTTGTAGTGCAATCCTTTTTTTGAAAATACAAATATATGCAATTTTAAATCACTCCACTGGAAGATAATGGAGTGACAAGCAAGAGACTCCTGTCACACTGATACCAACATTATTAATATCTGCTGTCCCAGAAGATGAGTGGCTACAGCCACAGAAGCACTGATAATATGAAACAGACACAAGATTTCATGTAAGCTTGGATATCCAGTGCACAAAGTGAATTAAGTACCCTTTCCCAACCCCCTGGGAAGTGTACGGCTAAGGTGTCTGTTAAAGATCAAAAAACTAAAAGAAAGAGGCAAAAGAACTTTAATTACCACTTAAATACCATACCTCAATTATTCACTATGACTCTCTGGATGAAAAATGTTCTCACAACAGTACATTAGGGATGTACATAAATTCATGATACAAACAAAAACGACCTGAAATGATCTGACAAGTTATCACTGCATATCACTGGAAGAGCTGGGAATAGAACTACTGCTTCCTCACTTGAAATTCAAGGTATGACTTCTGCAGTAAACGTTTTGTTATTAAAAATCCCCATATGCTCATTTTCTCAACTCTCTAGCTTTACATCAGCAAGTCAAGATGTATGAAGTGTTTGATTTTTCAAAAAGACCTGTGGTTGTTCAGCACTTCAAGGAAGAAAAAGAAAGGGGGAAAAAAAAGAAAAAGAAAAGGAGACAGAGACAGAGGAAGTCTTTTGTTAGCTCTGGGTCTCAATTCAGACATCTCCAGTTTATGGTTCAATCAGACTACTTTTTTGTGCTAGCTAGGGGAGACAAAAGCCCAGTCTCTTCAAAAGCTCCATGTATCCTCACTGAATTTCTACAGATATTAAAAAAAAAAAATCTATACTTCTGCAGCCATATAATGCTTCCTCCAGTTTAAAACATAAAAAGCAGACTGTCTCCTCAAGAAATCCCCTTACACTTCACAAAAACACTTATTCTCTGGAGCAAAGAAACTGATGCACTTCTTTCAGCGTTGCTTGCATGTCCTCAAATTCTGCAAATTTGCAGGCATCTTCCAGCTTCAGCCACTGGAAAGCTTGGTGCTCCTCTGATAGCTTGATTTCTGTGTTGCAGTCCTTCATTTCTGCCAGCCAGTACACGACGGTCTTAGGCTTGCCACGGACAGGGTAGTGCAGCTCTTTCTTGTAGCCCTCGATGAGGGTGAGCTGGCTGGCCTGCAGACCAGCCTCCTCCTGTGTTTCCCGAAAGGCTGTCTGCAGGTCATCCTCCCCTGGGTCCACGTGGCCTGCCAAGAGGGTGAAAAAGTAAATCTCTGGAAGGGAAACTCACATTTTGCTTTAATCGGGAAACACTGGGAGACAGAGATGAGAGTACATGGTAGCTGACACAGGATGAAATGGAAATGGGAGAACAGAGGTTGCTTTTCCAGGTCTTGTGTCTTGATTTACTTTTGTCTTGTGGCTTTTAGGATCATTGTTTATCCCTCATCTCCTGAAACTTCCACTGGCCTCTCAGCACCAGACATCTTTTCTTTCCACTCCTTCCCTCCACTTCTGGAGTCCTCTACACCCACGATGTTCCACCTTAGATTACACTGAGGACTCAGTCCCTCATTTTTCCTTTATCCAGTTAGAGTGGAGACAGGTAATGCGAGAGTATTAATCCTCTCTCAACCATGCCCTCTCACACAAGCTTAAGACTCAATTCTGCAAAGCTCTTACTTGTGCCAACCGTCCAGAAACAACAGGACCAGGCACTGACACATACCATTTAAAAGCTAAGTTTCATTCAGGCAGCTAGGGAATTTTTCTCTTCCATGCTCCCCTCTGAAACAAGCAACAAGTCTAAAAGCCAGTCCTTTCACCAGCTGGGTAGTTCTCCTAGGACATATAATTTATTTTACATTGCTCAGAATGAGAGGTGCCACTACAAACAACGGATAAATATAACACATCCCCAGCCGTTTGTACTTTTGTTGAGAAATGTCAGATTTGGTTTTCTCATGAAAGCTCTGGACCAGAACATAAATAGAAGAAGTCAATACCTCAAAAAAGCAACATAGCTGGGACATTTTAGGAGGAAAAAAAAAGTTTAAGCTCTATTTTGTCCCTGGTGTCACTCTATTTTCTATGGCTGCAAATAGCTATAATTTCATCACAGAGATGAATTGTTCCTCAGGTCTCAGGTACCTAAAGACCCCTCTTAGTATCACAGTGGGGGATATGTGAGAAGCTTGTTTTGCTTTTGCAACAGGTCCCACTCACTTCCCTGCCTGTGTATCAGAAGTGTGAACACCACTTACAACATGACATCACCTCAAATATAAAATATACTTTTCTTTCAAACAGTAGCTGTGCAGAAAACACCATCTGATACCTGTTGATACCTGTCGATACCCTCAGGTCTAAGCTCAGTAAATTGTAAAGCTTGTGCAGTAAAGTCTACCTGCAGGGCAGAAAAATTACTGCAAGCAGCACCTCACATCCCTCAGCTTTCAGATCCTCCCACCTGTTTCCACTAGTGCAGTTCCAATAGATTGAGAAGGAAAATGAACCCTACATTCCCTTCCCATCAGCCTCAGCTAGTGCAAAGTCACAGTCCCAGGGACAGAGATAAGGCTGATAAAGTTCATGTGAGGAGATCCAAGCAAGTCCAGTTTAATCCCATAAGAGTTGCAGCTGCTTAGAGAACTTTTAAAATAACAAGGTACAGCTGTAGCTATAAACTGCCTTTTGTGTGTGCTCTGAGAGACAATTACTTCTCCTTCTGGCTCCTGCCCCATGGAATCTATGTCAGCATCATATACAAGTTACATTACCAAATTGCACATCTCAGGACCACCTTGGAAGACCATTCCTATCATAAATATTCTAAATTCACCCAAATCAATACCAGGCTTCTGTTATAGGCCACCATCAGATTGTGGCTTTTGATCTCTAAAATCTTAAGCAGTGTGCTGAGGGAGTTGATTCTCCCCCTCTGCTCTGCTGCAATCCCACCTGCAATGCTGCATCCATCTCTGGAGTCCTCAGCAAGGGAAGGACATTGACCTGTCAGATTGAGCTCAGAGGAAGCCATGAATATGACCAGGGAGCACAGTACCTGTGCTTTGGAGACAGGACGAGATAGTTTGGGTTGTTCAGCCTGGAGAAGAGAAAGCTCTGGAGAGACCTTGAGTCCCTTCTGGCGCCTAAAGGGTGGTGGTTTATAAGAAAATTTGGGACACACTTTTGAAAAGGGCCTGGAGTAACAGAAGAAGGGCTCCTGGTTTTCATCTCTGAGAGGGCAGACTCATACTACAGACAAGGAAGACTTGATTTTATATAAAGGTGGTGAAACACTGGCACAAGTTTCCCAGGGAGGTGGTGGGTGCCCCATCCCTGGAAACATCCAGGTTGGCTGAGACTCTAAGCAACCTGCTCTAGTTGAGGACACTCCTGCTCACTGGTAGGAGCTTGGACCAGACAACCTTTAAGAGTCCCTCCCAACCTACACTCTTCTGGGCGTGTGAGATCTATGCTTATGAGACAACTAGCTCCTTACCAAAATGCCTACAAGTCATTTAAATTGCTTGTCCAGAATTACTGTGTTCCCAGGGAGCCTTTCCACAAGGTTTTCTTCTCACAACAATCAATCATGTCCCAGCAGATGTTTTTTAGCTTTCCACTAGGCTGCAAACTGAACTCCCTTAGGCTCTTGGTGGAGCAGACAAAGGGGGAGGTTTGGAAAGTTTTGTTCTTTCCCTTAATAGGAGAGCCTTGCTGACACTGTTAAAAGATTCTTTTTCCCCCAATTTGCAAGTTTTTGTTTATAAACTGCTGCACCATGCTTTGAAAGCATTTTACAAAATGAGAAGTAAAAACTATTGTGAAGAAATCTCAGGTGGTAAAAAACAGCATGCAAAGAAGACCTACAGAGGACCTGAAGTATTTCTGTGCTGCACTTTTCCTGGTACCAGGGCTGCAACTATGTACTACCAAACACTGGCTCTGCCACGTACTTTTACAGAGGAGGTGCTGCTCTGTCCTGGGACATAGCGCTTGTCTTCTGCTCTGAGGCCTCATTTTGAGACCAAAAATGGCTGATAAGGTTAATTCTCCTATCTGTCCCTCCTATCTCTACTGCATTAGTTGAGTGATATTCATCAATGATCTCCTGCATCTCCTAAGAAAGGTGTATTAAAGTCTACTATTACAGATTTCAGTTTGCCTTCCTGCAAACTGTGACCCCTCTGATCACACATGGTTCAAATAATCCTGCATTGGAAACACTGGTGCCTGGCAAAGGATCAGACCCAAGGCAAGAAAGTAGAACATCCCCTCATTACCTCAATTCAGCTGTGTGCACATCTTCCCAGAAACATCAGATACCTGAGGAGCCCTGCCCCAACCCAAATCAGTCATGCCCAATACTTTGTACAAACACAACTTGCAGAGGATTTCAGCCTTAAAATGCCCACTTAGCTGCATCAGGAGCACCACCAGACAAACAGCACAGCCACTAGTTAATCTCATGTGGTAACTGCCCCTCTAAACTGACCTCAGCCAAAATCCACTCTGCAACCTGACACAAATGACCTCCAGGAGTGTTATCAGAACAAAAATCACCTTTGGGCGGGGTCCAGTGGTGGGTTCCATAGGATGTCTGAAGCAGGAGGTACTCGATGCTGTCAGTGACCTTAGAGGACGGTGCTGGCTGCAGCCTCCTGTAGATGATCAAGCCACAAGCTCTCACAGCCATTCCCCTCTGCCAACTGCACCAAGACCTGTGCAACAGCACAAAAAATGGGGCTCAAACAGACCAGCTATATTTAGCCAGCAAACAGATCTCAGCACAGTAAAAAGTTGTCCACCCCTTTTAAGTTACTACATAATTAAACTGTATCCTATTAGCTACCTTTGAATTGTAAAAAACTTTCCTTTTAAAACAGGGAAACAGGAACCTAGGTAAAAGCTTTTTTTTAAAAAAAAAAAAGTTACCAAGAATGAAAAATGACCTGCATGTCATTTCTTTGCTGCTGATAGATTACAAACCATGTTGTGGGGAGGGTAAAAAAAATTACAAAGCAAAAGGAAAGCCACAGATTAACACTTAAACTTTTCCACTGCAAAACTCCAAAGGCCCTGCACAGAGGTAATACCTCAACATTACTAGAACTGGCATACAGAAATAATTGCTCTGGACAGTTTCCCTGGAACACTGGACTCCTCAGGATATCAGGGGAAAAGCTAAGAAAATGAACAACACAGGACAGGCTCTCTGCTGTCTCACCTAGACATAAGACTGTAATACAAAACTAAAAGCTTCTTGGCACGTGTGTTAAGCAATGATTTGATGTAAACCATATGGAACACACCTCTGAAGTGATAAATATTGTCAGCAATAAGCTACGCAGACAGCATGAGTAGTCCTATAGAGAAGAAGAAAGCAAGCAACGGAGATGAGTAATTCATGTTACAAATCTGGCCGATTCCCAGTTCCAGGCAAAACTTTACACTATGATAGAGACGCATACTTAAGCAAATAACTTTATAGAACACTGTATTTTCCACAAGCACCACAGCACGGAACCCTTCACCACCAACCACGCCCCTGGACGACGCTCAGCTCTTTCGGTGAACCTCTTCAACCGCTTCCATTAGTTCCTGATCAGCCAGAGCAAGGACAACACCCCCGCTCCGGCCCCCACATCCCCGGGGCCAGCCCGGGGAACCAGCACCACCTCCCGTGCGCGCCGGGAAGGACAAAGACAAATCACAGCAGGGCCCCTCCGCTGGCGCCACGCGGCCCAGGGCGGCCTCACTGCCCTGCCCTGCCCTCTCCTCTCTGCCCGCAAAGGGTCGCCTCCATGCCCAGAGATGGGACACTGGAAACGCGAGACGTGTCACCTCCACAGCGGCCGCCATGGACCCCCGCCCTCACCTCTGCTTCCGGGTCCGGCAGTGGGCGGGAACAGATTTATGATTGACGTCAGCCTTAACCAATCGCAGCGGCAGAGCCACTGGCGGTAGCCATGCCCTCCGGATCCTGCCCCCCGCCTCCCTTTAGGCCCCGCCCCCGCCCGAGCGGACCTCGGATTGGCCTCTCGCCGCCGGGACGTGCCGGCCCGCCCCTCTTCCCTCTCGCTATTGGCTGGCTGTGCGCGCGGAGCTGCGCGCGGGCGTTTGAAGCGGGAAAAGCGTTGTTGCTATGGAGATGCGGCTTAATGGCCGCCGCCGCGCGCTGCGGCGGCCGGTGAGTGAGGCGGGGGTCACAGCCCTGAGAGGACGGGGGCAGCTGGGTCAGGAGGGGTTCTGGGGACACCGTCCTGACCGACCCCATCCGGCTCTAGGCGGGGAAGAGCCGTGGTGGGACAGCTCGGGGAAGGATATGTCCCCCTTTAGGACACGCGGTGCAAGTCTGGACGCGTGGCGGTTTGTTTTGCTACATTTTTATAATTATAAAATATTTTTCAATTATGTACTTTAGATATGCTATAGATAGCACATAATTTGTATAACATGTAAAATATGTAAGTGCAGTTTTAAAAAATATATTTATATAATGTACAATATATAATACTTAAGTACTATTTAAAATATAGTTTTGATATACTTAGTTATACATATAAAAAAGATATTATTTGGTTTTATATTTTAAAAATTAAATAAAACTTTAAAATTATAGAAGAAAACTTGAGGGGCATTTGATAGGTCCTGCTGAGAGGATGAGGTCAGGCACGGTTTGCAAATAATTGTCACCCACCCTGCTATAACTCGTGGGTTATTTTCTCGGCACGTGGTTGAATATTGGACACTTCCAATATTCAATATCCCAATATTGGACACTTCCCCTTCTCCATGCAGCTGTTCCTGGCAGCTGTCAGGATCAGCTGCAGGATGGGGCCTTTTCTGCTGAGGTCACCAGGCTATACTTAGTTTGGAGAGAGGAATAAAACACTCTGAAATACCTTGTGGGGAAACAAAAATATCCCTAACATTTATTTGTTTGTAAGCCAGTTTTAATGACATTAATTAGTATGGATAGAGCAGCACAATACTCTAAGATACTTTCTGGGGAAACAAAAAAATCCCCAATATTTAGTTGTTTGTAAGCCAGTTTTGATGACATTAATTGTTTTAGTAACTTCCTCAAGGTATGACAGTGGCAAAGGAAACCCCCAGTTCTTGTTGCTGCAAGCAGCAGATCTGTGTCAAGCTCCAGCTGTAAAATAGTTACCATTTAGCATTAAAACCATTCCCTCCACTCCAGTTACTTTTGCTGTGCTGAAGCTGTAAGTGGTTATCTGTGGTCAGTGTTCAGATTCAAAACGGCTGAACACTTGTTCCAAGGAGCAGTGGAATGTTTAATGCCCTGTTGTTTACATGCAGGGTAGAGTAATCCTATGATCTTCCAAAGGGATCTGCTGCAACGTCAACCATGGCTTCACAGATCCCTACCTGTTGCATTAAACTAAAATTATGGACTCTTTTACAATACAGATTATCTCGTTGTGGAGCTTATCTTGAAAAAGTGCAGCTGCACCCTGACCCTGTTCTTCACGGGAATTCCCTAATTCCCAAGGAATGGTGTCAGAATGGTTAAAGATAAAGCATTTTGTGTGGTGCTCTGGAAAAGCAAATTAGCCATTAATTTCTGGAGGGTTAAATCAGATTTGGCTTTGGATCACCTTAGAAAAAGAGCTTAATGTTAAAATAAATAAGGAATGAAGATGGATGGGTAGTGACATGAATTAATATGTTTCCCTTTTCCCTATTCATTCTTTGCTTCTGTATTTCAAAAAAACGTGCAAACTCTTTGCCATGAACAGAACTTGTGCTAAAGTGCTGAAGTCTTTTTTGGGGTAAAATGGCTGCAAGTAATGAGTACAGTGTGCTGCTGTCATTGCCGTCAGGAGAGGAAACACCCACCTGCTACAAACATTTCCAAACTTTTGAAGTTCTTAAACTGTACTTTTATAAGGTACTTGTAGAGCATGATGGTTGACATGGAAAAGAAGTTGGTGTTCATGTTTTGTACGCTGATTAACAATTTCTGTGTTTATCAAATACCCTTGAAGATCATAACTAATAAAATTCTTTAATAATCAGGCCAGGGTTTATGATTCAGAGTGATTACCTTAGACTATATGCAGGACAAGATGTATCATTTGCATTTGTAGGAGTGTCATGTAAGATTTCTTCACTTTATTTCCCTAATTTAAAGAACAGATATAATGACACTTGTGTTCTCTCTCAGTGTTGACCCTCAGTAAGTCAACTAAATCTAAAATTGTCGCTCTAAATCATCTAAAATTGTCAGGTCAGTTTGAGTGAGCTACAATGGGATAACAGTACATGTGAGGGTTATTCAAGTGAATGGGATCCTGAGATCTTTGATATATCAGAAGTTAATAAGGATCAAGGTATAGTGGTTCAAGGCTGCTTTATTAAAATAATCTCTATGTGGCTTTTACATCATTTATTTTCTACACAGTGATTGACACTCACCGAATATCTTTGAAGACCTTTCCTCCACCTTGAAAAGTGCATCAAGGAAAAGATCTTTTGAAAGAGGTAATTAATAATTAAAAGCATTTTAAAATGGAGAGTCAGCTCCCAGAGCATAATTTTAAGTTAATTTCCTTCTGAACAGAAAAATATAACCATTCCTTTTTATTATTTACACCTGACTTTTCTTTTTTTCATCAGCTTTATGACCTTTGAAAAACCTCTAATACTGAAGCTAAGGAAGAGTTCTCTGATGACAAGCTGCAATCTAATTCTGTGGCTAAGCTGGTCCCTTTAATATGTAATTCTTTTTTACAATAAGCACTTACGTATTACCAGATCTTTGTAAAACGTCTTGGCATAAGCAACAAGTTGTAGAGGACTCGTGTGCCACGTAGAGGTGTCAGGCTGGGTGTACATGGGGAATTATACCTCCACACTCACCTCTTTGTCAAAATATGTTATACCAAACTATTTCAAGAAGTCTTTTATCTCAACCCTGTGTTCAGTGCAGCTACCCATGCATTTGTGGGGAGCAAGACCTAGGTTTTGATTTGAAAATACCATGCTGAAGAACAGTATGTTTTTCTGCCCCATGACACATTGTTCTCATGGGTGAACAAACAAATAACTGAGGAAATGGTGGCTGTTACAATACTAAAAGTCTTCTGCCTTTTTTTGCCAGAAGATGGCATTAAAAATTTAGGATTCTTGAAAACCTCCTCTTAGTTTTCACAAAGCAAATTCATTTGAAGAATTGTATATCTGTTAGGAAAAGCATCTTCAGACACAAAGATCTCTACAGAGTCAGATGAATTATTCTTTCAATAAGGAGAAAGATATCCCTTTTTTTTAGAGCATCAGTGATTGAAAGGTGAGAAGAGTTTCACTTGCAATTGCAGTTTTCCCTGAGTTCTTTCGTGTTTGAACCATGCAAACTCTTTTAGCAATTGTCTACTCTCAAGTTTTAAAGTCATCAGAAATTCTGGAACCTCTTGTTATGCCAACCCCTACTTTTTTTTTTCCGTGGTTAATTAATTTGTTACTCCTTTATTAGTGAACATTTTGTTTTCCTAGCTTGTGAAATTCTTGTCCTCTCAATAAGGAGTTGCTGGACTTATCCTTGAAACCACTTAGAGTCACTAAGATTTATTATATCTGGGAAGGCAGATCTGAGGTCTCATCTGAGGCCAGGTCTCATTAAGAAACCATTTAATTGCTTTCACATGGCACAGAGCCTTAGCCAATTAGCCACAGAGAGCTGCTTACATGGCTTTTGTAGATTCTGCTGTACCTACATTACTTGGATTTTCCTAATGCTGAGAATTCTTCTGACTTGTCACTCCATATAATGACAGCCTTTTATTTCTAGCTATTTAAATATATTTTGTTTCATTTTCTATTAGAACATTGACCTTCGAATCCATCATTCTCTCCCCTTGTCTGCTGTTCATTCTTTTAGAAAGTGTCTCCATTGTTTCTCCTGTGTTCACCATTATTTGAACATATAATTAGAGTCTTTGGACACTCTGCATTTAATATAAGGATATATAAAGATGTAGGTGTAATCTAGGATACTGTTAGAGATTAGACAAAATTAATTTATTAGGTTATTTTTGTCTTTAACAGATTCTCAACACTTTTGAGATTAGTGTCTTGGCCTTGAGTTCTAGCTCCTCCTTTCATCAAACAGAAGAATTTTCCCATGGCAGTGCATATAGAGTTGCACAGCTCCCATACCAGTTTTACATTTTAAGCTACTTTATGTAAGAAAGGGAATTTTTCCAAAATGCTATTATTTAAATTAAGTCGCAGGTAGAGAAGTTGGCAAGTAGTGAATGTTTGTGAAACCCTTGCACGCATAAGGTATTTAGTCTCCCTGATCTCTGGGTTTGCTGTCTCTTCTGTCATTTTTGATTTCCCCCTTCCAGAATGTAGCAGCCTCAGTAGTGACTCTTAACTTTACCTCAGGATTCAGAATCACGTTACCTGCACATTAAATAAATTCACTTACATGTGAATTTTTTGGTCTTGGAGTGTCTTGTTGTTGAGTCTCATAATTTTACCTAAAGCATGGACTATTAAGTAATTTTAGATGTTCTCTACTGCACATTCTGGCCTCTGTGATATCTTACACAGTCAGCCCTTTATATATTAATCTTTATGATTTTATTGTTGTTATTACTTCAACATCATGTATTAATTAATGGCATGGACTCACATTTGGGGATGACCTTATTTTCTTCCATAATGTCATTGTAGAGAGCCTTGAAAATCCTGACAAAGAGTCCACGCTGAACTCCAGGGAGGAAAACTTAAATAACTTGTTTTTGTTGAGTCTTACTGTGACCTCCAAACAGGAGTAAGAGCAGTAATTGTTAAGGTCCTAGACTGAACAAAGATATGAGAAGACAGTGGGCAACAGATACTTGAAGTGCTATCATTTTTGTGTTTTATGGAACAAGTAAAAATATCTGCAGATACTAATCCACTGGTATACAGACAGCTGCACCATGCATTGCCAGTAGATATAAGTAAAGTTGGGGGACTTGGGGCATACTTTTCAGTGATTCGTGTTTCTTTTTTGGGTTTCCCCAAGAATGCAAGTATGGCATTCCAGTGGCATATATAGATTTAGAGAAATGCTGTCTTTAAGATTTTGCAGAATTATTTTTTTGGTTTTTCTGTCAAGGAGATTCAGAAATGCTTACAGGATTCATGACATAAAAGAGAAAGTTACACAACAAAACTAAAATTTTGCTGTAGTTCATCTGTAAGATGAATGGTCTTAAATTAGGCAGCTTGAGGTGAGGACAAGTGCAATTTTTTCTCCTCTGGTTAGTTTTTCTCCTCTGGGTGGCTGAACCACATTAGACCATGTGCCTTGATATTAAATTGAGTGTCTAAAATTAGGCATTTTACATTCTATAGCTTGAGGACAGGGTTTCAGTAGCTGTGGCATTCATCAAGTAGACGTCAGGAGTGTAGGACCTCTGTGGCAGTGAGTAATATTGCCTTGTGCATTTCTTACATGTTATGTATTGTATATATAAAATATAGTTTTGTGGATATTTGTTTCATGTTTTAATTTATTGTTGGTATTGCTATCTTCCATAGTGTTTGTCAGTCTAGTGTATGGTAGACTTGGTAAACAAGCTTCTATCCTAACTGTGAGTAATGGCATCAGGAAATGTACAGTTTCTTCATTAGTAACTTTGTCAGATATGATGTTTCATATAATTCTAGAGTATATATTGTTTGATTTCTTGTCGGCTCTAGGTTGAAGATGGCATCATGCCTTTATGAATGCCTTCGTGAAGCAGAACTTGAAAAATACTATCCCCGCTTTGCTGCCTTTGGTCTTCAGAAAATTGATGAGCTTGTCGAGGTTTCCATGGAAGATTACACCAAACTGGGGATCCATGACACAAATGACCGCAAGCGTCTTTTTCAGCTCATTAGAATAATCAAAATTATGCGACAGGAATGCATTGCAGACTTAAGCAAGCAAGATTTTCAACCACATGGCCTTTTCATTCAGCCTCAGGTGACCAGGTCAGGACCCCGTAGACAGCTGCGCTTTGAGTCCTTCTGTGAAGAAAATGGTGGAACAGCTGGAGACGCTGAACCTGAATTGTGTCATTCACCTGACTTCGGTGCCAATGGAGAGAAGAACAGTGCAGGGGAAATGCTGGGACATATTCCACCACATGATTCAGAGCCAATCAGATTAGCTAGAAAAGACCTAAATAACCCTGGAATAGGAACAAAAAATGACCTGAGCTGTCCAACAGTTACTGATGATATTGCTCCTCTCCTGGGGGATTCTGAAGCTCCTATTGTACAAAGAGTAACTCATATTTCAGGGTATAATTATGGACTACCTCGTTCCTGTGTCAGGTAATAATGATCACTTTTATTTTGCTAATACTTCAGGTTAGTCATAATTCATTCTTTCGTAATTGTGGAGCAGAATCTGTCTTCCTCACTGCCAAATAAGAAATCCAAGCATTACAGAGCAATGCAAAGTCTTACAGACAAGAGAGATATTAATAAGCATTTGCAACTTTCTGAGTCTTATAAAAGGAATTGTCTGAATTTGACCAGCTGCTACTCACCAAGGTTGTCTAAGAATAGTCTTTATTGTCTTTCAGGATTTAAGGCTTTGTTTTCTTGGTATTTGAGCCAATCTTTGTCTTTCTTTGGGACTGTTTTAAAACATTTTTTTATGCCCAAAATAGGGCATTGCCTGTTGTTAAATATGTCAAGCTTTTCTTGGTAAAAAGAATACAGGCTGTGATGGCTATACTTGTTTATGAGAAATTTCTAAACTGAAGCTTTAAAAGGAAGTGGAATGAATACAGCTGGGAAGGGTTACAGACCTGGTGGTGAGAGGGATGCCTTGCAGCTGCTCCTTAGGCATGTGATCTGTAGCTTCCATACTTTTCCAGTGTTTGGTACTGGAGGGGCTGTGGTTATCATGAACCACTGGTAAATCTACCCTGGCAACATTTTTAAAGCACCAAATATTTTTTTTCCTGATTCAGCAGCAGAGCATCTATGCCTCTTCACATGTGATACCAGTATCTAGCTTGTTGCAATGCAGTCATCGTAGTTAAAATGCAATGAAGAGGGGTAGTTTTATGAAGTTAGGTCTGGTCTGGGAAGGCTGTAGGGAAAAATTTGGTACAGGGAAAGATCTGTGGAGTTGAGGTGTCAATTACAGCTCCCACTGAAAGTGTGTGTGCCTGGCGGGATAGATGCTGCTGCCACTGCGGAAAAGTACTAAGGTGACATAGTAAGTAGAGCATTTAAACTGTGAAATGCAAGATAAAGATTTATAATTCCCCTTGGCTGGGAAAAAAAATCATTCCCACCTTCTGGAGAAGTGCACTAACCTGCAATATATATTGATACCTGGGTGCATTCTCTGTCTCTTCTAGAAGCTGAGCCAATGGGCAGCTAAAGGACAGGATTTATAATGTTGGCAAGTTTAAAAATGTATCACGGCTCAACTAAAGGAGTTAAAAGTTTTTAATCCTGCAACAGAGGCATGGTCTTCATTGTTGGCACTTTGTTTCCTTCTTCTCGTCTTTTGTAAACACATTCCTCTGCACCTAGCATTATGGTTCATCTCATGGGCTTTCTGCATCCTCCTCCTGATGTGCCTCAACTTATTTTCTCATGTTTGGAGAGCTGTGCATTTCAGGCAGGCTTGGAGCAGCATGCTTACAGTCAGGTTTTTGATTCCTGTTTTGCAAGTGCTTAACTGCTTCGCTAAATCCATCCATTCCCATGTTACCTTGTGATTTGACTACGGTGAAGGCTTATCTAGTCTCATCTATGAGAAATATTGGAAAAAAAAAAACCACCATGATTTCAGATAGCAGAAAGACAAAGAACTCTTTTAATATGTTCAAATTTATTTTGAACTTTCCCAATGCAAATAACTTGATTTTGCAAAGACATAGTTGTTTTTCTGACCTATTATTTAGTCAGATTTCTGGTGATCTATTATGACTTTTGTTTGGTTTTTTTTCCCCAGTAATGAAAAATTATTTTATTATGAAATACAATTTATCTTTTAAAAGAGTTAGTAAGAAATATGAACTTCACCTTTGGCAAATAGAATTAACATACATTCTATTCCCTTACAGAATATACACAACAAAATGTGCCTCTGTACGAGAGAGAATTTATTCCTTTTTTTCTCATTAACAGTCTCCAAATTTTCAGTTTTTATTTTCTACAAATATTGCAATCCTTTCTGCTTCAAGCTCTTAGAGCACAACAGACTTTTGCTGCAGGTCACCAATTACTCCCTCTGGCATGAGAATTAAACTTCAGAGCCTCTGATCATTTGTTGGACAACATTTGGTGCCTAGTGATATGCATAAGCTTACACCAGCTTATGAAGCATCTTATTTCAAGTGTCATTGCCTTTCTTTTCCAACGAAAGAATTTTCCATCTAACTGCAGGGCCTGATCCTGGACTGCACAGGAAAGCTGTACTAAAATTAAAGGGACTCTAGTGACAAGTAAAGATTGCTTGTGTGTTGCATCTTGAGATTTAAATCTGCAGTTTATGTGCTTCTGGGGAATCATGGAACACAACAGCAATGATACCACAAGCCTGTGGATGTTAATGAGATGTTGAGTTACTCCTGGGTTACACTTTGTTACACAGCTGGTATATATGAGTTTTCAGTTGCTATGCTGAGATTTTGGTATCTGGACAGTGTGGCAGAAACAGCTTTTGGGCAAGTTGGGGCTTGCTTATTCAAAATGCAAATCCAGTCTGAAAATTGTTACTGATTTGGCTGAAAACAGCTTGAAGAAGGGAGAGATGTAATGAATGCATTTTGGTTAATTTAAGCCTATTCTATTCACAAAATGCTGTACACAGCAGGTTAATCAATGCAACATGAAATTACCTCCGTGACATTCTGAGGTGTCTGGAAGGGGATTAAAGTAAAAATGCTGAAACATAAGATCACAGCTTTGTTTATGGTCTGAAACCACATAACCTTTTTATGAAAAAAGACCAAAGGGGAGACAAGGATAAGATCAATATATTAATTAGTTATTTTGAACTGAACAGGAACATGGTGATACTATCTCATTTGCCAGTTAGAGTCATTTACTTATAACCAGTTAGACAGTCTATAATGCTAAGAATAAAGTCCAGCATGAGAGGAAAATCAACTAAGTATTGTACCTTTCCCTTTTCAAGATCTATTTGTACTTCTGTTGTACATGATTAAGTGACTAATCATGAGTGCAAATAATTTCAGCAAGATTAAATTTCATTACATTAATTTGGATATTATTCCAGCTTCCATCTCATGTTTGTGTAGAACTGAAAATATGTCAATCCAGCAACAAGTTCTGGAGTGTAGCTGTACAAACACAGCCATTCTTTTAGCAGAAGTGTATAGGAAGCCTCAATCTGCTTAGGAAAAAGCATCAGAAAAATGCAAAATGCACCATATTAAAATGAGGTGTTATGGAGTTTTTTGATAGACATTAATGACAGAAACATTCTCTGATAAAAGTAACACATTCAGGCATATTCTAGATTCTGTTGTAACCTGATTTTAAAATCTGTTCCTCCACTATTGTTGTAGATCCAATACTGTGGACAAAGAGACTCCATGGACAGAGAGTGAAAAAATCAGAGTATGTGTCCGAAAACGTCCTCTCTGCCTGAAGGAGGAGAAACGTGGGGAGATTAATATCATCACAGTGAAAGATGAAGAAACCCTACTTCTCCATGAGAAGAAGGAGGCAGTTGATCTTACACAATACATTTTACAGGTAATGTCTTCCATTGAAGGTTGTGCTTACGGGCCCGTCACTTGCATGGAAGGGTAAAGCTTATTTTGCTTAGAGTTTCCATGAGGGAAAACAGAAAAGGACTGTTAGTATTTCTTACATGGAAATAGATGGTGGGCTTTTCTTTTAGCTCAGAGTTGTCTATATTTGTGTTGCTTCTGATTTATGCCAGACTGTGCCAGTAAACCTGAGCCCAGAATTTTAAGCTCTTGAAGTATGTCTCTTGCAGCTTTCTTTGTATGTGGCAAAATAAACCCTCTGCTGCATGCCATTGCTGCAGGAGAAATGCCTGCTGATGGCTTTCCAGGGTACTTCAGTGAGGAGTTCCCTTTCCACTGTTTCAACACAGTAGGTCTGTTTCAATGAATCACATACACCCTCATCTCCTCCCTTCCTTTTTTCTCAAATGCTTTTGAAAATTAAGTTCCCTTTTGGTCTTTGTCTCTTAATCCCAAATACTTCATGCTGTCATAGTTCAAATTCTCACTTGTGACTGACAGCACCAGGAACAGAACTGATTTGTAGAGGCAGCAAGCCATTCTCGCTCTCCTGAGTGTTATTTTTACAATCTGGGCCCTAGGAGCAACTGTTTGTGGAGTGTCTGGTAAGATTTCAGTTTGGATTTCTCTCAGGCCCAGTTCATGTGCCACCTTTTAGAGTGGGACGTGTGCTGCATCATTTCCACAGACCCTGCTTCTTTGAGTCTGATCTGGAGTGTGGGAAGCTTTGCTTTTCTTGCCCCCTTCTGACTGAGTTCAGACAATCTAGCTTTGCTTAGGAACAGCTTTTTTCTTCTCTGGCACAAAACTTTTTAAGAACAGAGGCAATTAATCACAACTTAGTCACAAGTGAGAACTAATTTTGAGAGAGTCAAGAGTTGACTCTCAGTTCTTTTTACTGTTACAGTCTGACAGTACATCTGTAGGCTGATTCATTTAATGAATAGGTTTTCTTTAATTAGCTTTTTTTTGGTCTTGTTAAAAGGTTCTGGTATGTTATGCTTCAGAATTATGGGAAATCAAGGAATTTTTGTTTTGGTTTTTTTTTTCCCTGCTCTGAATCTCCTGATTGGTGTGTTCCTACATGGGTTGTGCTGCGTATTAAGTGTGCTAGATCACTCTTTACCTAATCCAAAGCCATATGAAGTCACTGGAAAGACTTCTGGTACTTCATTTTACCTTTGAATAGAATTGGAGGGGAAGTGAAACATATTCATTCTTATGTAAAGATTATCTTTGTTTTGCAGCATGTTTTTTATTTTGATGAAGTCTTCGCGGAGTCATGTAGCAATCACGATGTGTATATGAAGACAGCTTATCCACTCATTCAGCATATTTTTAATGGGTAGGGCATCAGTGCTTACATTTGTTATTTTTTGTCTAGCTGTTTTCCAATTTTACGTGTTGCCTGAATTTTCCTTTATGCTTTTCATCTTTTGAAATGTATCTTCATTTCATGTTTGCCACATACCTTCCCCCTTTCAGAATATCTTTGCAATTTGGACAAAAATAAATCAGGGTAAACTTTATTCACATTTGGTGAGAAATCTCAGTTACAGAAGAAGGTTAAATTGAACCTCAGATGCAACAAAGAGACAACATGGTCAATCTAGAATAAAAAAATGCATCCCAGGATTTCTGAACTCTCATCTTCACTAAAAAAGGTTCCTGTGTGGCAGAGCACAGTCATCTGTAAAGAGAGAGTGTTACCTCTTTCCTGACACTATTGACAGATATTTTTGCATGTAGTTGTACAATTCATAAGGTAATAGAAATTATGAATAACCTTGTGATTTATTTTTATTGATTTATATTTGCTTAGAGGTTTAATCATAATTACATACTTCCTGATTAATGGAAAATTGATAGTGGCTTTACATGAGACATCTTATTTCTATGCAAGGTTATATATATATGTTGAATATATACTTGTATATTATTACTTTTTCTTTTAATCTTTGAAGGGAAAGATTACATATTCATGCTGAAAATTAACAAAATTTAACAAATTCTGTTACTGAAAATCTCCAAGTGTCATAAACAGAGTATCATGCTCTTGAGAAAAGGAAAGTGAAAACGGAGAATAAGGCTTGTCCCTTGCTGTGTAATAGTCACTAAAGCCACAATTCACATTACAGCTAATCCAGTAATGCCACCAGAAGAGATTATGCTGTTTTTTTCCCAGCTTTCTCCTTACTTTTCCATCCCTCCTGCTGGCATTCATTTAATCTAACACCATAGTGAGGCCAATCTGCAATCTAAATTGGCAAGAAATTGTTCATTGTGGTTACTGCAGCCCTATATTTTTACCCATTCCTCTGCCAGGAGTACTGAGCCAGGTACAAAGTCCTTTTTTTAAGGAGGGCAGGGAAAGGAAAAGAAAGGAAGAGAGCCAGCACCTTGTACCACATCAGATCTCCATAGGGTATACTTGGAAATCATTGTTAAGCTTTCTTCAGTTTCCTAGAGACAGTAGCAGGTCAAACGTCATTACTAAGGGGCCACTATAGATAGATACCAGCATTGCAGAATATTATTTAATAGATATGAATGAATCAGATGTGGCACTAAACATATACCCTGTCTCCACAGAGGCAATGCAACTTGCTTTGCATATGGACAGACTGGTGCTGGTAAGACTTACACCATGATGGGGAATCACCGGAACCCAGGACTCTACGCCCTGGCTGCCAGGGACATCTTTAAGTACCTGGAAGCATCACCATCCAAGAAAGATCTTAGTGTTTTGGTCAGTTTTTATGAGATCTACTGCGGACAGCTTTATGACCTGCTAAATGGAAGGCAAAGGTATTTAAATAAAAGCATGATTTACTGTAAGCCTATGGTTGTGAATCAGTTGGTTACTGTTTGGAAATCATTTACTGTTTTCATGTGATTACATTTAACATACTAGCATTTATATCAAATGTTATGTATTTAATTAGGGTTGTTTGAAGGAATTACTTAGGGAGGAATGCAAGGTCTGACAAAAGACATTGTGACATTGGTAGGGACTCCTGGTTTATTGTTTGGGGGAAAAATAAGGACTTAGGTTTGAGTTATAAGCTCAGGCTCTTGCTTACACTGTAGTAAGATAAAAGCTGAACATCCATAGGTAGAGAAACAAGCTTCTTGTGGCCAGAAGTTCCTGTCTTAGAATCACAGAATATTTTGAGAAGGAACCTTAAAGATCATCTTGTCCTACCCTTTCTGCCCTGAGTAGGGACAACTTTCACTAGACCAGGTTGCTCAGAGCCCCATGCAGCCTGGCCTTGAACGTTTTCAGGCATGGGACATCCACAACTTCTTTGGACACCTCTCATGTGTCAGCCATTGTGGAGTCCCTGTCTTTCCCTGGTCAAGCATAAACTCTGGCTGTCCCTCCTGCTGTGCCAGTGGGGATTTGACTCTTGCCAATCTCTGAAGATCCTGTTGATCTCCTACATGCTTGACTCTGCAGAGCCTGCTCACCTTCTCCCTGGGCACCTTTGCCTGGCAGCCCAGTGACTCAGTCCAGCAAGCCTCTGGAGGCAATGCTGAAATATGACTCTAAGGCTGTAGGAGCTGCTTTAAAAACCTGTGCAAAAAATCCTTAGAATATGAGAAGAGCAAAATTTACAGTCTGATGAGGACTTAGAGGAGCCTGAGATGTACTTTAAAGAGAGACAGGAACTCTAAAATGTAAACGTGGTAATTTATTTCCCTGCTTTATTATATTCTTGAACTAGAAGAAATGCACTGGTAATGTCTCTTTAGAAGTGAAATGTCAGTGGTACTTGTAAATGAGGTACCTTTTCACCTCTGAAAATAAATTAATGATATCAGGACCTCTTCCCTGTCATTAGCCTTGATTGCTTTTTCTCAGTGTTGAGGCACAGAGACCACATGTGGTGAATGTGTTTTCACTGCTGCTTTTTGAGATTTCATACATCTCTGTGCTCTTTTTTCAGACTTTTTGCAAGAGAAGATGGCAAGCACGTTGTTCAGATAGTTGGACTTCGGGAGGTTCAGGTGGATTCTGTAGATAAGCTGTTGGAGGTAATGTTTGGGATTCATTCTTTGTCTTCTGCAGCCCGATTTGCTGATCTGTGAGGTGTGTCACTTACAGACATTATTTACTGTGTAGCACGAGTGTATGTTCCTATTTAAGGTCAGTAAGTTCCTGTTTAAGTGGCAACCCCAGGGGGCTCTATTAAAAGTGCCTTTTTTTCATTAAGCCGTTTCTTGTGTTAGCCATATATCAAGCAGTTGATTCACAGCTGTCACTTCTGCTGCCATTCCTTAGGGAAAGATTCCAGAAGTTAAATAGTGTCCCAGTAAGGGACCTTGAAAGTTGGGTATGTATTTTCTCCTGGTGTCATATCTTGAAGTTCAATGAACTTGGATTTTTGTATATAAAAGATACATGGTTATGGCACAGAATATATAAATTTGGAAACTATTAGAAACAGAAATTAGAAAATACTTAAGACTGAGATATTTGTCTGAAATAGGATTAAAATACTGCTTATGTGTGTGCATGATAACAGGCAAGTAAAATTAAGATCTTTAAATAGTAGCTGACATTCACCATGAACAAGGCTTCAGTTTTCCTTTCCTACCTGGCTGAGCCCTGAAAGGGCACTGCCAATTTTTCTGTGTTGTCCTGCAACAAGCAAGCTGATTAAATCTATTTTCTATTTAGCCTGATTTTGCATAGTTCAATTCATTTTTTGGTAAGGAAGTGTGAATTAGAAGTGCCTGATATTGTAAATGACTTATTAAAATTGTCATAGTATTGTCCACTGACATTGCACTTAATTTACTTGTTCATCTTTCCATTAACTCCAAGCTTCAGGACAAGCTGGTGATGCTTCTGAAAGTTAGACTGAAAATTTACTGTATGGTTGATTTACAATTCCTTGGTATTATCACATTCCACACACAGAAGAGCTATTAAATTACTTAATTCTTACAGATATCTTGGGGGGGAAAAATTAGATAGTTCACAGGCCCATTTGAACACAGAAATGTTACTGGCTTGACTCAGAACTTCTGAGTATTCTGGAACAGATGTGGAAAGAGCTTTGAACACATTCCTGATTATTCACTACTCATTGATGTTGGCTTTGATTCAGAAATTATCTGCACTTAGCACTAATATAAAGCTTGGAAGCTGCAGTGGTTGGTTATGTTGCTCATTGAGCACTGGCCACTGAAAAGCACGAATAATTCACATCTATCAGCTGAGAATGTATTGATTTTGCTAGGCAACATTTTAATTTGTTCTTGCAACACAGGAAATTAGTGACTGTACTATGAATGTCCTGCTGCAGTCAATGCTAGACTTTCTGCAATAGTCCTTTAAAGTTTTCAAAAAAGAATTATCCAGATTTGTGTCTTGAAGGAGCCTTTGTCCTACTGCCTTGCCTTCCTCCCTTGTATTATTATTTTATTGTTGTGCTGAGTATAATTGATCTTTTAGCTTTGTTCCTTACTTTGGCATTATGTTTTGTTTTGTTTTTCTTTTGTTTTGGAAATTTAGAAAGGTCTTGGCAGTTTGTGATTTTTTGTTTGACTTTCTGCATAACTGTACTCACCTACAAGAGAAACAGAAATTTTAAAAGAACTCCAAGAATAGTCAGTCTCTTGAGTCTTTTAGTACTAGAAATGTATGCCAGCAATATAATAAAGAATTTAATTTTATAATTTGAATATTTTGCAAAAATGAGTGAGGGTGCAATGCAACGGATTCTTAATTGCAGTGTGCTCTTTAAGTTCTTTGTGTCACTACAAGCAAGTCCATGCACAAAGCTCTGACAGAAATATTGTAAGGGATCCAGTCTCTACTGCCTTGCACCAAATTTTAAGGCTGGAATGAACCATTTGTCACAATGTTTCCTCATCTTAGGAGGACTAGATCTCTTTCTGAGATTGTGATTTTATTTACAATTCACTTGGATTATGTCCCCCTTATTTTGCAGGTGATTTTGAAGGGGGGAAAAGAACGTAGCACAGGAGCTACTGGAGTTAACTCAGATTCCTCTCGGTCTCATGCTATCATCCAAATTCAAATTAAAGACACAGCCAACAGGGCATCTGGAAGGTAAGACCAGAAGCAGAAGTGCTCAGTGCTGATGTCAAACCCAGGCACATCCAAGAGACAAAGAGGAGGTGTTAGTGCACAAGTGTGAGTTAAATTAGAAGATAGGGTTAAAAGGGACTTGAGAAGTTCCACAGGCCTGTCTCTTTTTCCAAGGAGAATGTTTTAGTTACATCTGTGAGAGCTTTGTCAAATTCATTTGTACAAATTTTCAGTGAAGGAGTTTGACAATAAAATCCAACCCCTCATCTTCAGTGTTTAATTTGGCTAAATTAGATGCCTGCAGTGGACATACCCACATGTGAACTCATCACCTTTGAAGTCAGTAGAATGAAATTGTCACTCTGGGATCTCTGCAGTGTGACCTAAATTAGGTCAGATGCATTTACCCCTCAAAGCATTTCTGTCCTGTAATTGACTACAAAGTGAGTGTGGGCTGACTAGCCCAGGTGGAGATAATTCCATGACAGATGTTTTGCCTTTGGCCAGAAGAATCAGAGTACCTCACATAAACCTCCCTGATAATTTGAGTGACTCTGATGCTATCTGCAGCAGACAGAAAGAGCAGTTTACTTATTCTTATGGCATCCACTTTATGTATTCAAAAACTAATTGTGCCTCCTCTCAGTCATCTTTTCTCCAGACTAAACCTCAAGAAATAGATCTGAGGAAGAAAGTCTGTGCATCTGCATTACTGCCAAGTGTCACAAAATCCTGCTGACACAATCTTCCATTAGCTGCCACACAGTCTTCTTGCCCAGGATCTAATTTTGAGCACAAGGCAAAATGGGGGAGCCACAAACACTGAAGAGAGGAGAAGACAGAACAGGCAGGCTTAGAAATAAAAGTATAGAGGTTATGTAGGTGTGGCATCTGGACTGGGGGCAGTTTGTGTGTCTGAAAAGCAGGTGGAGCTGATGTGAGGAAAGAGTGCCAAGATGTGCCAATAAAAGAAGTCAGGGCCATTGCAAAAAAAGAGGAAGGACCAAGACAAAGATACAGTGCAACAGTCAGTACAGCAGCTGGCACCCAGAGCTAGAGACTGTGAAAGGGAGTAATGGAGTTTTGTAGAAAAAAATGACAGGCATCACTGAAAGCTCAGTGTATTAATTACTACACTGGAAGTTTTTGTTCCTATTGTCTGAAATTCCCATTTGACATGGCAGTTGTCTGTCTTACATGGAAGGAGAAATCAAGAACATTTCTTTTAACTGTTTTCTTAGGAAACTACAAACACAGTGATTATCTGGACAGATGAATGTGTTGCACTGTCATCACATATAACTACACTTTCTATTATTTAATATTAAGATCCTCTGACACTGTTCCTGATGCTGTGCTTATTTTGGTATCTCAGATATTTCCAGTGAATGTTTCTTGTTGTTCAAAAGTAGTCATTTCTAATCACTCTTCTGATGCCATGTGTTGTAGCCTGCTGGTTTAATAAAGAAAAAAAGAAGAGGAAAAAAAGCCCTTAAGATAAATGCAACTTTGTTTTTTTCCAGGATATCATTCATTGACTTGGCTGGCAGTGAAAGGGCAGCAGATGCCAAAGATACGGATCGACAAACAAAAATGGAAGGAGCAGAAATAAACCAAAGTCTTTTAGCAGTAAGCTACTATTATGTCTGGGGAAGGTTTTGCTTTTAATTACTAGCATGTTTTTTAGAATGAAAGTGAACCACAGAATAATGTATGTATGTATTCCATGGAGAGGAAAAAATAACCAAGGTACTAAGCGTGTTCAGTTTAATTTATCTCATGACTGAAAAACAATTTAAGAAGGAAGAGTTATCCTTATGAAAATTTTGTATTTTTAATCCATTCTTACTGCAATACAGGTAAACATAGCATGGAGAATGTTAGGTGTAGTGTAATAAGTGTCCCATACTTTGTATAGAAGATTTTGTCCCTTTTAAAGAATACTAGCTTGGAATTGCCTTGTTTGTTTAATAAGAGCACATCTGTTTCTGCCAGTTATTTTTGCCACTTAAACTCAGGCTTCTCTTTCAAATCAGGAATAAAAGACTTAAGAGCATAAAAACTAGCAATTTATTTGTGGGGAGGAAGGAACAGGAAGAAATGCACTCGTAAGGCAAACTGTTTTAAAAAGCGTCCACAGTCAGGCAAAGGGGAAAAAAGGAGCAGAAAAATGCCATCTAAGATAAAGCAGAAGTGCCTGTAAGTGCTGCAGAAAGCTTTGCACCTTCTTTAATGCAGACAGTTGAAGCTCAGTGGTGACTGGGGGCTTCTCCCAGCGAGGCTGAAGGTGATACATGTTCCTGAGTATGAGGCAGGAGTACAGAAGTCAGTGCACACAACTGTACCTCTTAGTGTGCTGTAAACAGGAGGTGGCTTACTCTGCTTTGGGAATGTAGATGCTCCTTTGCACAGAGGCTTTTCCTGCACTGGAATATTAGTGTTTGTGCTGGGAGGTAGCCTGTGAGGTGGATATGTTTCTGTACTTCATGCTTTCTTGAGTACTTGCTGGTTAATAACTGAGTGTCACAGGGAGTTGGGACCTGAATAGAAAAAAGTCTGATCTTGAAGGTCTTCTCCAGCCTGAACAATTTTCTGGTTCCTGAGTGTAAGCCCATGAAACTCTTTTAAAAGAAACTGTAAAATTGGAGTGTGTACATTTTTGGTATTGTGTGAAACTAAGAAGATACCTGGACACTCTACAAGTAGTGATTGAATTAAATATAACTATAAGAGCCTGACTAAAGAATTACAGTTTGATCTTTTACTTGTTACTGGTGCAGTTTTTAATAAAGTGCTGTTAAAGTGATAAATAAGTATAATTTTCAGTGGGAGTTTGTAGAAGGTAGAAAGGCTGTAAATGCTTGATGGCAGTATCACCATGACAATCCTGTAATCAGCTATCTCCAGAAGTAAGGAAATAAGAGATGTAGCTCAAAGAGCTCTGTCCTTTGAGTACAACTGCCCTGCAAACAGCAGCATAATCTAGCCTACACTCAGTCTGGCTTCAGACTAGCTAGATGTGGTGAAGGCAGCAGCTCTGTGGAGCTCTGTATTTGCTAAATGCATTTGGTGAAGCCCACAGAGCCATCAGGCAGGGCAGAAATTGACCTTGAAAGGGACAACACACTGTGGGAGTCAAAGGTGATACAGGACCTGGGTAGGTTTGGTTTGATGTGGTTGAGTTCCTTGCCAGTGCGTGATTGATCTATTTTTCCCTTCTATTCTTTCTTTCTTTTGCTAGTTAAAGGAATGCATTCGGGCGCTGGATCAGGAACAAATGCATACTCCTTTCCGGCAAAGCAAATTAACTCAGGTAAAATGAGCAGAAAAGCAAGAGGAGAGGTTTCCCTGCTGAGGACAGAAATAAGCAAAAAAGCAAATAAATAAATAAATAGATGGCATAGTTCAGTAACTGCTTCCTCTCTTGGGGAAGAGAGAAAAGCATAGCTTCTGTAAATTTTAATTTTAAAGGTAATCACAGAATGAATGCCAACTGTAAATTTCCTCCAGCCAGCAGTGGGGATTGGCATGGAAAAAAAAAAAGAAACAAGCCAAAAGCTAAAACCAAACAAAACCCAAACACCACCTTCCAGACTCATACAGAGTTACCATCCATCTCCCCCCCAGTCTGAAATCTTCTGTTCAGTTACTGTCCTGGGACCTTTAATCAATATTTCTCAACTTCAGCTGTAACATCAGCTTTATTCCTCAAACCATATTGGCACCCTTGAGGCATCTAGAACAAGGGCTTGTTTAAAGTCCTAATTAATACTTGTATTCATTTTAAACCGTAGACAAATAAAAGCAAGAAAAACTGGGACAAGAGGACTACATTTATTAAAAAAAAACCAAAAAACAGTACCTCATGTTAAATTTCTTTTGTAGATGTTGTTAATGTACAGGATGTGCAAAGGACATGAACTGATAAGAACCCAATTTTTTTTCCTTTGAACCCTAGGTGCTAAAGGACTCTTTCATTGGCAATTCCAAGACATGTATGATAGCAAATGTTTCACCGAGCCACACAGCTACAGAGCACACCCTGAACACTCTGCGGTATGCTGACAGGTAGGATGTGAAACTCAGTCTTGCCAGCGTGAAAATCACAAAGTAAAAAGTAATGTGTGATGTTTGGGCACTACATTTTATTTTAGTTGTATTGAAAATGTTGATTTAAGCAAGAAATAGAATCTTTACAAAGCTAATAAAATTGTTACCTATTCCAACTGTTATATTTTGTCTTAAAATTTTTTGGGTCTTGTAAGTACTTTCTGATGACTGCTTTCAGCAATGAAAATATCACTGTGTGCCCTGTAACTGCAGGGTTACTGACCTTGGCATTCAAAAGTTTTGGTTTAGTTTTGTATTATGATTCTACTTAGAATGTGTGCAAGTCCTTCACACTCCCTCCTACACAGAAGGAAGTAAATTACAGGCTGTGCAATGCTGGTCTTAAAAGACCATGAGGGGCAAGAGGAGCAGAGGGAACAGCTGAGGGTCAGGATGGTAGGGAAAGGGTGATATCAGTTAATCAGCTCTTCACAGTTGCACTTCTGAGTCTGATCCAGGAGCAGTGCAGTCCAGCCCACGTCACCTGCTGTGCTAGCAGCCACCTGAGCTAAAAATCCCCTCTTCAGCTACTCCAAAAGTCCTACTTGGAGCCTTGTGGGACTCTGATGTGCTGTGGAGAATACCAGCTTGTTCTGCTGCATTATTATGTGTGGAAATACCACCCCCTTGCATTGAAACTGAGGCCATTTCCACTCACTTGACCTGTTATGCACTGATCAAGGAAGCACCTAGAAAGACTGCCATAGATTTGTCCAAAAGTCCTGGCATTTTGTCAGAGGAGTTTTGATTTATCTGTGAAGATCAGAGGGAGAAAACAAACCGTGATGTTGAATTCAATATTTAGTCTTAGTATGTGAAAGCATTGATTTGTTCTGAAGATGCTGTTATTTATCTGAAAGCATGACATCTTCTAAATCCAGCCTCTTTTTTACAGGGTCAAAGAGCTGAAGAAAGGGATTAGATGTCCTACCCCTCTCACGAAAAGGCGTCGCAAAGCTGGAAATTTATCTCCAAAACATGTCCAAAGCACCCTATCTTTGCCACCTGGGGAAAAGAGCTCTCCAAAGAAGGTGAAGCTAGGCCTACAGCATCCCTCAAGTGCTACAAAACCAAAGGCATATCCGGAAGCACTCCAGCCACTTGATGTCCCCCTTACCTCTACCCCCAAGGGAATTGGTAAAGAACATGCCTACAAAGGAAATACTAGCACTCCCTGCTTCCACCACACCACCCCAGTGAAGGGAATCTTGCGGATAACAAATCCCCTGAAGAAGAAAAATGATGATCTATCCCCCAACACTGAAAAGACCGCCTTGGTGAATGATTTCATTGCCACAGCAGAAACAAAAGAGAGTGGCCAGCAAGACAAGTATGTGCAAAACACAACACCTGTTCAGTGCCTGAAAGTCCAGACAGTGCAACCTGTTCAGAAACAGCTTGTTCCTAGAGATGATAATGCCTTTGGAGACGGAAATCTGCCCTCCGACAGTGAACAGGAATGGGAAAACACTTGCACTAAAGAGTCTGTTGAGCCTTGGACATACCTGCCTCCGTTTCAGAAGGAAAGGGAAGAGCATTTACGTCTTTATCACCAACAGTTTCAGCAGCCCCCTATTCTAATGCAAAAATTGAACTATCAACCCCTTGAGAGGTTTTTAATGCAGTACAAGCCTGAGGAGATTCAAGTGAAGCAGGAGCTGAGCCTTACTCCGACTGAACTGCAGAGCAAAGAGGGGATGCAGCTGGAAGATCTGGATGACAGTGATTTCAGTGAAGATTCTTTCTCACCTATCTGTAATCAAAAGAGTGTGGAAAGAAGAAATACCAGCAAATGCAGTCAACATTCATTTTTCCTTCATGAAAGAGAACACGTAACTGAAGAAGAGCAAAAAGGCCAAAAGCGACAGGATTTATTTTTTAAATATGCAATACCCATGCAAGATCATGGATTAGATGACAGCTGGGATTGTAGTGAGGGTAGCCCAAAGGCAGAAGAATCCATTAAAAATGCAGACTGCAGCAATACTTCTGCAGACTGGAGCTATGACTTAGCTGTTGAATCCTCTCCAAGCAATACTGCAGAAAAACCTTACTGCCTGCAGGAAGATCCTGGTTGCAGCTGGAGAAATGGCAAGGATTTCCTAGCTGATCACAAAGAGTACAAGTCCAAACACAGATGTCTTGTTTACTCCAGTGAGGCCACCTTAACTCCAGCAAAGGATGCTTCAAGCCCATATATATCTCCTGTGTCGAAATCAGGAACTCCAGAGTGCAAAGAGATTGATCTCCAGCATAAGGAGAAGGAAGAATCCACTTTGGATAAAAAGGCTGCCTTTGCAGGAGGTGTAAAATTGAAAGCTCAAAATAATGGAGTTAGCCACTGTGTTTCTTCCAGCTGTTCCTCAGAATTCACCTCTGAGCTCATGACCCCTCCCCTCATGTCCCCTCTCGATGGTGAGGACACAGCTGAAACAGAGGAAGTGTCTTCCAGCCAAAAGGAGCCCCACTCTGAGAAGCAGATGCTGGACAGTGACATCCAGAGCAGGTTTGAGGACGAGAGCTGGCAGTGCACCAGGAGCAGATCTCTGACTGACAGCATGCTGGAGCTGGGGGAGCAGAGCCGCCTTGGGGGAAGGCTCTGTGCCCTACTGGCATCTCCTCAAGCCAAGCACAAGCAGCTCCCACCCACCTGCGGCCGTGTGAAGCCGTGCTGCTGCCACCTGGGATTGTATTCATCCAAGCAGGGAGTCCGGCGCAATTTGTTTGTTGGATGTGACCCGACAGAATCATCCACAGCTGGATCCACGGTCCCCAGGCCAGAGAGAGAGGGTGGGGGACTTTGCAGTGAAACCCCCTGCAAAGATCACTTGGGAGGCAGACGTGGTGCTGATGTTAATCAGCATAACAATGCTGGTAATTCAGGGAAGTCTAACTCAAGTCAAGAGGCCCACGATGAGGAAATAAACGCTGAAATACCTGAAAATAGCTATGCAGCCCAGTCCCCCTATCAGGAGAGCAGCTTGCTGCTGCAGCCCAAGCCAGGACTGAGGGATGAGAACCTCACCCATTCTGAAGACCCTGCCAAGTCATCGTTCGGAAATGAGGAAACAGGGTTGCTAAAAACCAAGTTAAAGCAGAGTATTTTTACACAAGAGACTTTTGCTGCAGATGCAGGATTTGCAACCAAAGATAATAAGCCAATAGCAAATGCAAAGTGTCCCCCACACATGTCCAGCAGCAGCTCTCCAAGTGCTGTATCAGAGATGAGGAAATGGCAGAGGGAAGCCCTAGAAAAGGCACAGTAAGTCTTGCTCATTGTGAAGTTTGTAATAAAGCTTAGACATTCTGGACATGTGATACATTTGCCTTTATTTGTATATGATATGTAAATATGTATGAAAAAACCAATGGTTAATCATTCTATTAAATAATTGTAGGATTATTCATAATTTATAGTAATTATCTTAAAAATATATGGTTGCTTGTTATTTAGTGATATTTAAAAATCCTACAGGAAGCAGATTATGCTATTAGAGGTTCTAAGATAATGCTAGAGGAATAAATATTATAATATAAACTGCAGTTCACAGTAATTAATTGGCTTACCATAAGCTGTAAAGTACCTAAAATACATCAAAACCTTCCATGAAGAAACAGGTTGTAGCTGTTCCATTAATGAAAAGAAGAGCTGCTAGAGCAGCTGTGCAGTCACAGAAGATGTAGATATAAAGCTTCTGAGTACTCTGAGCTTCCACTGTCAGCTCCCAGAGACTGGACTGCATTCCCTTGACTGAAAATACATTGTTGGTCAGTGAGACTTGCTCAGAGGAATCAACAGCAGCACTGCATTCCTACTTGGCCTGGTTCTCACTGAAATTACTTACAGACTCATGGTTATAAGCCACTTCAGCAATTAATTAGATGATTGTTGTGCTCCTTGATTCTCCTACAGTAAAAACCTCTTGTATGCTGCCTGTGCTAAGGAAGTGCTGTGGTCACTCCTCTGTGAGCAGCCCTCAGTCACCCAGTTCATCCTGAAACCCGGATCAGGGCAGTCCAATGCACTTTATGGAGCACTGGTGTGCCCTTCCCGAGTGCCAGGACAGCAAGGCTTCCTCTGGGGTATTCCTCTTTCTTGAAGGTTTTTTGAGGCCAGCTGTGATTACAAGCAGTGATTACACTACAGGCTGTTTAACCAGTGTGTGTTTTTTGTTAATCAGACAGACTGTAATTCGTGCTCATCAGCAGCAGCTGGATGAAATGGCATGCCTGTGCTTCAAAGAGGAGTGCTTGATAAATCAGATGTCAGCAATGGTAAGTATTTCAGATGATGGTTTTGGTGCCCATTGAACATGCATAAATTAATCTTAGAGATTATTAAATTGAATTGGTAATGTGATGTTCCTTGTCAGTTCAACCCCTTTTCCAAGGTCTTAGTCCTGGGAGAGGCCTCTCATTTTCTGTGCCTGTTGTGTCTGCCAGTCTCCACTCTGCCAGGGCCTTGGGGAGCAGGAGACGGATGGGCTGGCCCTGAAGCCTTTGTCTCTGATAACAGAGCCTTCCCTTATCTTGCATCACGGGGCAGACTGTACCAGACAGGCCATCTGTCCCTGTGATGTTTTAGTTCTTTCAGGTTGGGATGAGTAAGCTGATACCACACAACAGAGCACACACCTAGGGCAGGACACTGGTGGCATTGGCAGCCACTTCCCTCTGGTGTGCTAACAACCCTGCACTCGCTTACTCCAGTGTTGTGATCACTGTGGCTTGTGCCTTGCACACTCTTGGCTTTGGTTACTCAAGTGTTTCTTAGCTTATCTTTGCCTCAGATGGTGTAGCCTAGACCTAAAAACTGGCACCTGCATGGCCTCGCTGCTAGCTAGGCAATCCCAGTTCTCTGTTTCTCCTGCATCCCAACAGATGCATGTCACAGCTATGTGAAAATCCAGACTGAACATTTTCCAGTGAGAACTCCTGCCTTCCCAGTTCCCTCACCTTCTCAGTAAAGCCAAGCTGCATTGCTGCATTGCACTATCAAACCATGTCAATTCCTATCACAGTTCAGATCTGAAGTAGAGGGACTCTTCCCTCAGGGACTTTGGAGTGGGGCTACCATGTGGCTTATTCACTGTGATTTCAAGCTGCATATGCTGTTTTACAGATAAGATACAGTCCACAAAGCAGCATGAGAGACATAAACTGTATTCACTTTATGGCAGACAATGCAGTGAAACAAAGCTATCTTTCATCTTCGTAACTTTTTTTTAATCTTCTGAGATTGTTCTTTGTAAGTCTGTTGGTCGCTGGACGCCAGCTCTCCCCCCAAATTTATTTGCCCCTTGCAGCAAGCAGTTTTTTTCTGGCTATCAGAATTCTGACAAGCTTGCCAGGCCTCCAGCAGTGTGTGAATAACATACCCTGTAGTAGCATGACCTTTTCTGGGTAATGAAATTTGCTTGGGCTTCATGCATTGGCTTCCCTCCTTCCATTTTCAGATGGTTTCAGCTTCTCTAGCCATGAAACTTTGGCCGCAGGAGAAACTCCTGCCAAGAGCAGCCACACACTGAACAAAGCAATATTTAAAGTGCTTAAGAAAAATATGCCACAGCAGCTGGGCTAGTCTTCATCACTGTCCTGATTTCCCTGCAGGACAGAGATACAGTGCAGGAGATACAGCTGGAGTCCTGCCAAATAAGCTTTTGCATGATTGATTTTCATGCACAGCAGCTGAATTTCCCAGCCCTGGAGATGCTGACACCTCCCAGGCACAGACCTGGTGGACAAAGGCACCAAACTACTCTCAGCTGGAGAGCAGAACACTTCCAAGTGCCACCTTATTAATACAAGCCTTACTGGAAAAAGGCTTAAAACTCCATTTCAGTTTTAATCACAGTATGGAAGATAGAGTTCCCTGGGCTGAGGCTGGATACAGTGCTGGTATTGCTCATGGCAGACCTGCAGCCAAGACCTCATGACCTGATGGGATATAAATCCCTTGCATCTCTCAAGATTGAGCTATTACGTCTGATCTGTAGTGGCCTAGCTCACCGTAATTCATAAATCTGAATTTCTGAAATTCATAAATTTCATAATTCATAAATCAAACATGAGAGGTGTCAGGAACAGAGTTCAGTACATGGTAAAACTGGGTGACCAGTCCCAGTACCAAACCTTTGAAAAGCTAACCAGAGCAGAAGAGTGACAACAGCTACTTTATACATTTTTATTTTTAAGCCACTATATGAGCTGTAATGAGATAAAACTACCAGTGAACCTTGGTATTTAGAGGCACTGACCTTTGCCTGCGAGGGCTGTGACTTTAATAAGGAAATGCTGATTTAATCTACTAGTCTGCAGAATGCTTTTATGTTCTGCTGCAGTGTAAAAAATACGCTGATTTTCTCCAGCCTGCTGATACTGTTCCGTACTGTTTCCTTGTGCCTTCCTCACCAGGATTTTCCGAATTTCATGACCATGCTGGATGAAATCCTGGTGCTGAAGTCAAAGTGTGTCCAAGCAATGCGAGCCCAGCTGCAGCTTTGTTTAGCCTCCACTGACATATCACTTGAAACACCTCCATCAGTTTAGACCTTCTTTGCTTCCACGTGTACTGGAGCACCTACAGGAGACCTCAGCCAGCACTTTGCTACCCTTGGTGCTGTGGTGTGTGGGAGGTAGGGGATAGCTTTTGGTTTGATGTTTGTGATTAGTGTGTGCTTTATATAAGGATGGAGAGAGTTCTGAGTAAATGAGAGATGACTAATTGGCACCATAAGCTGTGTATTTCATTAATACTAGTAAGCCGCGTTCTGAACAGTAACAATTCAGCAGCCTTTAAATGTCTCACCAAGCAAAAAGCAAGTTGTGTTCATGTATCATAGCAGCTCCTCACATGTTAAAGGCAGTTTTGTGTTGCCAAGTAAGGGAAATGACTTTGAAGCCAGATACAGGTCTGAATGAAATGCTCAAAAGCTACCCACAAAAGTTCTTGCAAACAGAAGCCAGGAAAGAGAGAAGGTTGTTACACTAAAGTGACTGGACCCTAAGTATTTGGAAGTCAAGGGAGGGTGTGAAGTGCTTTCAATTTCAGAAGAAAGCCTATTGTTAGTTCTTGTGATGAATCCTCCAGAGCTTCTGAAAGAGGTAGCTTTAAGTTATGGGTAAGAAGTGGTTTAGCAGGGACTTCGTACCAAAGATTCCATCTGGCATGTTAATAAGCACATGGGTTTCATGCTGCTGCTCAGAGGAAGACACCAGCAGCTGTACCTGCTGCACACCACATCTAATGTTCTGACCAGAGCAGAACAGATTTCTCACATGAAAAGGGGGTCTGCTTGGAGGCACTGAGCTTCCAGAAGCTGCTAACAGCACTGTTAGGTGAAACTGGTATTTGAATCAAGAGCTATGGAGCCATCAGCTGGAGCCCTGCAGAAGACCTAGTGCTGCATGCATCACATCTGAACCACAAACCTAGTCCACTTGCTTTGAAGACACAAGTGACCTTGAGACATGCTTGCTGACCATGCACTGTGTGAGCACTCCCACTCCAAAATTAGGGCTGTCACAGCACATTCATCCATCTCTGTGTCTCCTCAGTAATGCCTGTGGTAGCTCATTCAAAGCTTGCTCAGTAGCCAGAAATGCCAAGGGGAATGGAACACTGCTGTCTGACCAGCTGTGGGTTTTGCTGCCTGCCTGCACAGCCTCCCTGAGGAGCCCAGGTTGGGCTGAGCAGCAGGACAATAATTGCAGTGACACTGGGATGCATATTTGGTGCAAACACTCCCAGGAATGTCACCCAGCGTAGGCCTGGGGAACAGAAGCAAATCCCACATCACTGCCCTGACTATTGGGCTGTTTTTAGCAATGGTTAGTCTCCATCTTGCAACTGAAACTGTATTTCTCTGTGGAGCAGAGCAGAGCTTCTCTGGGGTCTGAGGTTATGGCTCTTGAAACGGTTCCTGTGTCCTGGTCACAGGCCAGCAGCAAGTCACACCTGAACCTGGGTCAGAAGCCTTCCTCACTTACCCAGAGAGATGAGGCATCCATGAGGAAGACTCTTGGTATTTCTGCATGGAGCAGTCGTGCTTGGCAGCCACCAGAGAGCTGTAAAGTAGTGGGACATCAGCACTCTGCTCAAACCATGCAGGGAGGAGTACATGTTTAAAACCAGCAATTCCCTCCACTTCCTGGGGCCAGGGAGACTTTTCCTGTGAGGGGAATACGAGGCAGCTGCACAGTCCTGATACCACAAATTAGATGTGGGCACTTAAGTTTCCCCAGCACATTCTCAGCAAGCATGCAGCAAATACTGCTCTCAGGGAGCAGCTGAGGAGTTTGGCAAGTCTATTTGGAACCAAGGAAAAGGTCAGACTGTAGGATGTGTACACAGGTCACAGGAAAATGTGATGCCCAATCAGAAACAGTGCGAGGGAGGAAAATTTTCCCTCCACGTACTCTGACATTTGGGAGATGAGTATTGGTTGAGTGCTCTTTCAGGTTTTTAAAAAGCAGCTGAGCAGAGTATGTTCAAAGGCATTTTGAGTGTCTCCAGAAGCTGGACATTCCTAAGCAACACACTAAGAATCATTTGCATATCCCACAATGCCATGTCCTAACCTCAGTATCTGCAGGCAGTTGTGACAAGACAGATGACTGACCAAAAATTTCTGTGAGCAGAGATGTGAGTTAAGTCAGCTGCCAGATAGATTGGAGCCACCTGTGAATCCCATCTGATCTACTGTGAAAAAAGCAAGTCTCTCTGGCAGATCTGAGCCCCAGCATCAATTCCCAGAGCAGGAACTATTTGCTCCCTTGAGGAATGGCCAGGGACACTGAGAAACAACAAATAATCAGAACAACAACCACACACTTTTCTGAGGTCTGATACAATCTTTCCTTTTAAAAGGAAAGGATTGAGGCAATCCACATGACTATACCTTCTTAAATATATTTTATTATGTCTGTTCTCCAAAATTTATTTTCTCTATTGAATGTGAGACTTGACCAAAATAAAAAAATAAAGCACCTGGCTGTGAAAATCAGCCCATCCTTGGCAATAACATGGACATGCTTGAAGTGCTGCACACCTCAAAGATACCAACAATGGGTTCTGCATACGCAACAGAAACTATCAAGCTGCTGTCAGAAATGGTAACATTTTTCTCTCCCCTGTGAGGTTTATTACCCAGTTGCTGCTTTAATTCTTGTGTGAAATTGTGCTAAATGAACATTTTAAGTGTCATCCCCTTCCTACTGTTTGATATTTCACTGACAACTGCTACAAAAGGTTTTCGCTTCAATTTGACGAATATGTGTTAAAGTGTCATAAAAGCAATCTAAGAGATTTTGAGAGCTTGGCCATGTACAATCGAATAAACACAGAACTAAAATGGATTCACTTTTGTATTCAGATGCAACAATGACTATTAATGCTTATTAGCAGAGGTTTGATACTTTATTTCAATAGTTGACAGAATTTAAAATAAAATTCATTTTGCTACAGAACTCTGTTAAAAATCATTTTAGGTAAACATGATCAAAATGCCTATTTGATTGACTGCAAAAGATTAAGTGAGGCTGGAAATCTGTACAAGCTCCCCTTCTCACAGAGCTTGTTGGTGTGGAGAGTTTCAGGAGCCCTGACCCACAGCCAGAATGACCCTTCCTGGCTTGGGCAGCAGCCACAGGAAGCTGTTGACAGGGCTCTGTTCTCCAGCAGATCCGGGGCAGGAGCCACAAGCCGGCTAAAAAATGCTGCTCCCACTGCCCAGCTACAGTATCAGGAGCCCTGGGCTGCCATGGGGGTGAAGGATGGCTCTGCAGTACCAGAGCCATTTCCAGGCTACTGCTGTCCAGAACCAGCAGGAGGCAGCTCAAAGATGTTCTTGTTGAAAGCACAACCACCACTTGAGGCTCTGCCTCTACACTTCTCACCAGCCTTCCCACTCAGGCACACAGACCTCACACAGAACCTCTCACAGAGCTACAGCAGGGACATAAATCAGTGTGACCTGACAGCTACAGAAAATGCTCCAAGGTCACAAGTGACCTTGGGTGCAGCCAATCTTCTCACCAGCCAGCAGCAAGGCAGAGCCCAGCCTTGCTCCAGCCAGCAGGACCTCCCCCCACCCACAATGAACTGTACCAGGACAGAACAGTACCAGATTAACAAATGCTGCACAACACCCTGGACATTGAACTCTGGTCACAGTGGTTCTCTTGTTACACATTTATTTGGCAATTCCTCTTCTCTAACCCCCTTAATCTCCTCTTTGGTATTTTCTTCTCTGAGATGTCAATGCAGGACTACAGTTCAAGCCTTCAGCCTCCCATGGATTTAAATCCAGAAATGTCACTGCCAAAGCAAGAGTAGCATCACCAGGGAAGACCCAAGTGGGCATGACTCTCTGAAACAAGACATTGCATCTTCACAGGTGCCACTTCCCATCATCACCTCCCTGCTCTCACCTCCACAAGAGCTCCAAAAGCAGAATAGTTATTCTATGGGGCTAAGAGCCAGACCCTGGAGGGGAACTGTGAAAAAACAACACACACTAATACAATCAGAGATTATTTTATTCAGAGGTTTTGTCTAAATAGTTGTTTCTTTGCTGGCAAAGACTTCTTGCCCCTTCAGAACTGTCTGGTAGCAGACAGGGACACACTTGGGTAGCAATTCTGAGAAAACCAGAACAAGTAACACAATCAAATGCTCTCAGCAATGATGGTAAAGCAAAATTCGAATTTTGTTTTCAAGGTTTTCAAATTGATCAGGAACCCCATTTCCTCACTTCACTGTTGCATTTTTCACCTGGGAAGGAAGAAAAGCTGGACAGTACCTGCACTAACAGAAGCAGCAGCTGTTGTCCCATCAGCTGTTGAATGTCCTTAGACAAGCTTTATTTCAGCTCTACCACTAGAAAACGGTCAACACTGGGGTACGTGCAAGGCAGCCTGCTCTGCTCCTCCTCATTCCACTCCATACCTCCTAGATACTTGCCAGCAGATCCCTCTCTTGCATAATTTTAAAGTAAATGTATGTAATTCACACAGTTGGGCACCCCACAGAGAATTCCAGGAGTGCACACTGGGCCCAAATTAGATGTTTCGATCCTAGAAAGTTAACATAACGGAGAGAAATGCCATCGTCTCCTTTGGAGCCCTTATGAGCTGAAACTTCGTACTGAAAACCTACACTGATGCAATGAGCTGAGATGTTTTGACCTCTAGCAGCCCAATGCTCCAGCTCCAGGCTCTAATGTGCATTTAGATCCCTAGGCTGGGGTTTTGCCACAAAACAAAAATAAGCCACAGAGAAGCACAGCACCCCACTGCAGTGTTCACATGTGCCCAAAGGAGATGGCAGCACCTGGGCAGGCAGGATCCAGCAAGTTCTTTGTCTGCTGAAGCCAAAGAGGATGAGAGATGAGAGATGGGAAACATGACAGTTGTATTTCAGGGTTTTATTAGTTGCTCTTCTGCAGAATCAAAATATTTAGCAAATTAGAGATTCCTCTAGACTGCTGATATTTCATGTATTTAGAACTTGATCAATGTACAACATAATACTTTGAACTATCAAAAACAACCCCAAACCTGATTTGTAGTACTAGATGTTATTATGTAGCTCTATAGCAATGTGAAAAATGGAACTAATGCAGTGAGTATATTTGTTTTAAAGAAAGTGCTTGAAAGAAACCTCCTGCATCACACTGTATATTATTTAGATCAAAAAGATAACTGAATTTCTAGCAGGGCATTGTCTTAAATATCCTACAAGCCCAGGGGATTAAAAATATTGAGCCCCAGCTCTCTGCCTTCAGGTTCAAGAACCAACACAAGTTGCAGGTCTAGGTCGAGTTCACAGCTTACCTGCTTCAAGGGAATTTACCACTCAGCATTGCACACTTGTGTCTGGCAGAAGTGTTGGATGAATGGGTAAAAAACAAAAACCAAGAGGACAAAACAAGGTTCTGTCTTTATGCATAGTGACAGTTTCTGAACCAGTGTTCTACTAAGTTACAGACTAACTTTCAACCAAAAAATAAAACTCCATTGCACTAAAGGTCAAATTTAACCAGGTAATCTGGACTGTGACACAGTCAAGTAATTCAGTACAAGCAGACAAGACACCATGAAAGCAGCTTCAAAGAACCAAAGCATCCTAGTTTCAGACCCAACTTAATATTCTTCTGTCCAACTCCAGTGCAACAATGAGGGGGGCAACCACTCCATCTCTACCTATGTACAATTCCAGTCAAGGCTGGGCAGTCTCAACTTTCCGTGGCCAAGCTGGAAAAAGGAAACTCAGGAAAGGACACTTCAAAATTTAATTTAAGAATGAAAGTTGGCCCTCAGTGAAAAGAGAAATGCTGGAGTGATGCACGCAGGCAGACTTGCTCAGTCACTCTCCCTTGTATGAGAAAAGCTGGACTCCTTCCCACTGAGAGCAAGTCACACTGGATGCGAAGGTGGCGGGGCTGGTCCTGCTCCGTTGCACACAAAGAATCCAGGAATGTGTCTTCAGCTGGCTCCTGCACGGGCCATTAGATCTTCCAAAGCATTGTGTTGGTCATTGTTGTGTAATAATAAGACCTCCTTAATGTCTTTTAGTTCAAAGCCCATTTCTTTAAATTGACTCATTAATTGGAGAAGTTCTGTGATCTGAAAGACAGACAGTCTGTTATTTGCAAGAGTAAGTAGATGGATCAGTGCTTGGTGGAGGTTTAGCACAGAGCCTGTCTTCAGCAGCTGGGCATGCCATAATTGTGGATTCCTCCTCCCCAACCACAGCCTATTCCAGCTTTCCTGGGACAAAGTTTGCTCACACTAGAGCTACCAGAGCTCTGGGCACAGCAGCCCACAGAAACCTTCAGTTCCCTCTCTTTGCCATCCTTCAGTTTTAAACCCTATTCAATCAGGGCACCAAAGCTCCGTCTGCAAGGGTATCTCTCACAGAAGGATATTTATCAGTCTGGCCCAACGTGGGATTCCAAAAATTCTGATTAATGGCACCCAGCTGCCCCATCCAGCAGCTTCTGCTGCAACTGATTTTTTTTAAAAGTTACTTGGACTTTGGGAACAGTGTAGTAGCCTTTGCTATCAAGTGGCTTCTCAGATCTAGGGCAAACTTGGGGGATTAGCACAAACCCCACTGTGTACATACAGTATTTCCAACATAAACTGAATCCTCCCTGAGCTTTGAAAAATAAAATGGCAAGAAGTGAGTCAGCTAATCACTTTTTTGATCCCTCTGCCATTTATAGTGCATCTGCTCCACTCCAGGGGAAAGAAAAATCCCAAACAAGCAAGGAGGTTGAAATGGGCAATCAGGAGATTAGCCATTTCCAAGTCTGGGGTTGAGCCAATAGCAAATGGGTTTCTCAAACTCGGTTACTTTCCATCCTCACACTGCTACTGCTGTTTACAAGATTATCACTTGTCCAAGAAAAGCAGGAAAGCATATCTATGTTTGAGGGGGTTGGGTTGCACCTCTGGAGATTTCATGTCACACAACTGGCTGGCAGACTTTAAGAAAATCCTGTCATCTGCCCGTACTACCCACTCCTGCTTTTCCTTTGGTGCTGGTAAAGCAGCCAGACAATGAACTAGACCCCAAAACATGCATTTCCTAGCTTCTTCCAGAGCAAGCCCTAACTCAGTTTGCTGGGCAGCCAGGCAGATGCACTTGTACAAAGGAGAAAATTCATGGCCAGGGCAGGCTGGCAAGGTTTGAAAGACAATTTTTGCTGCTGCTGAAGTTAACTGTATCTGTACCAAGCACCCACTGCACAAGAGAATTCTGGGCATTCAGAACAATATGACTACAATAAGCAGGGTCTTAAAAAAATCCTGTTCCCATAAAAATGGATGCAAATGAGACTAACAAAACGACACAAATTCTTACGCCTTAACAATTTTTAGTTTTATCAACATAAAGATGTCCTTTGGCAGTCAGTTTTGGAAACAAGGCAGCATTACCATGAAAGTCAGAATTACATCAGCCAGAGGAACTGCTGCTGGAATTCCCTGTCGTGGCACATTTTTCTATTCCTGCACACATTGCACCCTCACCTTCTCCTCTGAACACTGGTGCATTTCCAAAGCTGCTTCAACAAGAAGTGGATCAAAGCCCTTCTCACAAAGCTGTCCATGTGCAAACAGGTAATCCAAAACCTGTGGGGAATGAAGAAAACAAACTGGGTTTGCAGAGAGGCACTTGCAGCGGGGACCTGAATGTCACCTTGGTACATGCAGAGGGGCTGAGCATGATTCTACTCAGGGCTTCACCAGGGACAGAGATAGAGTCCTTCCTAGCAGAGTTGAGACACTCCTTATACAAGAGCTTGTGCAGAGAAAGCAGACAAACCCTTCTGTCCTGCTGTGCTCTCCTTCATTCTAGTCAAAGCAGCCTCGGAAGTGTATCTTTAGCCCTCTGACTGCAGAGCAGAAGTTTCATTGTGCTTTTTATACTACAAGTTTTAAAAACGAAACTGTAGGTCCAGCAGTCAGGATATGTCTGCTTTTAGCTTCCTCTCAGACAGCCACAAGAGCTGATGCAATCTGAGAGCAGTCAGCCTTTGATGATCAACTCAGCATACTGGCAAGTAAGCTGCAAACCCCAACTCACACACTCAGAAACTGCTGCCAAATTTCTTACCCATCCTCAGCTTTAAGGGGAAGGGTCAGGTAGACAATGCTAGGTATATGAAAGAACAGAGCTTGCAAGTAGAGCAGCATTTAAAACCACCCTCCTAAGGGACCTTTTTTTCTATTTGATACCACAGTTCACTCCAGAGCACAGCCAAGTCACTCTCTGTAGGTAGGGAGAGGGCCAGCAGATCAGTCCCACAAGCAGGAGTCCCTGGGACACGCTCTGTGCAGCACACAGCCTGCTGAGGTCCGGCACGGGAGCTTGGGCCAAGTTCTCCCACTTTGAAGTGTTTGTTCGAAGCAGATGCAAGAGCCACGCTCTTCCCAGCAGTGCTTTGTGCCCAGTGACCTGGTTTGAGCAGGTGTAAGAGGCAGTGCTCAAGCAAGAAGCAGCAGCACCAGGGCACACACAGGTCGGTCAGTGCAGCCTTGCAGGAGCCTTTCAGAGCTGTCTTAGGCCTGCAGGGGCCAATCTCTCTACAAAGGGGGGTGCGTCAGCATTGTAAACCCTCGTGCTCAGAACAAGGGAGGTCAGCTGGCTTTCTGTCATGTGGCTCTAAACATGGCACAAAGCCATGGTAAGCTTCCTTTGGATGTGTTCGTGGCTTCAGGAGAGACCCAGAATCTCTCCCCCCAGTTTCATATGGAGCAAAGGGCCCATCCCAAACTCAGCATGGCTCCAACACAGCACGCACAGGTATGGCTGACTCTTGCAGCCCCTCACCAGAAATAAGCACAAGCTTTAGGTTGTAACCCCCCCTAACTTCCCCTAACCATATTAAGAGTTACAGTATTTTCCCCACCCATTTTGCAAACCCAAGACAGCTTTCCAGCAGAACCAGCATCCAATAAAGCATTTCTTTGCACTGCATGAGCTCTTACCTGGTCTATGTTCTGTCCCTTCTTCTTCATGGCTTTCAGGACGTTCTCAGGCGAGTAGCCCATGTTGACCACGGTCTCCACACAGTGCCTCTCGCTGGGGGAGAGGCCCTGCTGCAGCTCAGCCGCAAGACCACCTGGCCACTTCGTGCAGCTACTATTATTGGGCACTTTAGACACTGCAAAGTTTTGGTGTGTTACCTAAGGGGGAAAACCGAGAGGCTGAAGTGATGGTCATCTCTTGCATCCCCTCATCCTGTTTCTGCCTAGGGCTAGAACCACGATACCCCATGTAATTAATCCAAAAGGTTTTTTAGAGTGCCCTTGGGTAGTTACATACTGTGAGGATGAAACCAAGTAGCCTGATTCCCAACACACTCTTTTAACCCTCAAAGCAACAATCAAGAACCCAGATTCTTCACAATGAACACTCTTCTACTGGTGTGACCAAAGCCTTTGAACACCCAAGCCCTGCAACTGTGAAGGCTGGGATACAACCAAACCTTGCATCTCAAAGGAAGCACAGATTGCTTCCTTCATCTCAGGTTTACTCATCACCTATGGTTTTATGTACTCAAAGGAACACCACTTGTCAAAATTACCACAAACATGATCCAATGCAAGCAAGCACACAGGTGTATTTGGAAACTTACCACAGGGATTTCTGTTTCCTGGTAGTCTGGGTGTACCTGCTGGACAACACACAAAAAAAACCAAGTATAAACATCATGCACCAATCAGCAGATTTTGCCACAGCTGGGTGAGGATAGTTTTATAAAAGATTCTACCACAGGATGGGAGACTTTAGGATCTGATCCGGCTTCCACATATGAGATTCTGACCTTACCCATTGCCTGCAGCTATAGAATCACCATCATCATAAAGATCATTCCTCTTCTCAGCACTCTACAAATGAATTATACTCCAAAAGGGATGTGTGTACCCCCACAATAACTATAAGATTGTTTGTTCTCTCACTGTAACAGCTGCATGTTCACACAGCCCCAGTTCGGGTCCTGACCAAGACTACACTGCCTAACAGTGTTCATTTTGAAGTCATTGCCTAAAGACTTCTCTGGACTTTTTGACTGTGTGAAAGGGAAAGACAAAAATACACCTCTTTTCTCTTGCCAAAGCACTGAACTCCATACACTACATAGGAACAACCTGCCACACTGGCTCAAAAGAGCATGTGAGTTTTCTACCCAGCTCTTGTCCCACTCCCAGCACACCAGCAAGGCAAGGTTATGCCCTGCTGTGCACCTGTTCTGCTTGTGCAGAACCACCCCACCACTTTGTACACCCTTGCCCAAGTCAGCAGTGCAAAGTCAGGCCTTGGCCCCACCAAAGCTGCATGTTTTAGTTCAATACATTTAGAACTCCTGCATTTTAAAGAGTTAGAACAGACTGCAAGAAATCACTGTGGACCAAGAACCACAGTTTTTAGCACTTCACAATACTTATTGTGCCAGCACAGATTGCTTGAAAGCTTGTCCACATCCTTCAGAAAGGCCTTCTTAGTGCCCAAACTGAACAACAGAAAATCCACTATAGAAAACCAATTCTCAAAAGATCTGTTAGGATTTCAATAAATTCCATTTATTTGCAAAAATATCCAAAGCCAACACCAAGGAGGTTTTGTTCTGCATTCCTAAACATCTTCCAGGGTAAGAATTTTTCTTCTAGAAGACCAACCCTGAGACATCATATTCATTATGATGCACTAGGGTATCCAAAAACCTCTTCTCATGGCGTGTTCTTCACACACATCCTTTCTCCAGACACTTTTTCAAGGGCAAAAAGCACTGGAATAGAGGATACATTTAAATAGGGAAAATAGCCCTGAAATCAGCTAGTGTGTTATGAAACTGAAGGATGATGATTTGTCATTAATGATGCTTTGTTATTGACACCGCAGCCAAAAAAATCAAAACTGTTTCTGACACCAGAGATTCAGCAGTCTAGGAAAGCCAACTCCTCTTACTCAGTCTACTTAATTTTAACCTGTTTTCTTCATTAATCATTTCTACCTCTGCTAAAGCTGTGAAAATCAATGCACTGAGATCCAAGAAAAAATAGAAGTAAGGAGAGGGGACTACCACAGAACTTATGAAGCCTCAGAGAAATCACAGACTTATTTCTATCCAAAGATTCCTAGATCTAATTCAGTGGGAAAGCAAATACTACCATAACTGCAAATTCAAAGTCAAAATTTCTAATCTTGTGAGAAAAAAAAATAACTATGGAATACATTGGGATACGGGCTTTTTTCTCCCAGCCATAGAGATGACTCTGATTTTTTTCTACTCTGAGGATTTTTGTTACATTTACTTAAATTCTTTTGTTGCATTTACTTAAATTTTTTGCATATCAGCCATCATTTTCCAGTGGAACTATACTGTGGAAACATAAAACAAGTATAATCTGAAGTCTTGGAATTTAAGCACAAAGAACCAAGTTCCATCAGCATAATTATTTCTTGGTTCACTCCTTCCAAACCATAAATAGTTTCCAATTAATTAATTAATTTTATTGCTTCTCCTAGTAAGCCTACTTTTTTTTCTACTTTGCATCTTCCCTTACAGCACTGTCAAGAATATACTTTCCCTCTTGGTCTTCAAAAAAAATTAACTCAGCAGAGAGATATTAACAGTTTGAGTGTAAATTTAGGCATCTTAATGCCTAAATTAAGACTAGTGGTAAGTGATCTTTTGTCCCCAGAGATGCTATGTGTTCTGTAACTGAGGTCATACAGGCCCCTCTCACACCTGTGACCTGCAGCAGTGAGCAGGTGCTCAGCACGCTGCTCTTGCCAAAGTTAACAGTATTGAATTTGTTCCAGTAATCAACAAACAGCTGTTCTGCTGTGCTCTGTAAGATACACTATTTCCTAGAATATTATACTTCACAATTACGACTGCATTTACCAAACTCTGAAAAGAGCTGGGGGAACAAAAGGGGAGAAACAGCATCACTTTTTTCAGAGCCCATGGTGTCACACAGAAACCTACAGTATGCCACTAAAACCACAGAATCACTGAGAAATTGCTTATATTGTACAGAGAAAAAACCCAGATTATTTTAGAACAAGCTAGAAGATTTTAGACAGCTTTCACTAGGCTTCATGAGTAATGGTGTCCAGATTTGCAGCTCTTCGTAAAAAAACCCCACAAGCTTACTGTAATGTCTGTTTTTATTCACAAAGAGACAAAAACAACACCTGATGTGAAGTTACTGTTGTCAAAGTACTTTTAGAACCTGCAACAAGATTGAGGAAATGAAGAGTGAATCTCCCATCTCAGAGCTGTATGGTGACCAAGTGTAATACTAAAAATACAAGATGATCTTCAAGGCTGGTTTTGGTCTCCACCAAGCAAGGACTCCGTCCTCCTTCACAAGAAAGGGTGAATACAAGATTTCACATCACGATAAATTTTCTTCTTCCTGTTAATGATTAGGTTTTTAAAGGAACTCAGGAAGAAAATTAAAACTAAAAAAAAAAAGATGGTTACTTCACTGCAGATCAAATGCAAGCACTTTTTTCTTCCCCGAATGACACAGCATATCTGTGTGTCTTAACCTATCATTACATATATTCCTTGAGAAGTCTGCATTTCTCATTATTTCCAGCAAATAAACACGCAAACCAAGGAAGAAAATCAGAAGATATTTGATTCAAAGCCTAACAGCATTTAAGAATCTGATATAGCTCATCTGGGTAGGACAAAATGCAGGACTGTGTGTAGGAGATGCCTTATATACTTAGCTTAAAGGTGTGCAGCTATCAACAACAAATGAGAGCTGAAAAGCTGAAAGAAGAATCACTGGAATTGGTCCAAAAATGTCATATCTGGGGGAAAATTCAGGGTAATAATCTGGGGATCATAACTACCACCACAGAGACCTGTTGGATTGATCAATTTGCCACATAAATTAAGAGAATCTGCAATTCACTCCTAGTTAATGAAATGATAACCAAAGCAACAGGGCAATTTAGAGGCAAGAGTTGCCTCTGCACCTCCACCTCTCACCAGCAACCCCAGTTCCACTCCACTTTATGTTTACCGTAGTCGATGTACTTTGAGATGATTCTTCTTCTGTACAAACAGTGGAAACAACCCGGGGAGACAGCCTGGATGAAGAGGATAATGTCTCCCTGCCATTGTCCTCATTTAGAGCGGAAAGACCAAGCATATGGTGTCCATTCAGTTCACTGACTTTGCTCTGAGCACAGGTCTGCAAAGAGCTAAGCAAAGTGCCATTGCGGAGGCAGGTAGTGCTGTGGAAAGTGCTCGTGAGCTTTGTTGATTTCTGATCACCCTCATCGGAGTCAAGCTTAGGGAATGAAAGGGATTTGATATTGCTCACTGAAGTGATGGGGGAAAGGGACACTTTGGAAGACAAGGACATCTTTTCACAGTTTCCCAGCTGTGGTAAAGTGATAAAGCCATTGGGTTTGTGAAGGGGTTTGAAGTCCAACGTGGCCTTTTCTATGGATGCCAGAACTTCCTCATCTTGCAACACAGACTCAGACCCTCCTTTAGGCAAAGTATTATCTAACAGCTGGGCAACAATTGGCCCAGTAGTACCAACATGAATTTCAAGGATATTTTTTAATTCCTCCTTATCATCAATAGTTTTTAATTCCAGTTTGTCAAATGGGTCTTCTTCACATTCAAAATCAGCTGGGTTGAAATCTGCCTTTGGACGAGGTGGACTGAGGACCTTCTGCTTCACAGAGCTGGTGTTGGCTGGGGTAGGAGTCAGAATATTATTGTGCTGCAGGCTAGCGAGGATGGGGTTAATAGGAGGAGGCATGGCTTCAGGGCAAGGTCCCTCTGAGAACCCCATCCTGGTGTTGTCCTCTGGAGCTGCTTTTGAGTTTGCTAGGGCTTCTTCTGCCTTGCGTTCAGCTTCTCTCTGGGCAGCCTGAATTTTTTTTATCTCTTCAGCCCACTCAATTGTTTTCTTTTCCAGTGAGAAGTCATACTTGATGGGGGTGGAGAGGAAAGAAGAGAAGGGGAAGTTAAAAAAAAAAAAAGAAAAAAGAAAAAAAGAAAAGTTACAAAGCTTATAGCTGCTATTTTAACAGCAACATAAATTAACACAAAAGAGAGTAAGAGTTGCATGAATTACCAAGAACAGCAACATTTTTTCACAAAATACAGATTGACAAAACTGGCAGACACCAGTTTTGCCAACAACCACAAAATCTGGCTGCAACCTGGATTAGACTACTGTATTTTGCCTCTTTCCTACGTTTAGCTTTGCTTTAGAACTACTCATCAAAGATCAGTTTCACAGCCTTCCCACCTTCTTTCCCCAGGACACGGGAGGTAGCAAGAGGAAGACTAATGAGTTATTAGATGAACAATCACACCCTGATCTGGCACCACCAAACTATCCCCAGTCCACAACTTCTACAAGTCATTCAGCAGACTACTTTTGCATCCAAAGGCCACTACAGTATTACTCAGTTTCTCCTAAAAGGTTCCTAAGGGACTTGAATTAGAGTGTTACACACTCTATTTGGTACTCTATTATTTGGTTTAAGCAGTATTTTCACTCCCACTCCAGTGCAGTGCCTCACCAGCCAAAGGGGATACAGTGGCTACACCAATGACAACACCTACAGGCAGCAGCAGATTTTGCTCTAGCTACTGATGCGACAGGATCTCAAAAGCTTTTCCCATTTAACATCAGGTCCTTTAAGGCCAGATCAGCACAGAAAGGCATCTACTCACTACCAGTGTACTGATCACAGAGGCTTAGTTGTAAAGGGCAAAATTCTGAGTAGCCTAACTCTATCTTTAAATACCCACATATTTTTTTATACTAAAAAATTGGTGGGTAGCTATATTTCCTGCACTACTTTTTTTTTTTTAACAGCACTCACTACAGCAGTAAAAAGAACCAAATTCCACTGTGAGATGCACAGTCCACACTGTGCAGGGTGTTGCAGTGTGAACAGGCACACTATGCTGGCTGAGCCCCAGCTTGGCAGTAAAATGGAGACACACCACAATCAAGCCAACAACAGGATATCAGCATCTCCTTTGGCTCTCCCACATCAGCTTAACTGAGTGGAAATATGGGTACTAGAAAAATCAGGTAATTTTTTAATGCTTATGAGGGAAAAGCCATGAAGAAGGATTAGAGAGTAGAGAGAAAACAAAAACAAGAAAAAAGCAGAACCGCCTACAGCAATCTGTCACAAAGTAAAAACAATCATCAACTGGAGGGCTGGTCAAGAAAAATCATGGATGCAAATGAGAAAACATAATCAAATTAGACTTCCTGTATCACAACCTGCATTTTGATTTAGATTTCCAGCGTTACGCTAGTTATGCTAAAGCAATTGATTTTATGCTACTAACTGTTTATTTTACCAGAAACATGCTCCTGAAGACAGGGAAACTATCCGTGTACCAAGCTGTAACCTGTTTGCCCCACAGCTTGGAAAGAATTCTCACTCAGAACTACAGAGAAGAACACACAAGAACTACACAGAAAATAAGAACTGAAAATTATGCCATTGCCCTGATACGGGTGTCAGTTCTTAGAGTTTTTCCTCTTAAAAATTATATTCAAAATTTGTAAAGATAACATTTAGAAATAACTACTACACAAAAAAACTCTGCTTCTTTGAAGCAGATTGACTAAAACAAATACTTAAAAATAAAAGCTCCATGGCTTTTTAAAGCAATAAAAATTAGAAGCTTTGTGCATGAACCATCATATTTTAATTTTCTATACAGCCCAACAGATCTTCTAGAAATATATGACTGTCTGTGTGCAAACTGTGACAACTTGGAACACACAGCACCACAGGCTGGGGCCAGGGGTAAGGGGAGAAGGACCAGGAAGACAAAATATCACTTACCTGGGCTTCTCTGACAAGCTGAGAAGAATCAGACAGACAGAAACCAATGGGTAATCCAACCTTTGCTGGGGTTTTGAACTTGTCTCCTATCTTAAATGGGACATCATCAAGGTAACTGAAAGGCCCTGAAATCAGAAGCAGAAATTGAGAAAAAAACCCCACAACTCACGAATTTCACACTTTCAATTCACGCTCACATTGCTGTATTTGGGAGCTATTTTATCTCCGCTGAAGCATCTACACCAGATAACAAAAAAAATAAGAGTTTGAAGCTATTTGGACCTCAGTGTCTCAGTTTAGTTTAGGGAGTTTGCTCAGATTTTGCTTAATTCCTAAATTCTAGCCAATAACTGTTAAAAAAAAAAAAGGCAAACCCCCTCACAATCCACCATACTTTGACATCAATGCAACTAGTATTTTAGTTTCCTTTGTGACATTACTATTCCTACACAACTGGATGCTGAAGCTCTTCTGAACACTGTATTCTATTGCTATAAAGAGATCCATCATTTTTTGTCATATTCAAAACAGATTTTAAAATTACCCAACTTTAGAATAACTAAGACAAACTACAGTCCAGGTTTTGCCATACAACTAATAAGTAGCATTTGGACAGAAGTGGTCACAAAGGCAAAGCGATGAACCAGAGCCATTCCACTTTAAACAAAACACAGTGAAATAAAAAGGTTATTTAGCACAGCAACTCTTAATCAAAACTTAGATTGTTTTGAAACAAGGCAATCTAACTTTATCAGTCCCTACATCTGTCTTTTTTTCTGGGATGACACTTATCCTGCAAATTCACAAGGATAAAACACTTAGAGCTCAACCACCACCAAGCAGCCAGACTATTTGTGTGTTTTCCTTGAGAGACTGAAGAAGTATGAGAGAATCCAAAATCCAAACTAAACAACTTTTCCATTAACTGAAAATGGTCTCTTGGATCACTGGTCTAAGCTTTTGGAATCACAGACAAGGTTTCTGGCATATGAAACAATCTGAAGAGCGACTCCAGGCCTCACTTGTAGCTTTTCCCTGAGTGAACAGATACAGAAAGACATTAGTGGCAATATCTAAGATGGTATTCAGTGACCAAGCCCTAGCTCAGTGAACTGTGACTTGCTGTTTTTATCTGACCCATTTTCATACTCAGATGGCAGTTTAAGTACTGTTTGTGTTCCCTTACTGTTGATTCATCTACAAGGCAGCCACAGACTCCGAGAGGCTGAGCAGCGTTCATAAACAAGAACATCCTGTCAATTTGCAGTTAAAAGGCTTATATGCTGTCATTACTTGAGCTCTCATACTATGCACACTCACTGGGTGGTCACAGAGTCCTGTTAGGACATTTGGAAATGATCAGGATGAACAACCTACATCCCACCTGCACCTCCAGGATGAAAAAAAATTTTCAGTGATTTCAGTATTTTCAGTGATTCTTACTGGGAATCACATATCCAAGCATTGCACAACACAGCATCCAGACAGCACCTCACTTGGCCTACACTACCACTCTTTGCTACACACCTTCCAAGCTGTACTTGAGCTGAGAATTCAAGAGCCTGATATGGTAAAGCATTTGCTTATACAGAAATAACAACTGTGGCAACCTCTACAGCCAGAGTGGTAAATAATGGCCAGGTCAGAGACAACCAGATCTGCCAGCTGCTGCTATCACAGCCTGCTTAGTCCCACTGGCACAAGTCCTGCTCTATGCCAGATGATCCAAGTGCAGCAAGATTACTTCTCTACATGAATCTCCCAGCCCAAATTGCTCAGCATGCAAATGCTTGTCTTATTAGACCTACTGACAATATGCAGTGGGCACTTCCCCTTGCACAACTACACCTAAAGCAGATACCAGCCACACAGGGTACAAGCACAAACTTTGCTGTTGACATACCAGCAATCTTGTTTTGCACAGCAAATAAATACTAAGCACACCTAGACTAACTATATTGACAGCTGCCAGCTTAACCCCGGAAGCTTGACTAAGGAATAAAAACTTCCTACTTTCTCCCCAGTATATTTATTTTTCAACAACAACTCTTGCTATAACCCTCATCCTGAATATAACTATGAGAAAAAGCCCATAAGCATATATTCAAAACACCTCAAATAGTTTAGGGTATTTAATGGCAAAAAGTCCGAGGCAAAACACCTATGCACACAGAATTCAGTTTGTTCTGGCCCAATCAGAACAGTACTAGCTTGGTGAAGCTAAAATCTTATCCAGAGAGCCAAGGATCTGGTTGTTTTTTTTGAGCAGATCACAGTGAACACACCGAGGAGTAAACGCGTGCAAATTGTTTTAAATGACACATTCTAGAGCAATAAGAAAAAACCTACATTAAAAAAAAGTATTATGAAAGACATTGTTACAACAGTCACATGTTCAAGTGAAATGACTTTTTACCAAACTGTTATTTAATAAGTCTGTTAGCCACTTCATCCTTGTATCAGTTAAAAGCATACAAATTTCTGAGAATAGACCTGGCAAAAGTGTACTTCTCAGCCAGGTCTCTGGCACTGTGCTCTGTACTACATTCCTGGCACAAACTACTACAAGAGTAGGATTTCTCTCCACTTCAGTATAATTCATAGAAGTGCCCTTCAGTTTGGCACCAAAATGGAAACTTCAGGGAAAAAAAAATAAAAACACACACACACATACAACCAAAACAGTTACCAGTTATGAATGTGGAACAGTTTTGAAACCACATGGAACTCAGTTGCTGTGGAAACACTAACCAATTACATAATTGTCAGAAATCAAGAGTTAAAAAGCTTTGAAATTGTATAGCAACAGCAAAAATACAACTGAAATATTGAAGCATCACACTTGGCATAACCCACACAGGAAAAAGGATTCCTTTCCCTCCACTCATACCTTGTGTTCCCATCTTCATCTCAATTTCAACATGGTCCTGAGCAACCTACTCTAGGTGCCCCTGCCAGAGGTTTGGACATGATGATCTGCAGGTGTCCCTGTCAGCCTTAACCATTCTTGATTCAGTGACAGCCCTCTGACCTCTAATAAGCAGTTCAACAATAATCGCAAGAGATACATCAACTATATTGACTGATTTCATCAGCCTGCCAGAGAGACAGAGCTGAAGGCAGCCACGTGGATGGATGCTCTACAGTAAACCAAAACTCATTTACTGAGTTAACAACCCTGGAGAAGACTGAAACTGCCCTGCTGATCTCTTAAGACATAATTAAGCCAAGGAAGTTGCTCCACTACTCCTCAGAAACAGTACAGTGATAATGTGGTTAGGAACAGAGGGTACACAAAGGAGCACACAAGTTAACCAGGCAGCTCACAGCACCATTTGTTTGGACCTTGTTATTTTGAAGCCAGGAGCATGTTCCACCACACCATACTGTTGTGGGAAATATTTAAGATATGTTGAATTCTAGCCCTGAGCAGCCTTTGCTAGTCTGGTTAGGTGAGGAGAAAAATAAAAACAGACATAAAAGACAAGCAGATCAAAGTGTTCACAGAGACCATTTACAGGAGCAACTGCTGAATAGCTGGCAACTACCAAATGAAAAAATTAGTTGTCTTGCAGCAAGGTCACTGTGGTGCAGCAAAGGAGGAGACCATCTAAAAATGAAGTTTAGATAGGCTATTTTTATTCATTTTTAATGCAGCATTTAAGTGAGACCTTTCTTATTTTGTACTTCAGCTTTATACCTGCAAGACTGAACAAAAAGCTCCAAGAAAAATGGAATTCTCCAGGACCCTTTTAGTGGAAAAACTAGCCAGAAATATGAAGGCTCAATATCTAGAAGCATTAGTTTTAATAGCCTGAAAAGCTGTGATTACTGATTTGAGGAAGCCACATTACATACAACAAACTGAACTTTAATGTTTCACAGCAATATTAATTACATTCAAATTACACACCATTTTCTAAAAAATAAGGACATTACAGGCAAATAACTTTTATGATACCAATCACCTGCATGACCTTATGCATCTCATATATAGAAGACAGAAAAATAGAGTCTCTTCTTCACCTGCCTTCTGAACCAGTTAAGTCCAATTTAGGAGAGAAATTCACAGCTGAGCAAAAATGAAGCATAATTCAATGTTGCATTAAAAGCTTCACTTTCAATTCAACTTCTCATGTTGCTTTTATATTAAGATGCTACAGTCCACTTTAGCAAACACCAAAGCAGTTCACCTTTGATTCTGAAGGGGTATTTGTTTGGGAAAGGGTATGTGTTATTCTGCCATGAAGGAACAGTGAACAGCCAGAGACTGATTTTCAGTTTAATCAGAAAACAGGCAAACACAGCATCAGCAAGCAACTATGCAAGAAGCAAGCCAAGGTACTTCATTCCTAACAAAAAACTACTTAGAGGCTAAACAGATTAATCTCAATGGACTGTCTAGGCTAGGACATTAGTCAGCAGCAATAGTAGGATTTACCCTGTTGAAAAGACAAAAATGCCAAATTTCACTTACCATGAGAGTCGGATCCCAACTTCTTAGAAGCCATTTAGAACCTGAAAAACATTTTAATACAGCTTGAAGAACTTTGTATATAGAGCACAGAGCGAGTCTATGCAGTTTCAGAGTCTTATCTGTAGGTTATGGTACACACTGCAGACACCTGATGTGCCTGTTCCCAAGACAGATAAGCAAACACATTTTTTAGCCTTGAAACAATTGAGCAGACAAAACTTAACCCAGGGTCTGCAAACTGAAATAGAAAAATAAAGAAAAAAAAATCCCCAACCAAAAAAACAAAACAGCAAACAGCCAAGACATAACCAGGGTGATCAGGAAGACAGAGTTACAGATCACAGCACTCAGAGGCCACTCTGCCCCAGCCTCATGAAGCACACCCTGCCTACCATGGCATTAAGAATAGCTCTTCCTACTGGAAATACCACACTGATCCTCTTCAGTTTAATCCCTGCTGCTCTAAAAAAGGGATACTACGGCAATGGGTATGCAGCCAGTTAGCCAGCATGGCACTCACCTAGACACACTGGGCAATGCATACAACAAGCATAAAATAAATGGTACCATGAGGAAGATATGTTTGATACACACAAGAAATCAATGAGAACAGTTTGGCCCCATCCACTGCCTACATTTAGCAAAAACTTTTTAAAACAAATTTTAAAATTTGGATGGAATCCTACATGGCCAAAATGTTAAACAAAGAAGTGCCTAGACAGTTTTTAACAGAGAGTAGGCCTGCCTCATGAGAAGAGCTGTTCAGTTATAGAATTAGCTGTCAGCTAAAACTCTGCTCCAGAATACTTATGGTATACTCAATAACATGGGGTTTTTTTGCTAGATTAGAAGTATATCACAAAGTCTAGCTCAAGACATCACAGCATAATTTCTAGAGTGCCTGAATTTATTTCTAAGTGTTCCTCATGACATTATGCATGACAAAGACTCAGAGTTGGCCTTTGTCTCTGAAATTCTCCAGTTCACAGACTGAAATGCTCAACAGCTGTTCTTCAAAACCATGGAGGCCTCTGGTACATCCCCATAGGCAGCAGAGCACAACAACATGGGGCAGATCTAACATTCATGCCCATGATTCCCCAGCCAAGGACTCCTGGGCTCACTGTTCCCATTGTAGATTCCAATGGCAAACATTACATTTTCAAGGGAAGTGTGGATTACACAGTTTAGCTATTTCCTCCTTGATACTGCTGACAGGACTGGGGACAAGAAGAGCCAGTTTCAAGTACTCTAGGACTAAAGTCCCTTTTGTGGTGCAAAGATCCCTTTCAACATTATGTTGAAATCAACAGGTGAACCAGTCCTGGCTAACGGGAATTCTATACTAAGCCAAAGCCAAACCCGTATGAAGATCACCCATGTGCAACCAGACTTTGTGAAACACAGTGGGCAGATGCTGGGCCATGGGGAAGTGAGTCATGCTGGGCAAGTCCAGGTGCATGCTGCACATAAAAACTGTGTGTCATCCTGCTCAATGTTTGCCAAGTTCTTTTCAGAACTCGCCAATCTCTCTCAGCAGTGCTATTATGTCTGAAACTATTCCACTAAGCCAAAAACTGGTTCTGGCAGCTAGTTCTCAGAAACAAACAAAACATTAAGGCTTCAAAGACAGAAAGAAAAGAAGGTGAAATAGTGTCAAGCCTGCCATCTAAGGAAGGATGTCAAGGGCAAAGTCACCAGACAACCCAGCAGAGCTGCATGTCAACCACTGGAGCTGAACAAGTCTTACCGGTCTCAGTGCCCAGACTGCAGACAACAGCACATGAAGTAGCTGCACTTTCAGACCCAGGTTTCACAGCCAGCTGTGTTGGTAGTTCCTGTCTGTGAGAGTAGCAATTAAGTTATCAACTGGATTTGTTTTTAGTGAAAAAGCCAGGTGACACATAAAATCATACCTTCACGTCCTCACCAGTCCTCTCTTTGTGGCAGGAGACGGCGTGGCACTGCTCACTCTCCACTGAACTTGGGAGAAAGCCTCTACACACTTATTTTAATGTCTCAGTTTTTTTTCTAGTTACTGCCTCAGACTGAAAAGCAACTCCTTTTTTTGAAGATTTCAAAAACTTCTGATAAGAGAAAGTAACCTCCTCACTTTGCCAACTCAAGTAGATTAAGGGTGTTTGCTCAAGGGAGCACCACTTGCTACTGCTCCAGGGACATGAGTAGCAACATATATAAATCCCAACAAGCCAAAACTGCACATCCAGCTTCCAAGGAGTCTTGCAGTAGCCTATAACACTGGAGTTGCATAACGTCTCAGTGTCATCCCACATAAGATCGATGGATCTTGCTTTTGCTGCCAATCCTGTAGTAAAATCCTAATGCTGACCTGGTGTCTGCATTAACTTCGAGATGCAGTGGAAAAATAATTCCTCTGCCATATAAAACACCTTAATTAACCACAGAACTAGCTAAGACACATCAGCAGCAAGCTAGTCATGAAATGGATTATTTCCAGAGCCAGTCACTTTAGATAAACATAACATTTGAGTTTATATCACACAGGTATTGCTGAAGCACTGTGAGTGTGCACTTATTAAGACACCATTACTTCAGAAGGCATTTGTCAGCAAACTGTTAAGCACCACACTCACTAACATAAGAACAGGCTGCCAGCCACATTTCATCATCCCCTTCCTAAAGAAGGTTTAATTAAAATAATGTCTTATGTCTAATCAGATTTGACAGGCTTGTCAGGGACCACTGTTACAAGCATGATGCTGTTGCTCTGTCATCCTGGCTGGGAAAACAATATTTGCATCCAGGTAGGTGGTTACTCATGTTGTTACTATGATTCTGGGCATTTTCTGAACATTAATTATACCATGCAGTAAAGGTTTGCTTATTTTTGTTACCACTGATTTTGAAATTTAATTTGAAATTTGGACTTATTCCAAATCAGATGATGGACAAGTCCAGCCCTACCACTGTTCCCTTTGATCTCCACACTCCAAAACAAGACGCTGAAGGGCATTGTTGGTAACAACACATGGACTTTGGCCTGATAGTTTACTGCACACTGTAAATTAAGAGGACAAAAAAGCTTTTTCAGCACCTTTCCTGCTCTAGAGGAACCAGTCAGTTGCATCGTACTACAGGGTGTTCTTACAGCCACCTACAAGCTGTCTTCCATAAATGTAGACCTCCCTAGCCTCACTCCCTCGTTCTTGCTTCTGGCCAACTGTCCATGGAGAAGATCAGGGCTGCAAGTACCTAAAGGTTATAAAGAAAGGAACTGAAGCAACCTTATGTGAACTCTTGTCCATCCATCTGTATAGTTTTTTACTTAGTAACACTGAGGCAGCAGGTCAACATCCTTACAACCAGCCAATCAGAGGAACACAGCATAGCAAGAGCCCAGGATGAGGGCAGAGGACCTCAGAGTGATCACGACAGAAGGGGAGAGGGGTAGGGAAACAACCACAACAACAAACACCACAAAGATGCAGAAACAGAAGTGGCAAGGCGAAACTGATGACAGCAACAACTGGTACAGAGAGGTGACGAGCTGGAATGGCTTGCAGATACAGAGGTGACCAAGGCAATTCACTGTGCATGCCATCACCTAAACCTGAATGGCATTTAGTTGTGCTGCTAGACAAGGAGAATATAGAAAAGCATGACTTGGTTCAAGTAGGTAATGCCAAAAGGAGTTTGGCAGAGAAAAGAACAAAAAAATTATTACAAAGAGTGACTCATGAAGAACTTCCAGGAAGTTGAGGTGGTTTTTTGCTATTATTTCAATGTTTCTTCTACTTTACCTTGAGTTTATATTTTCATTCCTTTTCTTCTGAAGGAGTTCTGAATAGACAAGTTGGAAGTATCCTACACTAATGATACCTGTAATTGCTTTATTCATGATAATTCAAACCAATTTAACTATTTGGCAAGAAGAACTGGACTCTTGCTTGAGTTTGGGGTGCAAACATGTCTGGATCCCAGACCATGTTAATTCCCTCAAGTAATTTCCACCTGAAATTCAGATAAATGAAAAGTGAATAACTTATGGGTGAAAGGAAACAAAAATGCCTCAAGTTATCAATCATAATCAAATCAGCACATCTATGATTTTCAGAGAAAGAGATCTATCTTGCAATTTTCATTTTACCTGCTAATACACATTGTGTAGTCTACATACAACTAAGAATGTGCCATTCAGTCTGAAAACTACAAAAACAGAAGTCTAAAAATGTAAAACATTTTTTCCTGCCTATATTACATTAATGCACTAGTGATTTTACAGTAAAGAAAAAAGTAAAAATCACTTTGATTCAAGTGACTGGTTTCTAATGGTCACAGGTGTTCAAAATTTAGACTGTTTTCAGTTTTCATTGTACCAATTTAACTTCAGTACAAGTGAAGGGCTATAACCAACAGGATTCTGTATATATAACTTCAAAAAGCAAAACTAGAAGTCAACAGTGTCTGTTGCTAAGACAAAAAAGTTAAGTTTCTCATACCAAAGCTTCCCATCTATGTAAGTGTTCAACCGCTGCTACACAGCTCAGATCTCTTACAACCTCTCAGCAAAAAGCCAGTAACTTCACTACAGTACAAAACAGATTCCATATTTTTACTGTAGTATCCAAATGGATGATCACCCCAAAACCTGCAGCAATTGCTTCCACTTTGTACCTCTAAGAGTTCTAAAAACAAGGGCATGTGAAGGTACTCCCCTTTCAATAAAGCACAATGATGTTGAGCCCCTGGTAACAGCTGTCTGGATGAACTTGTAATGCAACATGTGACGTAATGCAACTACATGCCCACAACACTAACATGCACCCCTTGCCCCCCCCCAAATACCTAATCAAGCAAAACAACAATAAAAAAACCAAACCAAAAACCAAAGTAAAAAAAAACCCCAAGACCCCAAAACTAAAAACCCACAAAGGAAAGAAAAAAACAACTCTATCACCAGTCTAACAGAAAAGTAAGTTCTAGCTTTATCTACAGTAACTCCTCTGAAGCACTACCTTAATCCAGGAGATAAAGTAAATTAAATTTCTTGGTCAAATTTAAGATTGACATAAACAACCCAAAACCTCCTCCAATCCAACACTCCTATGAAGCTGCTATCCAATTTTCAAGGGACACCAGTTAAGACAGATCTAATGATATCTTCATCTTCTGGGATACAAATACAAGTGGTCATCATCCTACATTTCACCATTCAGAGTAGGCCTTACACTGATAAGAGGGGATTTGAGGGAGGTGTGATGTATCCCTGCTGCATACATATCCTATGGATCAACAGTTCAAGCAGCTGTAATGAGTGACCTAAATCTGAACAGCCTACATCAAACAAATGCAGTTTGTTATTACTAGTGCAATGCTTGAGGGGCAGAGGGACAGGAGCAAGTAAAATGGCACTTTCTAAAGCATTTCTCAAATACATCAGTAGGAAGGAAAGGAAGAAAAGACCCTGAAAAATAGGACTATGTGCAGATCACTGGATTACAAGACAACACTAGTGATAGCCATAAAATCCATTATGGAGGTTTTCATGTAGATGTTCAGTTGCATCTTCCTAATGCTGATGAACATCAGGAGACACTGATTCTTCAAATTGCGCCATTGTTTAACATGACAGAGCGGACAATCAACCTTTTGCTCCCAGACTTCTCTGTTGGAGGCTTACACACACTCTCAGAAAGGCATGGCATCTCTCTGTCATTCCATATGGATTCATGGCCCTGACATCAGACACCTGCAGTTCCAGTTATCCTCATATCATGTCCCACTTTGTTCATCAGACTCGTTACAAGTAGATACTGTTTGACTGGTTATGGATTTAAGATTCATAGCTGATAACAGACAGCTCCATTCCTCTTTTAAGATCCTGACTATGTGTTTGAAGCATAATTTGCCATACACCTCACCCAGAAATCAGGGACAACCCTACAATGGCTGTGGAAATGAAGCACACTAATATACCATTTTTTTAGTCACTTGGTGACTTATCAGGCATACAGATTTCTAACACAGTTGAAAATTATACACCACACAAACCCCTAGAAATACAAGTTTCACAGGTAGCAGCACAAGGAAACAGAAAAGTACTTACAGCCAGCCCTGTGGTCAAAGTAGATCAAGGCAAGTTTTTCCTTTAGTCAGACACTGACATGCCAAACAACAGCATGGAGGACGCACCTATTCTAAATTCACATTTAACTTGGCAGCAAATGCATGCAGACGGGTGACCTTTTTAAAAAGGACTCTTTCCAGAAATTTCAAAGTGTAATTTAGTGATTTTTACCCAAGTTATTTAAAGATCATGTAGACAAAAGAGCTGAGAGAAAAGAGATGTGTTTTCTTTTTTTTTTTACTTCAAGGTGAGCTTCACTAATCTACAAACTACAACACCACCAACAAAAAGAATGATAAACTAGAAATAGAGGACTAACTTCCCCTCCTTGAGGCACAAAAGAAGCAAGACAGAAATTTTAGAGATATCTATATATCTATCTCTAAAAATATAAATGTGTCATGCAATTCCTACATTCCAGGAAAAAAGAGAAAAATACAACCCAAGACTCATACTAGCAGTGAGGGCTGCAATAATCTCAATCCAGTGAAATAAATCCCAAATTTGATGAGCAGAGCAACTGTTTTTAATACCTATTTTGCTATATCTAAAGTTTGAATAGCAAATACCTACCAGTTTTGAGAGTTTGAAACTGTCAGATGGTAAGCATCTGGTAACTATCAACAAGTGTAGCTACTTCAGCTTAATTACCATAAGATTTCATACTACTACAAAAGAGTCAGTTTTTTCTAAGCAATTTTAGCACTAACCAGAGCCAGGCATGTGCATTAACTTTTCTCGTTAATCACAGCACTTTAGAAGAAAGCTAATATTTCAACACAACCCTTCTTGAGTGAGAGAGACTTCTAATTGCTAGTTTCAACAACGAAATAGCCCACTTACTTTGTTCTTTTGGTAAAGATGGATGAAAAAGCAGTGGAATAGCCCACACATTTAGAATGTATGCCTGCAACACAGAATATCAAAAACTAATTAAAATGCTGCTCTATTTGTTGCAGTGGTACTTCAACATGTAACAAGCTGATTCTGAAGTACTTCAGTATTATTAATACTTCAGACTTGTCCCAGTTATGAATAAGAGCTAGACAGACACTCTCAAAATGCTGCCAGCACAACAAAGTAAAACAGCTTTTAATCCATTAATCACAACATACTCTTTTAAATTTAAAAATAATAGAATCTCTGCAGTTTCAAGCTTTTTGTTCTTATGCTCTTTAACCAACAGAGGTAACAGGTATTACTGGTATTACTTAGAAATAAGTTCAACTCTGTTGACCATACCAGGACCTTCTCCCAATACCAATACAAAACCTCAAACTATTTTGGTACATAAAGCAATTGTATTCATTAATTTTCAATATTTATTTACTAACCAGAACTTAATTGATTTCAATACATTACAACAATTAAATGACTATGTAAAAAATCCATTCTAAAGACATCTGTAAAGTTGTCATCTTTTCCCTGTTAAAGCTCAGAAGAGAAATTATAACATTTGCTGATAATTATGGTTTTGGTTATAAATTTGGTGAAATACTAACACTTATGGAATTACTTTAACAAAGGAGAAAAAAAAAAAAAAAAGTCTATCAAGAAATCAAGCTGGCCTAAGTTTTTTAATGGAAAAATAAGATCTGCCAGCAGCTCAAACATCACTTGCAGTTCGATGTATTGGATCTCAGCCAAAATATGCCCATCTTGCACTGTACAAGAATAATGAGAACAGTGTTATACTACTATAGATGCATCAATTTTTCCTTTATACTTGGGTCACATGCACTACCCACTCTTACCACACATTTAATATCTTCCCAGAAAAATTCAGCATGGTACTGATAGAAAAAAAAAAACCATGTTATATTAACTATTCCACCTCCAAAGAAACCAGCAAGCAGGCTGAAATACTGATATGCAGCATGGGAACTACTGTTTCAGACCCTGATTGCACGCTCAGCCCAAGCAGTCTGAATACACATCAGGCCAACAACAGCCATCTTCCATTCCTGAAAGGATCTCTTCCATCATATGGTTAAAATGGTTAAACTATTTTTGCCATCTGATGTCCCTGTCTCCCACTAATACATTTTATTTCTCTCAAGTAAAAGAGCCACATTTTAAGAATATAAAGTCCTTGCAAACTCACTCGATTCAATCATGGAATGTTTTGGGTTGAAAGGGACCTTCAAAGATCATCTAGTCCACACACTCTGTCACAGGCAAGGGTGTTGATCAGGTTTTTCAAAGTTCCATCCAACCTGTCCTAGAACACCTCCAGGGATGAGTTATCCACAGGTTCCCAGGGCAACCTGTTAAATTCCTCATCACCTTCTTTTCTTCCTTATGTTCAATCTCAATCTTCCCTCTTTTCAGTTTCATCTTTCAGTGTTTCCATTTTCCAGGAAACACCCCAATTTACCATAAATTAATCTTTCTCCAAATACATACTTTGAGATAAATGGAAGGAAAAGTCCTAAACACTTCATACTCCTGAAGCAATTGAAACATCTGGAAAAGTGCAGTCTCCAAAGCACTCTTTTGTGAAGTGACAATGTAAGCTCATAGCATCTTAAATCTCACTGATTTTCACAACATACCTCCGAGGCTGGGTTTGCCTTTGCCTTGACAGCGCTAATGTGAGAAACCCGAATTGCATTCTAGGTGCCACGGGTGTGACATTCTTCACAAGTTTATTTGACTTTTTCTAGGGCTTATGCATTTCTCCAACACATTAACATGTCACTGGTACAGTCTCAACTTTCAATGCCAACTCATTTTGTCCTCAAATCATGTGTCACTCCTGTTTAGCCAACAGGCATCTATCCTCATCTAACCTATCTTATCAAGTCTGAGACAAGAAAATAAGCATAGACTGAAGTACACATCTGAAAAAAAATGCCAGGTTTTGCTACACTAAAGGATGAAAGTAAAAGACCAGGAAGAAAACAAACCCTTATCACTGTTCATGAACATTCAATTCAGTTACTGTCATATGTTCACCGAGCTGAGGCCTCATCAAGGACATATTCCTTACCTGACCAACTCAACAAAACAAAGGAGTCAAACTGAAATTCAAAAAATGTATCAAGCAAATATGGTCCCATTGCTGTAGTGCCTAAAAACCAATCTCATTTCATCTCCAGGCATCAGTCAATCCTACTTTCAAGTCATCCCATCTAGTCCAAATAGGACTGAATGACTGCAGTAAAAAGATGAGCTAGATGGGAAATACTATGGGTAAACAACACCAAATTGAATTTCACTACCAGAAGTTGTGTTTATAAATTAAAAAAGTTAACTTGTTTTAATTAACAAGGAACTGATGCATAACAGCGCATTAAAAGCAGGAAACTGATTTAAAGCAAATAGTAACATCTTAATTATTTCATGCAATGGCTTGTAAACTTTAGGAGAGGCTAGAACTGGTATAAAGATGATGTTCTGCCCTTTAAAAACACATAGTAACAAAAACATCAGAAGCTGAGCTATCAAAAAAATAAATGCTCTGTACATGAAAACAGTAGCAGACTTGAACAGCTCCACAGACTAGTAGTACCCTCACTGAACATGCATCTGAATTAATTTGCAACACTGAAAGGTAAGTTGCCTTGAGTAAGCTCGTCTAGTGTAGAAAAACAAAAATTTACCTCTGAGCAGTGAAATGAGACTGCCCTCAGCTATAGTGGATCTATTACAAAACAAGAGCATGATAAGTAAATGAGCTGCTTGCTGTGTTTTATATTAGAAAACTTCATGGGCCCACACTACCTGAGGGCAGCATACTCAGTCCTGAGCAGAAACATCTTCCTTGCAATCTCTTCATTTTGTAGTTCTCAAATAGCAAATGCCCCTCTATTAGGGGCTACTTAAATGGAAATATGGTTCAGCCTGTAATTCAAGTACATTGGATTGGAATGGAATACATGGAATGGAAGCCACTAGCAAGAAGGAAAAACCAAAGAGATACTATATATCTGTTAAAGAAGGTTTACTCTGTGTGCAACTGCTACAGCTGAGGTTACTAGCAGTGAAGATACACAAACATACAATCCCCACCCTCCAAATAGGGAAGCAGAGCAAATACTCAGTCCTTGAGATGTACCTTTCAAGGATGCTCCAGCTGCTACACTCCCCTTCACATCCTGCTTCAGAAAGCCTTCTTATAGCACAGATGTCATTCCTCCCTCCCTGCCACATTCACAGAAGGTACTCAGTAGATCCCTAAGCGTAATAAAATAATCCCCTCATCCACCCACCTTAATTCCTACTGTTTCCATTCAAATTGAGCCTTAAGATTTAAATTTCCTTACTTAAAACAAACTGAAGGGGTGCGCTTTCCCTCTGTGCAAGACAAGTCTGCCCTCCCAGCACTGCAACCCTACTTGCAGTTAATGTTTAGGCAGGGAAGTTTAAGGAGTAGTGTACTACTCCTTAAGGAGTCTGCACTAAGAAAGTAAAATTTCTATCATAAATGCACAGAGCAAAATCCAAGGTAATAGGGGAGACACACACATACACACACAATTTGCAAGCCTCCCAAAAGTAAGGGCATATGGATACTGAACTCTCAGTGCCCAAGTGGAATGGAAAATAGAAAAGAAACCAAAGACAAGGAAAGACACTGCTTTCAGATGAAATCTAGATACCTACAGGATATTTATAATGCCAGGAACTACACACTTCTCATTCATTTTCTTTGCCCTGAGGGGAAAGTAGTTTTGCAGAAATTTCCTTACACCCTCAGCACCTCGTAACTCTTATAAGAGACTCCAGAATACCTCTCAAGGCACATAACCAGCAGTGAAATTGCTGTTTTGCAGGTATGAGGAATAACTGCTGAAGCAGTTTGCCCACAGTCATCCAGTTCAGCCAGCAGCAAAGTCAGAACACAACCTGTGTTTCCCAAATCCCAAACCCACAGCTGCACCAGGAATCTCACTGCAGCCTCTCAAGTTTGGAACAGTATCCATTCCCTACCAAATTACTCCTATTCAGTCTTTTTCATCTCACTATAAAAGCCCCAAGGATTCACTTCAGATTTGAATATGAAATTTGGTGTAGTCCAAACTTTATTTGTAAGTTACCACTTCCAATTTATTTAAGTATGTCACTTTGTTATATACTATATAGTCTGTCTCACTGAGTAGTATAAATTTTTTCCCTGCACATCAGGAAGTTCTTCAGCAGATATAGTAATGACTGCAAGCCCCAGAACACTTAAAGCAATGAATAACTAAACAGAAATGGCTCATTTTATGTGCAAAAAGAAACCTTCAAAGATGCATTAGCTTAATTTTCTCAGGACATTTTGGCAGATCTGACTCAGCTTCTAGCCTTACTTTCCGCAATCTAGCCTTACTTTATTTTATAACTAGACCAGAATAGGTTGCTGGATGAAGTTGCTCTGTGACCTCCCAAGGACCATCCCACAGTTTCTCCTCTCCAAACATTTAAGGCTGGCAAGAACACAGGACTGAGGACTGCTGACAGCACAAAGATCTCTCTCAGTGGACCATCATAATAACCGTGACATGACAGCAAGATGACTTTTTTTTTAAGAAGCTAAGTGGCAATACTGTGGGCTGACCATTCCTCCTCTGAGCTATCAGATTGTCTCCTGTTACCTGAGAATCAGTCGCAGCCTGCCCCTCTCATAACCCATATGCCTGATGCAATCCAGCCTACTTTAGGAAATTAATCCAGTGCTGCCTAACAACAGAACATGAGAATCACATTCAGATTCCTGCAGGAACATAAAATTACAGGAGAAATTTGCCTTGAATAAAGACTGGCATATAAAGGATACACAGCTTCTCTCCCAGCATGAAGGGAAAATGAGAAATCCTTTCCATTACTCGGTAGAACCAATTTATCCAGAGTACAGCCAGATCCCTTGCGTTAAACATGGTTACATTTCAAGTGTTCATCTCCAATATTGTAACACAGAAC